AAACAAAACAAAAAACAAAACAAAAAACAAAACAAAAAACAAAACAAAAAACAAAACAAACGAGCCAAAGCAAAAGATACGCATTTTTTTGGGCCAAAAACCGAAACACCTTTCCGGCCCAGAAACTTCCAGTAAGAAATTTATCCGCGACTTCCCGTCTATGTTGCCTCCAGGTGGCCTGGCATGGACATGGCTGGTGCGCACAGGCCCCATGTGACCATCTGATACGCCTATCTATATGGCCTACAGGTCGGCACAAACTCACCAAAAATACACCCAATTGACTGGTTTGGCCCAGATTTCACAACAAAACACACAGAGAAAAGCTCTGAGCATACAAATCCCAGAAACGGCACATGAACGCCTCTGTTCTAGAGCCTCTCAACAGGCTACATTTGCCGGGCGGCCTTAAAGTCCTGGCCCTCCATATCAACGCCGACCGGGTATACGTTGGGCTCTCAAATGGCGATTTGCAGATCATGCGCATAGCCACCGAAACTGAGCGGGAGGCCGTGCGAGCCGAGGCCCGGTCCGTGAAAAGTTTCCGCTCGTTCAGCGAGGTCAGACGCCTTTTCCTCGACAACGACACGTCCCAGGTGCTAGTTCAGGAAAAATATTTCCCAAACGTGTTCAAAAGCCAGATCCAAATCACCACCATCGACTGTTTGCCCATGTACGGCGACGGCAGCCGCGAGGTGCTTCTACTAGGCTCTGCGGATCTCCTACAAGTGTACGAATGGGTGGGCCCACACCTCGATTTGGTCCAGACGTTCGCAGATATCCGGCCATACTCCGGGCACGCTTTCACTGTGATCCCAGGGTCCTTGCAGACAGCTGCAGTACCAGGCCACGGTCCTGCGGACGCTTCGAAAATTCTCCTCGTAAGTTCTCGCAAGAAGCTCTTCGTGTATAGAGCCGTCCACAAGTCGCGCAACATCTTCGATTTCGAGCTTGTCAGGGAGATTCTGATGAGGGAGCAGATCAGAGAAGTCCGCGCCCTAGATGGCCATGGAAAGGCTCTCATAGCCACGGTGCAAAACGTGTTCTGCTTGGGTCTACGGGACGACTTCCAGCTCACCGACGTCATTGTGGACACGTCCAACACTCACAGCTTCACTCAGACATCATCATTCTCCTATTTCGGTCTTGCCAGCGCTGGGCCCCAGGTTCACATTGTGCCCATCAGTGCGACGCAGTCCTTATTTGTCCGTGATACAGAGGTGGGTGTGCTCCGGGTAGAAGCCGATACTGCAGTGTTGAAGGAACTGAAGATCAAGCTTGCAGCCGTCCCGATAAACGCGGCGTTTCTCCTGCCGTGCTATGTGGTTTTCGTATACCCAAAGACATATGTCGTGGTGGACTTGGAGAGCGGCGATTTGGTCCAAACGTTCAAACACGGGCTAGGATATGCGGTCAACTACTTTGCTATCGACCCGGCCATTGCCACGCTTGCCGCCGGCCCGGATCTCTTCCAGTTCAAGGTGCTCTCTGTGCAAAAACAGCTAGACAACTTTCTTGCCATGCGCGGTACAGCGGCTTCAGAAAAAAGCAAACGCGAGCTAAAACACGATCTCAAGCTTGTGGGCCTTGAGCGGGCGCTTGTTCTTGTACGCTCGTTGGATGACACTCACCCGTTTTTTGCCACGAAAAGTGCCGGCGATGCACTGGGGACGAAACAAAAGCAACTTTTCTTGCGTGACTTGTACAAGGAAAAAGTCATGGTTCTCTTCGAAGTGCATCTGAAATTCCACGAGGCCTTGGTAGAAATAGCATCCGAGTGGATAGTCCCCTTCCAGGAGATCCTCACATTGTTCCCGGACTTTCTTAATGGAAGCGTGCAGATTAGACAAGGTAAAATAAACCAGTCTTCATGCCGACAGACAAGCCCAATTAGGAAAATATCAGCCAGTGAGCTCAAATCCACCAATGATACTGCCAGCAGAAGCACCGCATCATCTGACTCGGACACCAAGAGCGACGCTGGAGAACTGCCTTCTACCAAGGTTCCCCAGCATATTCGAAATTTCCACAAAGCTGTGCAAAACTTAATTTTGTTTCTCACAGAACAGCGGCGTATTCACTTGAGCTTCCTCAATAGTTCGGACGAGGACCCTTTCATTCCTTGGAAAACCCTCCAGTTCCGCGTAAGTGACCTCTACCCGGGAATCGATAAGCAAGTTCTCGTCACAAAGTTGAGCGAGTTTGCCTCGGCCATTGACACCTCGTTATTTTTGTGCTACTACTTTACAAAGCCCATGATGTTGGGCCCCTTATTGCGGTTGCCCCATAATAGATGCAATGCAAGAGTTGTGAACGACAGTCTCTTGGACAGCTCCTATCTCGAGTCTCGTGACAAGCTCAGTTTCATCGGCCAGCTTCTAGATTTCTACTTTGGCAGGGCATTGCATGATGAAGCTCTCCGGCTTCTCAGTAATCTTTCATCAGAGAGCGCCGCAAATGTACACTTGACTGGTCAGGCGTTGTCTGTTCGATACATGCAAAGACTACCAAACGAACACCTTGACTTGATTTTCAAATACGCACACCAGGCTCTCACTAAGATCTCCGCAGAAGCCCTCGAAAATGCGAGGCTCTTGTTCATGAACGATTCGTTTGAGTGCGAGAGTTACAACCGGTTCCAAGTGTTGGATTATCTTTCTGGAGTCATCAAAGACGACAACATCGCGATCACATACCTTGAATGGCTTCTACACCAGAGCGGGTTTTTCGAGGCCCTAGAAAGGAAGCGGGAAGTGCCCAAATTGAGTACGCGGCTTTGTCTTCTATACTTGAAGCAGATGGCCTCTCTCAACTCAAATGGAAAAGTGTTTTCTCACAGCCCGCCATACAAGAAAATGGCAAAATTACTAGCGAGTGCCACTGAGTACGAGCCATGGACAATCTTGAAAAACATACCACCCAGCGACGACAAGTATCTCCGGCTCACAGTCTACATCTACCACCGCCTAGGCGAGCACCAGAAATCTGTGGATATTTTGTACAACCAACTAGCAGATTTGGACGAGGCAATGCGTTACTGTGCCAAAGTTCATGACCAGCCCAATGGGGAGGAAAAAGGCCAGAAATTGCTCTTCAAACTCTTGGAAGATTTGCTTATGCATTATAACGAGAACCAGGATGCGATTGCTCGACTCCTCACTCTACAGGGCCAGAAAATGCCTACATTACAGCTCTTGACAGTGCTCCCCGACTCGTTCCCGTTGCATAAAATCCTTGTATTTTTGCAAACCACTGTTGAAAACCTTGAGCAAAAACAGTTTAATAGCAGGATCAAGGGCCAATTGTACAAGATCAGTGCATCCAAAGCACACTACGATTTGGTAATGGCCCAATCACATCACTACAGTATAGCTGGTTCCGGGCAAATCTGCCCAGCATGCACAAAACCATTGGGACAAAGTATCGCGTGCGTCAACGCTGCCGACCAAATCATTCATTACGGCTGTTTTGATAAGCAGGAGCGGAATTCTCAGTCGTCATGTCACCTGCGAACATTTGAGTGTGCAAGAAAGGAATAAGAGAAGCGGATCAATTGATTTAGTTTCAAAATTTCTATCAAATGTGCTTTCAGATTGAATTTCATATTTGACGCCATGTTCGACTCGAATTCCATTTTTATCCCAGATTGGATTCCAAATTTGCCTGCAAAGTTGATTGCAGATACCACGTTTTCCAGATTCATGCACGGAATTTCGCACCCATCTCGGTCAAAGATGCGTTCGCTGATGTTGGCGCATAATTGTGGGAGTGCACATTGAATGTTCGATGTTCATCCGCCGATTTTCCCCGCTGCCATGGAAAGGAATCTCTGATACGAGCGAGATCCAGCCCAACTCAATCGACATCTGCCTAAATCCATTGAAATGGTTTTGACCACAAACGGCGATCCAGCAAACGCGGATGATGCTCAAGGCATCAGGCTCCCGCCCATCTCATTTTTGTCCGGAACTCAGAACTCCCAGTCTTTGGCCTCAATGATTCTGCCTGTTGGAAGCCTAAACGCCGAAGCAAATAAGACGAAAAATGGCCAAATGAGCTTCCCTGGCAGTACCCAGAAAATGTCGTTACCCAAGCCCCAAGCGTTGAATATCTACCCAGGACAGAACCTAGTTTCACCGCATGGCATGGAATCTGGTGTCATCAAAAATGGTGGTAATAGTGTGGCCGACAACCGTCTAGTCCATAACATGGAAGACAAAAACATGTCTGATTATGCGCAGGTGCCTTCATCAGGAACACGCCCGCTGCCCCATCGCCATTATTCTCATAGCCCTTCGCCGGATTATCCTCACAACCCAACTAGTATTCACGCCCCCAAACAGTCTGTGGATTATTCTTCTCATCAAAGCGACTATCACCGCAATGGGTATATGGAGCCCTATGCGCAACACTTCCACCAGCAGAACGCTGATATTCAACAAAGGCACACAATTACCAACGAAGGACAACTGGGTTTCAGAGCTGCCGAGATTCACAGTCCGAATTCACCCATAAACCCAGGGCATTTCTCGTCGCAGCTTGCCGACCGAGCTTCGCAGAGGAAGAGACAGAAAAGATTAATGCACTCTCACATCTATGACCAATTGCCGCGAGTATTACCCAGTAGACGCAATCTCGGGACGATCGTTTATAACCCCACCACCACCTGGGAGACTCTCCAGATCAAGCAATTGCACGGGTTGCGGAAGCAAGATCTGGACATGTTGGTACGGATGCAGTCGGAGTATATGGAGCGGAAAAACAATTCTGCTGGCGAGATGAACACCGTGTACATTCCTGTGATTCCCCATTTATCTGACGCCTACATCAACTGCTTCCTAGAGGTGAAGATCCCATACGTACATATCAAGGACTTCTTGAAGAGTCATTCGCAAGGGCAGGTGGAGCGGAAAAGAGAGCTCTGGGGCGGATATGCGGGCATATACACGGACGACTCGGATCTTTTGTACGTGCTCTGTCATCTCGGGCTTTTCAACAATAGTTTGGACTTGACAGAATGCAATGCGGAATGGGTACCTTCGGATGTGACGCGGCCGGCAACCGTGCACAGAGATCAAGACGGTATCGAATTGCTAGACCTTTCCGTCACGCTTCTTTTGTTGCCAAGTCTAAACGCGTACAAAGGATTCTATCGGAACCGTCTAAACTCGCGGTCGTGGCAGAGCAGCGCCGCCGTGCACAGCGGGCTATCTATCGCAGTCCACAATGTGAAATGGGAGACCTTTCTTCTGTCGACAGCAGATCGAGCGCTCAATAAAAGAGCGGTTAGCGAGTATATCGATGACAGAAATGCTAGTACACAGATCCTGGAGCAGAAAAACGGATGGAAACTCGACTTGCTGCTTCGTAAATCCAAACACGATGTCAAGGCGCAAGCGCCTGGCGCCAGCTGATGATGCCTTGGTCAGAGCACGTAACAGCTGCAGCGCCGTTCAATGTACACTACTGAGGAATATGTTGTCAAAGACAAGAATTAATAAAGGATAAGAAAACTTGCGGGTTTTGAAGTGGCAGGAAAAGTAATGTTTACAAAGCTGTCCCGGTCGAATTTTGCTGGTCGTTCTGACATACTCGGTTTCGTGGCAGAACACTTCGGCATGGAAGGGCTGCGTTGAGACTAGCTAGACAGTATCTGGGCTGATTTGCGCGTTTATCGACACATATTACCGAGAGCCAGAGCCAAAGAAAAAAAAAAAACCCTCCCCATGTACAGGAAGCGGCGATAGCATGGCAACTGCATCTGTAAAACCTTCCCCAGGCCCGCCACCAGCACTCGAGCTCGCCGTCCAGCCTAAGCGCAGCACACAAACGAACACACAAAGAACAAAAAAAAACACACGCTGTGTTTCTCAAAGCGCGTTTTCTGAACTGTCTGCATTTTCGCCAACGAACGAAAATCGCATCCTTCCTCCAGGTGTTTCCGCCCGCTAAAGCATAGTATAGCCTCTTTTCGGAGGGGCTCAGCCATGGAGGACTCGTGTCGAAAAGAGAACACGCCCACGACCAACCCAGAAAGCTCCACCACATCAGCGGCCGGACAGCCAGCACGTGATTCCAAGAAGAGACGTTCCCATAGATTTCTGTCCGTGCTTCGTCGTGTGAGCAGCGAGTGGAACTGTCTTCTCCACAAACTCAAACTGGCGTCGCAGACTGGCCACTCTGACGGAGAAGCACTTGATTCGCTCTTCGAGTCTAGCGACGACGACTTTTTTGAACGGATCCCCCGCCTCAAAAAGTGCTGCAGTGCCACCAGCCCAGAAGCCCGTTTTCTAGAGGACTTTAAGAAGTACAAGCTGCTCGAGGAATACCACCGGGGCACGCATACAGGCACAAGCGCAGGTTCTCTTTCGGAAATGGCGCCGTCCGTCGAGAGCCCGCACGTGCCTTTGTATAGGGCGTTGGATGTTCTGCGGTTGAGGCAAGGGTGCGCAGGAGAACCAGACCTGGAGTCTCTGCCGGCCCGAACGCATGAGCTCGAGCTCACCTCACAAGAGGCCGTTCTCAAGGACCAAATCTTGTCACGCGACGAAAACTTGGGCAACGCCCTCTGGGAAATACGACGTGCGCGGTGGCTCATTCCCGACGACGAGTGTGAGGATGTCGAGCAGAAGGTCGAGCAACGGGCAGCAGGGCTGGCAGTGAAGCAAATCTCGCAAGACGCGTATCCTCAAGTATACAAGGACTTTGTGGTGAATGCGCGGCCGTTGAAAACGGGCAAGCGCATCAATCTCGAGGACATGGTGGTGGTCATTCACGCGGGCTGGGTGCACGAAAAAGTGTGGGAATCTGCAAGCAAGGGCCTCGGCTGATTTGCTGTAGGCGGGCTGAATATATCATGCCATCGTTGCGATGGGAGAAGCGCCTGGGGCCACGCGGGATGCCGCAAGCCAAGCATCACAGCACACACAAGATCATTCCCACCAATACATGTACTGCTCAACACACGCCGGATTCTGGCAATGCCTAGGAGGCACGATCTGATGGCTGCGTCTCCTCTTTGCGTGGTCGCACGCTACCTCACTCCCTCCTCTCTTTCCCTTCGTGTTCCGCCCCTTGTTTCATGCCTTCAAACCCAGACCATTCGTCTTCGGTCTTTCGGGTTTTCTTCGTGTCCCTCCAACTTCATGCTTCGTGTCTTCACCTTGTCTTCCGTCGTCGTCACTTCGTCTTCACTTCGTCTTTACTTCCTCTTCCGTCGATGTTCTGTCCACCCGCCTCAATCCTGGTTGTTGATGTACGAGAGCGCGGTTTCCAAGACCCGCAACTCCTGGTCGATGAGCTCGGCCTTCAGCTGCAAGACATCCACGCAAGAACCAGCAGAATGCCGCAGCATGGCCAAGGCCCGCTGGGTGCGTGTCACGTGGCGCGCCAACTTCTGCTTGGCCGCAAGAAGCGCCTCGTAGTTCTCGGCAATGTCCTGGGCAAGCTGCCGGTCGATTTCCGCGTCGAGCTCATGGATGGTGGCCACCTTGTCCAAAAGCACGGTGCGTGCCAGCGGCGCAGTGGCGGAATTGACCCGAACTATGGACTCTACGGCCCGTATTAGCTGCGCCGACGCCGCTGCCGCCGTCTGGAGATGGGCGGCCTGTTGCTGCTTGGCGCCTGTGAGGAGGTCTCGATGTGAGCCTGGCGGAGGTCTCTGGCTCATGGCCAAAATACGAGCTATGGAAATATGGCAGCGCGGCCCAGTGGGAAGATGCGATGAAGAGCGGGGGCCGCAGGGTCACGTGTGTGTTCTGCCGGTCTGCAGTGCCGGGCGGTGCTATATAAATACGGACGAAGATGCTTTTGGAAATCCGTGAGGAATTCCGCAGGTTGAAGAGAAGAACGGTTGTTTCGGGGAAAGAAGTAGGTAGTTACCGTCGGGTCGCGCCGCGGCCCAAGTGCACTGTGGCGCCAGGCGCGGCCCTAGGAAATAGAGTCGGCCCTGTCTGTTGCAGCTCCGGCTGCGCCAGTTCCTGCCTATGTCCCAGAAAGGGTGTCGAAGAACGACATGTTTCGTGCAAATCAGGGGAGAACTTTGAACAGAAATTTCGGCCTCAAGCGTTCCGGCAGCGAGGCTGTTTAAAACCCCTTTTTTTTCTGTCATGGGTGGAAAATGGCGGGACTGTTTTGGTGCTAGAGCTCGGCACATCCACGCTCGCGCGCATCCGCTGCGACGCGGTGCGAATGGGTGCGAAATCGTGGGGCCGACCTTTTGCCATAGAAAGACACAACAAGCGTGTCATTGGGATCGCAGCTGAGCACTTGTGATGTGGGTGGATAATTAAGGGTGTGGGTCAGGAATCGCATTTCTGGGGACCCCAGAAGCCCGTGTGTGGAGAAAAACGAAAATCTGGAGTTATGTGAGCGGGGTTTGAAGGGAATACGGGTGCTAGAGAAGCTTCGTAATTGGTAGATTTGAGTAGACGACGAAGGGGAAAAAAGACTCGAAGGGAATATCTCGGTTTGATGAGCAGTGACTGTAGATAGGGGATGTCGCGAGGCCAGGGACAGAAGGATCGACTAGTCGGCCCTTCGGTAGATATGAGAGACCGGCGACGGGCATGCAAAAGCCAAGTTTCCATACTCCCCTCTACTTCCACAGTCTCCTTCTTTCCTCGGTCTCCTTCTTTCCACAGTCTCCTTATTTTCACAGCCTTCTTTGTTTTAATAGCCCTCTCCAAATCACATCCCCTTCATTCTTGGGACATGACCTCTCCGGCTCATGGAAAACTTGAAAATGAGATTGCTGTGATGCAACAAAAAACACCTCTGTTCTATGGTTTTCAGAAGAACAAGTAATGTGAGCTGGACGATACGGCTCAAAAGAAGTCTTCTGGCTGGCTACTAGAGAGTGCCAGGCTGAAACCTGAGCTTCTCCTGCAAACAGACTATCAGCTGTCAGGGCTGCACTCAAAGATACAAGATCCCTTTAATTATGCTTTCGATGGGGATGTGTCGAGACCCGCCAGCGCTCATGAATTTGAAGATTGGCCCACTGCTAACGCAAGCTCGACATCTGCTCCTTTTAATGGTGCAGGGCCGAACTTTGGAGATCTCTTTACGGTAGGCAAATGGTCTTTCTTCTTTTCCTTGTGGTTTTGGTTTCTAACAGCTCTGTTTCTCTGGTCTTCAGGCTATATTTTAGTTCTTTTCTGTAGCTTTCTATTCCTATTCATTTATACAGTTACATTTCTCGTACACCACATCTGCAAGGTATAGACAACCGACACTGGTCCACCGGGGTCACTGGAGTCGTCTAGTTATGGGGTATTATGATGTTTTAAAGCGATGTACTGGTACTGCCCGGTATGACTAACTGATTTAGCTTTGCAACATCAGTACAAGTTTTGGGATGTTGATGCAAGTCCTGGGATCTTTGTACAAGTCCTGGGGTTTTATTACAAGTTCTGGGACAGTAATACAAGTCTTGGACAATAATACAAGTCTTGGACAATAATACAAGTCTTGGACAATAATACAAGTCTTGGACAATAATACAAGTCTTGGACAATAATACAAGTCTTGGACAATAATACAAGTCTTGGACAATAATACAAGCTCCAGAACACAAGACATTCATACAGGTTCTGCTTCCTAGTCGAGCCATACAAGTTCTCTATCCCATCACCCCAATTTTCACTGAGTAAAAATGTTCGGGATTCATCACACATCTCTTGCTAAGTGCACGTTCTCGGGACCAGCATCTTGTGGGCAAATCACGTAAAGACTAGGCTGGTCGCATGCATTCCAGCCGGCCCCAGATGTAATACTTTTTCGCACCAAATTGATTAGGGCCGCATTCATTCAACCTCCCTCCACAGAACAGCAGACCCAGGACCAGCAGTACCATTCTCTAAGCTAGCTCTGCCCATGGATATATATACATAACCTTCTTTGTAGAACATGGCCCAGTTCGAATGCTTTGCCGCCGCCCTGCTTTTTGCCGTCGTCCCGCAGACCCAGGCGCCGCAGGGCCTACTCACCGACTACCTGTACGTGACGCAGGCCCTGGACCAGGAAATCTTGGACTCGACATATTTTGCCCTCCGCGGCGCCGTTTTGCAGTCTGCTGGCGAGTGCTTGGCCGCATGGGAAATCCGCCTACTGATCTTGCTTTTTAGTGGACAGCTTGCCCGGGCCAAGCGCGAGGCCGTGGCTCTCAACAACGCACTATATCTCCGTGAGAACCCCGGGGCAAACCGGGCCAGTTTGGCCAGCACGCCATTCAAACACCCTGCAAACACACCCCCGAGCCCCGGGACCGGCGGTTCCCGGCACGGGCCGGCCGTGCTGCCGGTGTACCCTCTCCCGAACAACAACGACGGGCAGATCCCGGACTCTTTGCTCATGTTGATGGTCAGTTTGAAGGCTGCGCCCAGCTTGGCCCGGGTCAACGAGATCTACCGGTTGTGCTACCAAAAGCGGCTCAAGGGCGACCGGGAAAACGCGGGTGTTTTCGTGGGCACGGGGAACGGCCTACAGGCCAGGCTCATGGCGTTGGCGTATGCTGTGATTGCGGTGCTTTTTGTGACCCGGAACCACGCCACGCTTGTTTCTTTTCTTGCCTCGCTCCGCGGGGATCTACAGGAAGCAATTGCACGGAACAGGCGGGGCGACGCGAGTCCCAAGGGAGCGGCGTGGACTGGTAATGCTGAGACTGAGAGAAAAGAGGGCACCGAGACTGAGAAGACTGATATTACGAAGGCCGAGAGGAGTGATATCACCGAGGCCGAGAGGAGTGGGTTTACGGGGACTGAGAGTAGTGAGACTGGAAAAATTGAGAATACCGAGGCCGAGAAGATTGAGGGCACTGAAACCGTGAAGATTGAGAATGCCGAGACTGAGATCAATGCCGAGCCTGAGATCAATGTCGAGACTGAGGTTAATTCCGAGACTAAGGTTGATTCCAGGACTGAGATTGATTCCGAGAATAAGGTCAATATCGAGACCGGAATTGATTCCGAGAATAAAATCAATATCGAGACTGGGATTAATTCCGAGACTGAGATTATTGAGAGTACCGAGTCTGCGAATGATGCTGCGACTCAGACTGATCATGCCGCGACTGAATCCAGGCATATCACCACTGAACGTCCCGAAAATTCGAAAAACCCGGGAACCCCCGGGGGCCTCCAGAACCGTCCACACGTCGCGGGCGAACCGCCAAATGCGTCCCCAAGTTCCGTCACCAACCTCCACGAATATTATTCCCACGCCACTTTATTATGGGTGTTGGCCAAAATCCAAGTGCGCCGCGCGTCGCAATCTGCACCCGCAGAATGGGGCCCGCTATATGAGCCGCAGCTTGCGCTGGTATGCAAGGCCACGTGGACAGCGGTGCTGGTGGTCACGGGGAAAATCGCCCCCCAAATCAACGGCGACATCGTGCACGTGGACGCCTGCCGCAAAAAACCCTCCGTGGAGGATTTGGCCGGTTTGGTGGATCAAGACCTTTTTTCCGTGCGTACGGTCTGCTGCTTGCTAGCGCACTGGAGCGTGGCTGCGACATATACCTCCAGTCTCTCGGAAACGACATTCAGCACAGATTTGGGCCGCGTATACGCTCATGTTCTAGCCAGATGGGACGGCCAATTTAACAAGTTCTATGGCTTGGAGTAGGCCCTGGAAAGGGGCCGGGTGCAGGGCCGATCGCCGAACCTGCATCTGGGACTAGCTGGCAGAGATCTGTTTGGATCTGGCCCCGTGAATGGGGATCCGGACTTGGGTCTGATCAGCGAATTCTGTCCGGACGGGGTTCCAATTAAAGGATATAGATTCTTTGATCCTCAAAGCCAAAACACAGCCCATGTGGGGTCGTACTGAGAGCAGAGAACTCGATTCTGAAGTAAACCTGACGGAATGGGAGTTGACGAATGCAAAATACGGGCACTTGGAATGTTAAGCTACAAGCTTCAGCCCGAAAACATAATCCAAATAAGGTCTCTTCCTGAGTGGCGTGCCAACATTCCAGTCCAGCTTGAATGCAGAGAATGTGTCTTTAATTAGCGAATACTACGTCGGAATTCCAGAACACAACCCGCAAACAAAAGGGCCTCTAGGAGCCGAAAAAAAGCCTTGATTCAATAACACAACGTCAGGAGATGAACCTGGCCATGGAATATGGTATACATTACGATAATTCATATGAAAGTCCGCTACACTCGGCGTGGGTTCAATTCTAGGGCAACAGCCCTAGCGCCTTCGCGCGCACGTGGCCAGCTCAAGGAAACGATGCGCCCGTGCTGTGTCGCGTCATCCTGCAGACGCGTAGACAAATGTCGCGTTCATCGGCGTGTCGAGGCGCTACCGGATTCGACACAGCGAGCGCCTGCAAGTTTCGCCCCGGCACGACCGCACTGCGAAAAATTTTGATGAAAAAGTTAGCCACGCCAAATCTATCCATACTCCATCCCTTTAGACCTCATCGACAAAATGGCTTTACAAGACGTTGTTACCCGTGAATACACCATTAACTTGCACAAGAGAGTATGTTCAGCATCACCATGTTCTCCAATTTGAAGAACTTCTATTCTGTGACTTGTTTACCTGATGCTGTTTTCTTATGGTCCCGCCCCATACCATCCATGCGCTAAAAAATGTGCTCCTATGAAAAGACAGGCCTTCTGCACACGTCCCTGGAACTCCCCGAACATTTTCCAACCCTCGTATCAAACCCCCTGAAACGCCGGAAAACCCCTGTCAAATTTTTCTGGCTCACGGCGCCAATCAGTTCCTCATGCTCTATTTCCAGGGTATATTCAATGATCGCATTTTGTCTCCCTACCAGGAAACCAGCATCTGACTAAGTTTTGTTCTTCATTCCTGGCATACACCCATCATTGCCTCTCGTAATAAAACAACCATCAGGCAAGCGAACAAGTCACCGATATCCCTATTATTCAGTAATACTAACAGTTCTAGTTGCACGGTGTTCACTTCAAGAAGAGAGCCCCAAAGGCCGTCAAGGAGATCAGAAAGTTTGCCTCCAAGCACATGGGTACCACTGACGTCAGATTGGACCCTAAGTTGAACACGCACTTGTGGAAGAGAGGTATCCAGGGTGTCCAGCACAAGATGAGATTGAGAATCTCCAGAAAGAGAAACGACGAGGAGTCCGCCAAGGAGTCCATGTTCGCTTTCGTCGAGCCAATCACCGTCCCATCCAACAAGGGTTTGCAAACCGTTGTCATTGAAGACGAGGCTTAAGTCTAATTAACTTCTCATAATACATAACTTTGTGGTGTCAATTTGTAGTAGCCAAATATCTGATCGTGCTGGGTGAGCCCGTGATGAGAACGAAGTTATCCAAGTTTATACGTATAGAGCATTGTGACAATGAATCACATACATTCTTAGTCAAGCAATGGAGTACTGTTTTACGTCTCTTATTTCGAGCAGATATTGTACGACAGCGTAAAACTGAGTTTCACGCAGGCTTGGTTTTGTCCATCAACGCTCGTCTCTTGTAGTGATGTCAGAGCTTACTAAGATTTTTCTCAAAATCACAATTCATGCAATACTTAAATTTTGGCAGCGGCTTCTAGGACATCAAGGAAAACCAGGGCTCTATAAGCATTACGCATACTCTTGATAAATTGTCTATAGCACTAAATAGCTTTGGATGATCTTTTCATGAACAGTCATGTGGTTGCAGGCGATGATGATACATGGGAGCTCATTCCAAGGTTTCAAAGAAAATAAACAAAGCAGTTTTTCAAAAATGGTGGGTGTATCTGTTAGAAGCTTCAGGTTTGTGGAGATTTGAAAAGAACTAACCATTGGCTGCAAGACTTTCTCACGAAATACGTTCCTATTTTATGGATCGAGAGGGAGTATGTGATAAACCTTCTGACATGGTGTACGGCGTTTTTAAGTCAAAGATGAATTCCTTTAGTGAGCTTCCAATACAAAAAAACACATACTTTGGCACAATTGAATCAAGTGTCAAAAAAAAATTTGTGAATTGAACAATTAGCGCTGATCATGCTACGAGAACAGCTCCAACCTTGTCGCGAAAACCAATGCGAAACAGAACTAATACCTATTGGGGCATAGTATGGGGCGTCGCCGCAACATGATGAGTTTCAACTTCAGGCTAGCTTTTGAACAATGAGTGAACACACTAGTGAATTCTTAGGCCAATGCTTCCATATACATTGATTTGACAGACCTTGGTTCGCGATACCTAGCTTCTAGTTGTCCCACCATTCGGGGCGGAACAATAGTGGACATGTGTTGGACAAAAGTCACCAGTGAGGGGTCATAAAATGTAATGAAATCACGAAAAGGTTACGTTATTATCCTTCTCTTCTGTCGGATAGAATGAATATGGCTATTTTCACACCGTATGACAAAAAAGTACAGTGAGCACAATTAGATGTATCTAGTGATGTTACTCGCAGGTTCGAGCAGCAGAGGCTAAAGAACCATGAATCATCCCCGAGCCGGGAAATCGCCTCTAGAGGTCTCGAAGCATGTCCCCAAAATTGTGACTTCCCAACCTCATACAAAACTGTCTTTTGATAGGCAAGATCATGCATGAGGTCAATCAACACCAGCTCTACGCTACGCTATTATAGGCCTTTTTCATTTCAAAGTCTGCAAGATGTTTTCTTGTTTGTTAGTAAGAAATTTATGATAAAATGGAATTAGCCGATTTTGTTCAGTGTAACTATGACAAAGTACCAGGTCATTGCAAGCGAGCCATGTGCTCCCAAAACGGGGGCGACTCTAAAATGCTCAAATTTGGTAGGAAAAAAAAAGAAGTTTCATCATCAAATCGGGCGGTGTTTGAAACATACCATTTCAATAGATGCCTAATGAGTAGAATGAAAGGATGGTAGGTGAAAGAATGCTTACTGATTTTTTCGGCATTCCGCGAATGATCTGATGGCCGGGTAATCTCTCGTGTTCATACGGAGGGCTCGCACCATGAATAAAGAGACCTTATGGAATGAGCGCATACACCGCTAATTGTTTTGTTTATATCTTGCATCATATCTTTCAACAGGCTCAACTAGAAATTTTCGTATAGTTGTAGGTTTTCTGATTATTATGACCTTTTACTACAAGACGCACGTAGTTTGTCAAGCGAGAAGCGAATTGCTAAGATGGGCACGCCCACCATATCTCCTCTTCCAAAGTGCTTTTTATTGCTTTAGTGAGAAGTTTCAAACCACACATGATTATTGTGTCAAGTGGTGACGTAAAGTCTGGGCTTCCAAGTGGCAGCCAAAAAGTATATCATGGTCTATCGCTTTTCTGTGCTTCCAATAATTCCCGGACATGCTGTAGTATTTCCTGCTGTGCTTTGATAGTTTACACATGCCAAGTTCTGGATACTGTACTCTGTTGCTGGGCGCTACAAATAGAGCGATGGAGAATCAAAATTCGCTGATAGTTATTCTCGGTCTATACCTGAAAATTCTCGGGCTCGGAGCTTCCGTGAATCTGTTTTTAATCGTCATCCGCAGAAAAGAAGATTGTACGTGGTAATTAAACTTTTGAGGTTTTCACCTCCAATAGAGAACTGTTCTCTGGTTGATTCAAGACACCAACTTCTCCACAATACAGGGTTCTGGGGGAGGCTGGATTTCTACTTGCGCTGGCTCTGCGCGTGAACCGGTAAAGTGATCAGGGTCTTTTCATGAAACCCATTCTTGTGCATTTTCTGCAAGGATTCGACATAATGGCACAGCAATTCACACCCTTGAACTTCTAGGCTCTGTAGGCCCTCATTTACTATTGTAGAAGAAAAATATGGGTAGAAAGTGGTTTTTCTGCTCTTCTAAAAAGCCGGAGAACGCCTGCCTTATCGCACAGCCGGTTTCCACGAGTCACTCTAATTAACAGACTCCACCTACCCAAATGCCCGACCAGAACAAAGTTTAAACGACGTTCAGGAATTTACCACCAGCTAAAAGCGACAGACACATACAGAGGCGATTTTCCGCAAAAAAAGCAAATTTTGTTCATCATCCCACACATTTTCTCCCAATCATTTGAAGGGAGCCGGTTTCGAGGTCGGCCCTAAAAACCTGCCCCACCGCGCGGCTCGCTTCCCCAGAATTCGGGCCGTCTTACCGAGGCTCGCCATACATTCGACCTGGATATTCGCCCACTGGGAAATTTCAGAACCACGAGCATTAGTGCCCAAGTAAAGAAATTCAGCAATAGAAATATCTACGCGGTGATCTGGAAAGCTCGCTTGTACTACTATTCCACCCTCTTTTATTTGGCACTCCACAAATCGAAAATAATGCCCTCAGCCATAGAAACGTCGGACTCACCGTCGATTTCCACCACCGCAAATGTCCACATTGTGAACGACCCCACTTCTTTAGTTGCCGACTCGGTATCGGTATCTATGGAACTCTTTGTCCGTCTTTTCCCGGATCTGCAACGGGCGACTCCCGAAAAAGACACACCCAAGTGCCATTTCGTGTTGATGAAATTCATCGGCGTGCCCGATTTCTTTCCGAGATTCAACATCTACCGGGTCTCGCTGATTGAAGATATGGCCCCCACGCTGAGCTCGGTCACGCTCACCAATCACGCCAATTTGACCAAATTCGGGGCAGATTTGACCTTCAGGGGCTGTATCATTCAAAGCATCGATTCTTCGTCGATCCCCGTGCTCGACCAGATATTCGTTAGTGTTCCGGACGAGATATACGATATTTTGGACAAAGCTCATGAGCACTCAGTTAAAGAGCAGTTTATTTCCGAGTACATTTCCGCCTCGGGGGGTGTGCTTGCACAAGGCGACACGATCAGGGCGCTCAACGGCACTGTTGATCTCTGTGAGCCATTTTATCAGGGCCGCGTTCTGACCACCACGAACATAGTCTTTATTAAGCAAAAGGAAAACGAACTGTCCAAAAAGCCCGATAACTTTCTGGACAATGTCGTGCCAGAGTCATTTGAAGAAGACGCAGCATTTGGCCTCGATTTGTCCGAATACCTCTCGAAAAACATCGTGTTTGATTCTCCGGACTCGGACAAGGCTGCATGTTCTGAGCATAAATTCAACGTGCTTCCTTTGCCCCACAGGGTGGCTGTCCCTCCGGCTCCTTTTGCACCAGAAGACCCGGAGCTCTATGTATTTCTAACCAGCCGTGATCTCACCAAGCTTGGATTCCCGGTCTTCAACGGTGACTTGGTCGAATTGCACGCCGGAAGCTCTTGTGTGTGCGTCAAAATATTCACGTTTCTCGAGCCCAACAAGTCCTTCAAACAAGATACAGTGTACCTCTCGCCATTGTTATTGATGAATTTGCCCTTGGCAGAAAACGCACATGTCCTATTCAAACCCCACTTCTCGCCTCACCGGAGTCTCACTGAGGTGATACCCGTTGCTAAAAGTGCCACCATTGCACGTGTCGTGTCTCCCATTACAATGGACAAGACCTATCAGCGTAGCTTTTTCGCCGAGTTGAAAACGACGTTTCACACACAGAGAAAATGCTTCAAAATAGGCGACATGTTTCCCGTATGCATTGACTCTGTGCTCTCCCGGGCACTTTTCGATTTCACAGCACACCTGGACCACAACGAAGACGAAGAGGGCGCGGATTCGGATATTGTTCCGACTGGACATCCAGATTCAGTTGCCTGGTTCAGAGTAGTGGATATTTCTGGTACCGAAGGCGAATCTTATAAAGGTTCTCAGTACGTCATTGATCCCGCAAGGACAAGTTTGACGTCTTCAGGTGTGGAGTTTGTGGCTGCTCCGCAAAATAAGAACATTCACTGGAATGAGTATTTGAAAATGACACCTATATTCGATTACTTTCTGGCATTCTCTGCCAATCCGGCCACGTTCAAATACGCCAACGAGTTTTTCCAGGTGCTCGAGACAAATGTAAGATCTTCAGGACGTACAGATCTCCGGGCCAATACTCTCCTCTACTCCATGTCTCGTGGACTAGGAAAAACCACATTGGTCAGAAGTGCCGCGTTGCATTTTGGGTTTAATCTAATTGAGCTCGACGCAAATGATTTCGTGAGGCCAGGAGCAGAACTTAAGCTGGTTGGCTTGCTCAGCGGTAAAATTGAAAAACAACTCGCAGGTCAGTTAGAGGCAGCTCACTGTGACAACTATCATCTTCTCTACGTTAAACATATTGAGGTTTTGTGTGCGCAGGTCAATCTAAACGAACAAGGCGCATCAAGCACGATCTCTCTCTCGTTGAAGGTGGTCAAAGCCATTCAGGAAATCATGGCCAAATACACCAATATCGTGCTTGTTGCGAGTAGCAACGACGTTGACAAGGTCAGCGACACCTTCAGGCAAATAATCACGTTTGAGATCAATGTGGGTGTTCCCTCCGAGCAGGAAAGGTTGGAAATATTTAATTTCTTTCTTGATCTAGAGACACAGGCTTCAAATTCAGAAACTTTACCCGAGGCGTTTGAGGACAAGATTGAGTTCACAAGCAGACCAGACTTTGACGACTTTTGTATTGATAAGCGACAAGACGTTCAGAACCAGACGCTTGCACTTCAATCCGCTGGATTGACACCACTGGACTTGAAATCAATTATAAAGAAAACAAAACAATCGGCCACGTTGAGACTCATCAATTATGCGAAGTCTGTCAACGTTAATGTGGAGAAGCTTGTCAAAATTGGAAATGGCGGTAGTCTTTTGTTGATTCCAGAGGATTTCGAAAATGCCATCAATGACGCCAGAAACCAATTTAGCGATTCGATCGGTGCCCCCAGAATCCCCAATGTGAAATGGGAGGATATCGGGGGCTTGGACTTAGTCAAGGACGAGATTTTGGATACGATAGACATGCCTTTGAAACACCCGGAGTTGTTCAGCAATGGGCTCAAGAAAAGATCAGGTATCTTGTTCTATGGCCCTCCAGGTACAGGCAAAACTTTGCTTGCCAAAGCCATTGCCACCAATTTCTCGCTTAATTTCTTCAGCGTAAAGGGCCCAGAGTTGTTGAACATGTACATCGGAGAATCCGAAGCCAACGTGAGGCGAGTATTCCAGAAAGCTCGTGACGCCAAGCCATGCGTAATTTTCTTTGATGAGTTGGACTCTGTGGCTCCCAAAAGAGGTAACCAGGGCGATTCCGGTGGTGTCATGGACAGGATAGTGTCACAGCTTTTGGCTGAGTTGGACGGCATGAGTGGAGGCGAAAATAACGGTGATGGAGTGTTTGTCGTTGGAGCTACAAATAGGCCTGATTTGCTTGATGAGGCGTTGTTGAGACCTGGAAGATTCGACAAGATGTTATATTTGGGAATCTCCGATACAAACGAGAAACAGGCGAAGATCCTTGAGGCGTTGACAAGGAAGTTCAAGTTGGGAGATGATGTCGATCTTGGCAAGATTGCCGAGAAGTGCTCCTTCACATTCACAGGAGCTGATTTCTACGCTTTGTGCAGCGACTCAATGTTGAATGCCATGACAAGAACAGCCAACGAAGTGGACAGCAAGCTCAAGCTATTCAACCAGACCCGAACAAGCGAAGGAAAAGAGGAGGTTTCTAGTCGCTGGTGGTTCGACAATGTTGCCACCGCAGAAGACATCGACGTGCAAGTATCCATGGCTGATTTCGAGAAGGCCCAACGTGAGTTGTCGCCTTCAGTCAGTGCCGATGAACTTGCTCACTACTTGCGCGTCAAGGAGAATTTTGAGGGCGGAAAAAACAAACAGGCCTCCAGCGATACGAACGATAGATATGAAGACAGCAATGGTCAGTCAGAAGAAGTCAGAGAAAATGGAGATGCAACAATGTCGGATATGATGGAAGGTAACAGCATCATCATCAATGAAGACTAAACACCAGTCGTGAGGTCTTTAAAACCAAATGCAAGAGAAAAAATATAGTGGCTGATAAAACCGTACTTCGTGGTTTCATGCGGCCAGGCAGAAGATCACTTCTTCAACAAGTAACTGTTGTCCAATACGTCCTTGGCCTGATTGATTTTCTGCGACAAATAAACACTTCCGGAGCGGTCTGGGTGGTTCATGATCATGAGTTTTCTATAATGCAGTTTCAAAATGTCTCGGGTCAAACCCGAGATTTCGCTTGCCTCGATTCCCAACACTAGAAGCGCCTCACGCTCGGTCATCTTGCTCTCGAAACCGGTGTTGTTGAACCGCGACTTGAGATATTTTATATGAGATGGCTCATTGGCCAGCCTGTTGAGCGACGAGTCGCCCGGGCCATCCAAGCGTATTTTATTTAGGGTGGCGATCATCTGTGGAGAAAGCCGGTTGAACCGATGGACCGTACCTGCTAAGGCTTTCCCAGAAAGAGCCAACACTGTGGCGCCCACGCCAATGATTATAGGCAAGACCATGGGACAATCTGGGCTAGGAAATAAATAGAATCAAGCGGTACGCAGAGAAGACTTGTAACGAGACAGTAAAAAAGGTGGAGGCAAAGACCAATGGGCCGGGATCCTATGCAGATGCATTTCGCAGTCCGAGCTGTGCGATCTTATAGGATGGCGATAATTTGCGGCAACAGGCAACAGCGCCAAACTAAGCGGGCGAGGCTGGAGTCTTGAAATGATATGATTGTTTTTGTTCGATTATAAAAAAAAATCATAGCCTTTGGTATTCTTGCTGAAGGGGTACTTCGGATCACAGATAATGCGAAATGAATTAGGAGGACGATGAGCGCATGGGCCCTTTTGGGTTATTGTGAATATGGACGCTTGACCCTTTGGTTGCTAAGCCATGGGCCGGAACTCAGTTTGGTGTATTCTGAGTTTGAATTACCATTCTGACTTGCTTCCAAAAAAAAAGGCGAAAAACAGAATTAGGTGAGAAACCACACCGAATAGTATCAGTGAGATTCTGGCCCACGCGCAGATGTTTAGTTCGATAATATAACTAGGTGGCATAGTGTGGGATGTCCCATTGCCTTGCTTTCTATGTTTTGTATTACAATGGTAAGGGCTGGAATTTGACGATATAAGCATAATTGGATTTGTGGGCCTGAGGGCGCAACGCAGTTGGGGCAGAGTGAAGTATTGAAGATACTTTGCGGAATACGTCGGATCTTTTTTTTTCGATTGTTTACGATTGTGGTTTCTATTAAGGCTAGATACAGAAAGGGGTGATTTCATAAAGTGGGGATATACAAGGCCATTCATGGTGTAGGTCTTCTATCGTTGGATGGGTGCTCATTAATTAGAGTTCTCTCTGGCTATCAGACCAATGCATCCGAGGAATATTTTGTGAGAAAACACTGAAGCTTGAGGAGGATTAATCTTTTGTTTGAGTCTCATTTTCAGAGAATTGCAACCAAATTCTTGGAAGCTTGATGTCTTATAAATGGAATGTCCATAACAAAGCGTGCGCAAGGGTGCGACGCATGAAATACAAGAACATGTAATCGAAGCATGAAAGGGAATATAATATGGAGCAGAAAGGTGTAATATAGATTTTCAGGGTATATTGAAGGTGAGTAAGCAGTGTGAAGAAGTGTGATGAACATTAAGAAAATAGAACCTGATCTATAAAGGGGTAAGCTGGGTAAAGAGTTGAGCAGAAGGGTGGAGCGGGGTTAGTCAAAACAGAGTTCAGAGGAGAATTGGGATGAAAATGAAGAGAAAACTATTAAGATAATTCTGAAGGGACATTAGAAGAAAATTCTGAGGGTACATCAAAGGAGAAAATTATGAAGAGAGTTCTGAAGGGACATCAAAAGAGAACGATGAAGAGAATTATAAAGGGACGTCAAAAGAGAAATCAAAAGGGGAATTAAAATCAAAATGAGATAAGAATCATAAGAGAAGCCCACGAGAAATCAAAAGGGAAATTGAAATAAAAATGAGAGAAAAATCATAAATGGAACCGAAGAGAAATCAAAAGGATCAACGAATAAAACGACCCAATTAGGAATAAAAAACGATACGGTTACTCAAGCCCCCAGCAGAAAATCATCTGGCCCGCGGGCAGCCGGCAATTTGCGGCGGAGATCTCCGAGCGCGTGGGCCGAAAAGCCCCAGAAAATAGAGAGGTAAATGAGATCCATTTGGCTGAGCCGATCTCGCCCTCCATGGACCTAAAAAGGGACCCGTAAGAGAATAATGGTGGACTGCACTAAAGCGGGCCGATGCCCGTGTCGGGAGTAGGCCGGGAATCTGGCGTGGTGGTCTTTATGTGGTCTTTATGTGGTCTTTATGTGGTCTTTATCGTGGCGGTCCTATAAGCGCATACGCGGCTCTGGCAGCTATGCGTGGAGCAGGCCCACGAGGACGGTCTGCAGCAAGCGAGGAAATATGAGACAAGCAAATTGGGCCAGCTGCCTTGGCCAAACAAAAAGAGCAGAAGAGAAATAAGGGACATACGGGTGTGGGTATAAATGGACTGGAATAAAAGAACGGACTGGCACAAAGAATGGGCTGGAACAAAAAAATTGGGCGGAATTAGAAGATTGGGCCGGAATGAAGAATAAGCTGACTGGAGACAGCAGAAAGAAACGAGACCGGCCGCCAACTTGGAATGAGACAACGCGACAACGCGACAACGCGACAACGCGACAACGCGACAAATCAGAGCGAACCAAATCTAATCAAATCAAGTCAGATTCTAGCAAATGATCAAGCACCCTGATCAGACTGAAACAAAGACAGATCAAACAGAGACAGATCAAACAGAGACAGATCAAAAAAAACCAAACCATTACAAATCAATCAAACTAGAAAAAAAAAAAGAAAAAAAGAAAAAAAAAAGCACAGAGAAAGAGCCCCTCTTGGCCGTCCCATCTCTGCCCACGGCCCTAGAATTCCGCGCCCCTCTAACCTCTAAGCCCATGCCAGCGGCGCCAGCGCCATCGCTGCCCGCTTCCTCTGCATCCGGTGAGCCTGCACACAGCGCCCTCGGACATCGCCCGCGCCAACTCCGGCCGACATCCAACCGGCCCATGGCCTGCGCGCCCACTATATAGGCATGGCTCCAGCCGGCCCTTCCCTTCGAGCTTTTTTTTGCTCGCTTTTCCTCACCAATCTACACACCTCTCCATGTCTCAATCCTCCTTGCACTGGTTGACCCAGCTCAACACCACCGAGACCCCCGACAAGTCGTTGCGCCGCTCGTCCATCATCGGCACCATCGGCCCCAAGACCAACAACGCCGAGGTGTTGGTCAAGTTGAGAAAAGCCGGCTTGAACATCGTGCGCATGAACTTCTCGCACGGCTCCTACGAGTACCACCAGTCTGTGATCGACAATGCACGCAAATCCGAGGAGCTCTATAAGGGCCGCCCCTTGGCCATCGCCTTGGACACCAAGGGCCCGGAAATCAGAACCGGCACCACCGTCAGCGGCGAGGACTTCCCGATCCCGGCGGATCACGTGATGACGTTCACCACCGACGACGCCTACGCCAAGCTGTGTGACGACAAGGTCATGTTCCTCGACTACAAGAACATCACCAAGGTCATCGACAAGGGCAGAATCATCTATGTGGACGACGGTGTGTTGTCCTTCGAGGTGCTCGAGGTCGTGGACGACCAGACCTTGAAGGTCAAGTCCGTCAACGCCGGCAAGATCTGCTCGCACAAGGGCGTCAACTTGCCCGGCACGGACGTGGACTTGCCCGCGTTGTCCGAGAAGGACAAGAGCGACATCCGCTTCGGAGTGCAGAACGGCGTGCACATGATCTTCGCCTCGTTCATCAGAACCGGCGACGACATCAAGGAGATCAGAAAGGTCTTGGGCGACGACGGCAAGGACATCCAGATCATCGCCAAGATCGAGAACCAGCAGGGTGTCAACAACTTCGACGACATCTTGAAGGAGACCGACGGAGTCATGGTGGCCCGCGGTGACTTGGGCATTGAAATCCCCGCGCCCCAGGTCTTTGTTGTGCAGAAGCAGTTGATCTCCAAGTGCAACTTGGCCGCCAAGCCCGTGATCTGCGCCACGCAGATGTTGGAGTCCATGACCTACAACCCCAGGCCCACCAGGGCAGAGGTGTCCGATGTCGGAAACGCCGTTTTGGACGGCGCCGACTGTGTCATGTTGTCCGGCGAGACCGCCAAGGGCAACTACCCGTTCGAGGCCGTGTCCATGATGCACAACACCGCCATCATCGCCGAGAAGGCCATCTCCTACACCACCTTGTTCAACGAGCTCCGGTCCTTGGTGAAGAGACCCACGGACACCACCGAGACCTGTGCCATTGCCGCGGTCTCGGCCGCCTACGAGCAGAACGCCAAGGCCATTGTGGTGTTGTCCACGTCCGGAAAGACCTGTAGATTGGTGTCCAAGTACAAGCCCAACGTGCCGATCATGATGGTCACCAGAAACCCCCGTGCCGCGCGCTTTTCCCACTTGTACCGGGGCGTGTACCCCTTTGTCTACGAGAAGGATAAGGTGGAGAACTGGCAGGAGGACGTCGAGAACAGATTGAGATGGGCCGTGGCCGAGGCCAGCGACTTGGGCATCCTCCAGAAGGGTGACTCCATCGTCACGATCCAGGGATGGACCAGAGGCTCGGGCCACTCCAACACCATCAGAATCGTGCAGGCTTAAGCTGCGCTTTTTCAATTCATCGGACCACTTAGGAAATGCCACATAATACTTTGTACTGCCGCGTAGAGGCCGCCGTGTCACGTAGACTGCCATGCCTGTGGATGTGCTCGTGTGCACTCTTCCCATCTGCCCATCTGGCCACGGGCTTTTGGGCGAGTGTCTTGACGGAACGCAATGCAATGACAGCCTGGAGCTGGCCAATGAAGGTCGGCCATGCACGTGCACAATGGTCAGATTTGGCCTTTTGCTGGCGTTGTCCGACTAAACATACGAAGTAGCACATTCGCAGCTAATAAATGTCTGTCCGTCTGGCACGTTTGATCCCACCAAAGGCAGACACACACAAAAGGAGAGGGAGCAGAAAGAGAGCGAGACGCAGAGGAAGAGAGAGACGCAGATAGACCCGACCCATTCATTGGTAAATTGTAGTGGCGGATCAGCTCGGGCATGGCCCTGGGCATCACGTGACCGCCTCCGCCAATACGGTCCTCCAGGCCACCAAGCTAGGGCACTCAAAACTGCCACCAAGACACCAATAAGACGGCTTTCCGTACAGTTCCCTGCCAGAATCCCAGCCTGCCGGAGCCATACACCACCGTAGCCACAGAATCGTGGGGCATCAAAAGACCCATCAGATCCGGAGCCCGGCGCTGCGTGCAGGACGCCTGAAAAGTGAGCGATACCTGCTCGTTCTCCAGAAGGCAGTCTTAAAAGAAGAACATACAAAGCACCCGATCCGCGTCTTGGAGATTGCCCGGCCATTTTGAAACCAACAAAGTCGTCTGTCCTCGAAAAACAACCCAGAACAAGTGCCGATTCCCCGAACACGTGCCTGGACCTGCTCTCTCAAACACCCGTATAGGTACACGCCAGAGTCTGCGAGACCTCTGATATTCCCTCTTTTTTTGCGTCCCATGACCTCCCACTTAATGTTGAAGAGAATTGCGCTCGGCCCGTGCAAGGCCCAGCTCCCCATGCTTGCCAGAACATACGCCAAACCCACGGGCAGCCCTCAAACAGCAGGTGAAGCCAGCGCCACCGAGCCGGCCAAGAAAAACACGGATCTTGCCACCACGCACTTCGGGTTCCGGACCGTGAACAAGGAGGACAAGGAGAAAATGGTGCGCGGCGTTTTCTCGTCCGTGGCGTCCAAATACGACGTGATGAATGATGCCATGTCCTTCGGTGTGCACAGACTTTGGAAGCACCACTTCATCAACAGATTGGATGCCGGCATGCGGGCCAGCTCCTCGAAGCCCTTGGACTTTCTCGACGTTGCCGGCGGTACCGGGGATATCGCGTTTGGTCTCTTGGAGCACGCCGAGCAGAAGTTTGGCGACACCAAATCTACCATGACTGTGGCCGACATCAACCCCGACATGTTGGCCGAGGGCCGGGTGCGGTACGAGAAGTCGAAATGGAACGACGGCTCCAACAGAGTCAGCTTCCTCGAGCAGAACGGTGAAACCATGGAATCGATTCCCGACGAGTCCAAGGACGTGTATACGATTGCTTTTGGTATCCGTAACTTCACCAACATCCAAGCCGGCTTGAACACTGCCTACCGTGTGTTGAAGCCCGGCGGAATCTTTGCGTGCCTCGAGTTCTCCCACGTGGAAAACCCCGTGGTCGACTATGTTTACCAGGCCTATTCTTTTGGTGCATTGCCGTTGATGGGCCAGTTGATTGCTGACGACAGAGACTCGTACCAGTACTTGGTCGAGAGTATCCAGAGATTCCCCAAGCAGGAGGCGTTCCGCGGCATGATCGAAAAGGCTGGTTTCTACGTGCCCGAGCAGGGCTACGAGAACTTGACTTTTGGCGTGGCCAGTATCCATATTGGTGTCAAGCTTTAGAGCTCCCGTGTCTTTTACATGTACATAGTAATCACCAGAAATTGATGAATGTTGGAGGGTGAAGGAACGATCGATTCGGGCCCAGACACAGGGCAGTATTGCCCTCATGGGTGCAGTGACCCATACTTTGTGGGTGGGCCTATTTGTTCCACTCAGGATCCACTGCCATGCTCCTTCGGAGGTCATGTTGCCAATGCAAAAAAAAAAAAAAACACTTTCTTGGACCTGTCTGTTGACAGAAACTACCATGAAAATGCCAATCAAACTTTCAGGAGTCACGCTTGTCAACAGTGAAACTCACGAGATGGGGCGCTAGCCCAAGAACTGCCCGTCTGTTCAAGAGTGAAGAGTAAGTGGCTTTCTATCAATAGTATGCTTGTAAATCCCTCAAACGCCATTCGATGAAGCACTTCTGATGATGACAGCCGTTCACTTCTCACATGTTTATGGAGATGCGTTAATTAATGTTCGTGATTGTGCTGCATCCATTTCTCCATTAGACATCTGGCTGTGATGAGGGATGCTTATTGAAACACAGAGATCTGCTCACAATGCTATTTCTTGCAGTGCAAGTAAAACATCCTCACCAAGCGCAAGGCTCTTTACAAAGCGCTGTGTCAACTCTGTATCGATGAGCATATCCACATCTTCGTCATTCTGCACGCTCAGGATCTGCCCGTTCCGAATCCGGACTTCTGCGTCCACAGTTTGTTCACCTGATCCAGGAGCCTGGCCCAGGATTTTCAAAACAAATTCAGACCCCGGCTCTCCATAGCAAACCTCCAGGAACGTGATTTGAAAGAATGCTTTGTCCAGCCGGAAGCTTTCTGTGGTGTCTGCGTTGAAATCGTCTTGTATCATAGAATCGTTTTCTTCACTTTCGCTCTTAATGAAGTCACCCAAGTCAAGATCACGGTCAAGCATTTGTACACCCGTATAATCATTGGAGATTGTATTTAGGCCAAGAAGTTCTGCATCAGGCACGTCACTTGAGAGTTGCAAGGAGTCCCTGATTCTCTGCTTGTTTTCCTCGTCAATGGATGCGTCTGACCTTTCGACGTACTCACTATTTTTGTCTAGAGCAACACTCTCGAAGATTTTCATGAATGTGATCTGGTTTCGGAGAGCAGGTAAAAGCTCTGCAAGAATGTGAAGGTTTCCAAGAGATACCGCCAGCAAGTTCACGTGGGGAGCAAACTCGTCAAACGCAAACACATACTCCAACGCCGTGTTCTTGAATCTGAGCTCTCCTGTCTCAGCAATTTCATTCCACATGTTGTTGAGCTCCAGTGGCTTTGCACATTCATAGTCAGTGATGCCCAAATACTGCAAGAGCGTCTCTGGAAAAAAGATCGGTTCCGCGAACCGAAGCACGAGTTTCCAATTTGAGTTTGCAGTGACACTCTGGTGGTTATGTAAGTGGGCAAATTCAGTCTCGCCCCCGAAAAAATATGGCAATTTCTCGCCACTGGAAGTCAGGATATGCCATGGTTTAGATTTGGCATCCAACACATAGTCCACCGCTGGAGATTTGGACTCTTCGATAGCTAAAAGAGCAGAGTATTTTCTTCCCATCTGAGGCCTCTGGTCCTGGATTAAGTAATGGTTGAGAACGCGACAATCTTGCCAGAATTGTAGAAAGACACCCACATGTCTCTGGTCTTTGTCATTGAGAATCACTTTCCCGACACTGTTTGTAAGACCGTCTGCTATCTGCCAATCTTCAGGGTTGAGTATGCATTCTTGGTGGTGAATGGCAGACATATACATGGCCAAGTTTTCTATGTATACAATCAAATCTCCCTCCGGTGGCGAGACGCGATCAAGGTCCGCGAGGTATTCTAAATTTCTTGGAAATGATCCCAATTTTGGGCCTTCAAGGCTGGCAAAAAGAATTTCTTCGGCGACGGAACCAGAACTTTGGCCGAGCCCTAGCTGTGTTTGCAGTGTTCGAAGGAACGACGCTCTAAGGTCGGGCAGAAAAGATAAGACAACAGTTTTTGCCCCGTTTTTCGACGATACAGAAGTAGCAGTTTCTGAGACAATGTTTCCGGAAATCTTTGCAGACGAGTTTTCTTCTGCAAGAGTTTCCAGTGGGTGATTCCCCAGAGAAAGACTCACTTTAGACACTGTGTGATCATCTTCGAAATCGATTTCCAAGAGAAGAAGAGATCCAGCAATTGAGAGACGTGTCACGCCAGGAAACTCCTCTGTATCAACAAAAGTGTCGAGACTGAGGCTTTTGGCCAATTTGACGATGATTTCAATAGAGATCCGAAATTCAGAAGACTCGCTATAGAGCCTCCGGAGCGAGTCTTGAAGCGCGCTTTCATAAGGCATTAAGAGTATTCAAGAGAGTCAGTAAAAGCTGGGTTTGTTGATGGCGTCAGAAGTTCCTGGAAAATCTTGCTGCAATATTAAAGTAGTCTTGTGGAGATCCATGCTCTTTCACGCAATCAGATGTGAATAGAAACAGATGAGTCGCGTCACGTGACCGTGTTGATCGCCAATTTTTTTGCTGTTCACGGCAGGCAAAGTGGTCCAAAATGGGCAATTACATAAGTATTATTTGATGTCCCTCATTCCGGGCCTGTTTCTTGGGGACAGATGCATTATTGGGCTTTAGCTGTTACACATCAATTAGTTGGGGCAGAATTATCAGATGGGTGCACTGTGCATCGTACTCAGTCCAGTCTCCCAAGGACGAGTGCTAAGAGTTATGGGTATAATTACGAGTAGATTTGCTGCTGTGAGAGCTTTTGCTTGCAGAGTATCAATCCAATTTTCTTGCTGATGTGAAACATTTGGCATTGTTAGCAATATTACAACTTCGCACGCTTCAACGTCCACATTGGAAATATTTTAATATAACCCACAAAAATCGAAACACGTTAATTCTTCCGCAAGAAATCAGTGGCGACTTTTGGAGAGCCTGCTTCTCGCAATTTCTATATCATGAAGGTTTTCCAGGCGGTTGGTCTATGGGGTGCCTAGTCTTTCGACCTTTGCTCGGACCACTACACGTGACCCAGTGCAGGCATTAGTGGCCCACTGAATTCAAGCACTAGACTTAGTAAAAAAACACTAGCAATTAAAGACAGGTCAATTCAAGAAAGCAGAGCGTGTCCGGCGGAAAAGCAAGTATTTTCTAACGAAGCACTGCTAAATTTGTGTGAAACGTTATGGCAGATGGTAGATGGCACTACCAAATAAATAGCAGGCGAGCGCACTAGAAAGCGAGAAGTATCCATGCGCCAAGAACCCCATTTTATTTGGTAGATTCGTCTGATCAGAGGAGCAATCATGTAGAAATAACATATATAAAAGCGTTTAAACAGCTCCTAACATATATAAAAGCCTTAAAACTGCTCTCAGATACGCACCAAGTGTCGAAACTAGGCCCGGCCCCTTCCATTAGCCACGGCCTGGACGGTCTTTTTGGGCTGTGAATGTTTACGTATTGGATGCAATATAAAGCAGTGGGGAAGTGCAAATACAATCAGGAAGATTTCACGTACCGATGACCCGAAAATCCAGCATAGAATCGCAACGCTAAACTCCACCGCCTGGAGGAGCCGATGTCAGCGACCTGCACACAATACCTGGGGCGCACTTCTCTTCTCACCTCAAAAAAATATCTCGGCCCCCAGAGTCACTTCTGTGCCGCCAAACCCGCATAAAAACCCGAACAAAACATGCCCTCTGCCCTAACCCTGGATGTCCAGGCACTCGTGGACCCGCTAGTTCTTGAGCTTAAGCGGAAGCAGCACACCGGCGACAAGGACGTGGCCCTCAAAGTGGCTCACGTCCTCATGAGAGTGATCTCGGCGGCCCGGTGGACGGATCCGCACGACCTCATTGCCCTCATTAGGAAGGTGGGGCTCGACTTGCACCACGCCAGTCCGCGGGAGTTCATTCCCGGAAACGTGGTTAGGCGTGTGTTGGCCATTATCCGCGACGAGATCGAGACCGCCGACCCGCTGGCGCAGGATAACACGCCCATGATCAGCCTGATGTTCAGCCTCTTGTCCACTGCGCACAGTGTGCAGGACACACAGCACCCCCAGCACAAGCTACTGAAGAAGCAGCTGAGCGACATGCGCTCCATTGTCATCCAGGGCATCCGGGATTTGATCGACGAGATCTCCAACGTCAAGGAAGAACTTGAAAACATGGCTGCTGATCTCATTCACGAAAACGAGCTTTTGTTGACTGCAACCCCAGGCTCTGACACCGTGTTGCAGTTTCTCATCAAGGCGCGCGCCAAGCGGAATTTCACCGTGCTTGTCACGGAAAGCTTCCCGAACGATACCGAGGATGCCCACAGGTTCGTGAAAGCGCTTGCGGAAAACAAGATCCAGACCGTCTTGATTCCCGATAGCACAGTGTTTGCGGTGATGCCGCGTGTAGGTAAAGTCATTTTGGGTGCAAACACCGTTTTCGCCAACGGTGGATGCATGCTGAACTCGGGGGTGGCCAATGTGGTGGAGTGTGCCAAGGAGCACAAGACGCCTGTTTTTGGTGTGGCGGGGCTTTACAAGTTGTCGCCCCTTTACCCGTTCAACCGGGAGGACTTAATCGAGGTGGGCAACTCGGGCAAGGTGTTGAGCTACAGCAACTCGAAGCTCATGGAGAACGTTGACGTGGTGACGAACCCGTTGGGCGACTACGTGCCCCCGGAACACATCGATATTTACATCACCAATGTCGGCGGGTTTGCGCCCTCCTTCATATATCGAATTGTGCTCGATAATTACAAGCCCGAGGACACCAGCTTGGAGTAGTCTCTGGCTGCTCTGCAAATACATCACACCCTCATTAGCATACCTTCATACAATATCTTTTCCTTCATTCATTCATTTTTTTTTCCTTTTCTTTCCATCTAATACATTATATTCCTCGCGTTGTTGATAACTCAACTGGACAAGATTTCCGCAGCCTCGTCTTCACGCTCAAACCTCTGTCTCTCCTCAAGAGACTTTCTGTTCAACATGGTCTCGATCGCCGTAGAGTAGGGTGCCTTACCATCCGTAGTGGGGTTGTTGGTGGTCACCGTCTTGAAATAATTCTGGTAAATGTCTCCGTCATAGTAGCCGATTGGCGCGTTGATCATCATATCAGACATCATGAACGAGTCTGTCAAGGGGATCACATGTGGCCTAATTTTGGCGCACAACTCGGCGATGTGATCCGTTGAATTGTGAGCCATAGCCTCGGTAGAAACAACAGAGTATGTCAAGAATGTCCCGGAGAACGCCTCCAACACAATAGCCGCGCTATACAATTGCGCCAACAAGTCCAAAACTGGGGCCAAGTCCTTCTGGTCCTTTGTGGCCTCGATCTTCTCGAGGAACGCCTTCAACAAGAAGAAATGCGCCAACAACTTGGATAGGTTGACAAGGTCGGCCCCAATGTAGTCTGTATCACCCTTTCTCATCTCCAAAACTTCATCAGCCCGCGCACAGGCTCTAACAAGCGCAGTTTGAATGGCAAGCATGATCTTTGCTGGGTTGTTCAAGTCCTGTTTCAGCAACACGGGCTCGTTTCCGAGAAGCTCCTTGTACAGTCCCAAGAAGTCTAGAATGCCCGTGGCTGGCTCGCCTTTCTTCACTGCAGCGTACTTTTTCATCAACTGCTTGCCCACGGACATGCCCAAAATATTGTTGTCGCCCTCCCACGTACACTGAACAGCAAAGTCATTGAAAGCCTTTCCGAAACCGGCGTACGATGAGTAGCCATGGCCACCGCAGGACTGTCTACACTCGTCGATGTTGGATAGAGTGAGCCAGGTGCATGTGGACTTCAACGAGCCCGAGGCGACGAAAAGTGACTTCATCTTGTCGACACCAGCACTCAACATGCGTTTATCACCTGCAGCAACGGCACGGTCCAACTCGTCCAAGGTACTAGAGGAAGTCTCTGCCAAGACGTTGGCGCCGTTAGAAAACGCGTAGGTCAACGCCAAGATAGGAATGAGCCGGCGCTGGTGCAACGGGTAGTCCAACAATTGCGTTTCGGGGTCACCTGGCTTCGCCAAGGCGGCCTTAAACTGCCTCCTGCCCACGGCGTACCGAAGAGCAATGGTGATGACGCGCGCAGACCACCGGAACGAGTCCTTGACCATGGTAACACGCCCCACCAACAACGCGGAGTACGAGAGCTGGTTCAACGGCGGCTCCTTGACGGCGCCGTCCGCGGACACCTTGCAGTACTTCTGCAACATGAAGAAGCGAGGGATGCGCACGTGGGAAAACTGGATCCAGCCGTTGTCGATGCCGTCGCGGCCCATCTTGGCGCCAATGTCGCCGATGGACACGCCGGGCATCAACTGGTGGTCCGCGTCGCGCAAATGCACCACGAAGGTCTTGACTCCGTAGTCCTTGCCCTTGACAATAAGGCGGGCGTACACGGTGCAATGCGTGGCGGAGTGTGCAGCCCCGCCAATCCACCATTTGGTGGCACCCAAGTGCGGGGTGTGGATCACAAACTCGTCGGTGTCCGCGTCGAACGTGGCGGTGGTCTCCAAGCCGGCCACGTTCAGGCCGTGCGCCAACTCGGTCATGCCAAAACACCCGTAGAGGTTCTTCACATACGCGGACTCCTTCTGCAACAACCAGTATTGCATCTGGTTCGCGGTACCGTTGCCTCGAATACACCCGAGGAACAAGCCCAAGTGCACGCCGATGCGCGTGAAGAAGCTGGGATCAAACACCGACACAACCAGGAGCCTCCGCTCCACCTCCTCAAACGTCTCTACTTCTATATATTGCGCGAGACGATTGATTTTCTTGACTGTGAGCTCGCGGTGCTCAGCTTTGGTGGCATCGTAGTCCGCCGTTTTTGCAGCCAAGATCGGGTCCCGCTCCATCTGGCTGATGAAATAGCGGGTCTCGAGGGCCCGTTCCTTCAGGCCCTCAAGAAAGTAGTTCATGTGGTTCAAGTCGAAGGTTGCGCGGGCGCGTTCTTCGTGGATGAGAGCGCGGGGGTTCGGGCCCGCGCCATAGTCCACGGACCCTGTGACTTGCGCGACTGACGCCATTGTGTTATCGCAGCCCATGGCGAGAAAAAAAGGAGTATTTACTTGGTGATGTCGCGAATTTCAGCGGGCTTATCAGCTGCGAAAAAATGTGGTTTCAAGGAGGCTTGAGAAGACAGCCAAATAGCGCGTGCGTTTGAAGGATCCTATGAATGTGAGTCCTAAGAAGTCGTTTGATTTCGATGAGTCTTGAGAGTCGTACGAGTTTCGTGAATCTTGTGAATCTTGTGAATCTTGTGAAGTGTCACAATTGGTTTCCTGCAAATACAAACACGGTAGGTGCGTACTCAGAATCCCTTGAACTTTATTTGATCTTTTATGAAGCAGTTAGAAGAGTGTTTTTTCAAAGTCCGGGTGCCAAGGCGGCTCGCCACGCTACTCTTATATTACATGGCTGGGTCATGTGATTTGTGGCCCCGCGCGCGTTGAGCGAGGCTCATCCAAGCAAGCCGAGGCTCCATGTGCAAATTTTAATCAAATTGTTTGTCGTGTTAGGTGGGGGATTTGCGCCGACAGGAACTCCAAATGACGCCGGTCAGCACGGAATAAGAACTCCCAGGTTGTTGCTATAAACGTACATCTACACATAGTTTAACACATGAAGCTCCATTTAAACGAACCAGTTGCTGGGGCGGGAGATCACAGTAGCAATATGAGTTTTGGGAGGAAGTGGTCGATTTCCTAGATTACGGTTGATGTTCGCGGCCTGAGATGTTATCTTGCCATTTGAATCGTAAAAAACAGCCTGGAATACATTTCTAGTGTTTGAACCATCATAATACTCAGCCCGCCGTTCCCCTCGAAGCTTCAATGGCCAAGGCTCACTTTCAGTGGGGAATAGAACCGAGGTTCCGCACCTGCACAGACCACAGCTTGCGGTGCGGTCTTGGTCCGAGGTTGCCCCGCGATGTTGATTAACCATATGGTGCAATCAGCATTAGGGCCGCACACAGAAGCGGCTCAGTTCTTGACGACTTATGTCTCGCGGTGTTTTCCGATTCCGAGATGCGGTTATTTTGTGGCAGGCTTTCCGAAAATGGGGCCAGGTCACGTGGACTACGAGTCTTCGGGGCCAGCAGAACTTGCACGACGGGCGGCCACTTCCGTTAAATGTTTCTCCATGTTCTGGGGGCCGGGCTCCAGTGACTTGCCTCATCTAAGACCTTCGTTTTCTGCGACGCGCCTGCCTTTTGGAAACACTCTCCGTAGAACGCACTCTCCGTAGAACGCACAACCCGTGGAACCCACGGTATCACGTGACACATCATGTCCGGACGTACGTGGCATCGATCTTGGCGAGCGAGTCGCCGAGACAAAGACGCAACTTCCGTCTGTATGCCGTGGGGTTGGTGAGCTGCACAGGGTTGCCCTCGAAGTACACCGTGTCCAAGTCGGGCAACAGGCCCAACTGCTCAGTGATCTCATTGAAGGACGAGATCTGGTTGTACGAGCACCAGAAATCCGTGAGTTTCTTCAAGTGCGCGAGCCCGCTCAAATGCGTGAGTCTGTTGGAGGTCACGTCGAGCACCGTGAGGTTGGCGTTGTGCTCCAAGTTCTCGATGCGCTCGATGCCGTTGTGCGAAAGATAGAGTTCCTCCAAGTTGACCAACTTGTCCAAGCCCTCGATGCGCGTGAGTCTGTTGGACTGGATGGAGAGCACGCGGAGACAGGCCAAGTTGTCGAGGTTCTCGAGGCGCGCGATTTTGTTTTTCCCCAACCACAACTGCTCGATGCTGGGCAAGTGGAGCATTTCCGGCAGGATGGCGGCGAGGCGGTTGCCGCCCAACTCGAGGTTCTTCAAGCTCTTCAACGTGCGCAAGTTCTTGATCTCGCTGATTTTGTTCTGCACAAAGTACAAGTTCTCGAGGCCCACCAAGCGGTCGATGTTCTTGATGTTCTTGATCTTGTTGAACGAGAGGTCGAGGTTTTTCAAGCGCACGAGCCGGTTCAACTGGCTGCTGAGGTGGTTGATGCGGTTGTCGTAGAAATCCAATTCTTCCAAGGTGTCCACGGGCAAATCCCGCACGCCGCCCACGGACTCGATGAGATTCTGGCGCAAACACAACGCCTCCAACTTCGGGAAGCGGCCGAGGTTGAGGTCCTCCAAACTCTGGATTTTGAGGTGGATGAGGTCGATGTACTCCGTGTCGTCCGGGTACTCGCGGGCCAAGTCGAAGTCGCTGGCTATCTGGTCCGGGTGCAAGTCCGGAACCACAGTTCCGGGGTACTCCACGGCGCCGGTTTCGCCGGTTTCGGCCTCGTCCTCGGGGTCCTCGTCGGTGTCCGAAAGGGCCGAATCCTGCATCCGGTGGGCAAGGTGGTCCACGGCGGCTGCCGCGGCGGCCGTGTGGGCCTCGTGGGTGTTGGGTGGGGAGGCGGCAGATGTCATTGGGGTGTTTCTGGGAGCACTGGAGCCTGCGAGGCGACGGAGCGAGAATAGGGCGGGGTCACGTGACCGGCCCGGCCCCGCCATTCGGCGCCCCCACTGGCCGATGCCGGGCGGGCCTGGCCCGGTCTAGGGGGGCGGGAACGGGCGCCCGGCAGCTGGCTGTAGGCGGAAGCAAGGAAAAATCATGGTATAGGCGGTGTTGGAATCTGAGTACTTCTGGCTATCCGGGTCCATGGACGCGCACCTGGAGAGGCCGAGCCGGGAGTTCTCCTGCGGGCAGCGACAAAACAGGGACGGGGAATTTTTTGACGATTCCATCCACAGCATCTGTGAAAGCTGCGGGGCGTTTCTGTCTGCAAGTCCCTTCTGCCTGATTTTTGCCGGCAGGTCGTTTCTGCAAGTCCCTTCTGCCTGATTTTTGCCGGCAGGTCGTTTCTGCAAGTCAGTTCTGCCTGCAAGCCGTCTTTGCCCCACCCGTGGCACCCAGGCCACCTGGTCTACAAGTCCGGAAGTCCGGCTAGTTGTTGATCTCCTTCGATTACATATATACAGCTGCAGAGTCATGTTTGCGTTGCCAGGCGTGCCTCGCTGCCTACAACTTCTGCTCCTCCTCGTAGATGTATTCCACGGCTTGGCCGACAGTCTTGATCTCGTCCGAAACCTTGTCGGGGATCTCCAAGTCAAACTCCTCCTCCAAGGCCACGAGCGCCTCGACGGTGTCCAAGGAGTCCAAGCCCAAGTCCTTCTGGAAATTGGCCTCCAACGAGATCTTGGACTCCTGCAAAGCAGCAACGGTTTTCAAGGCGTCGAACGCTCTTTGCGTGACCTCGGCCTTTGTGATTGGCGCAGAAGCGTAGAACCGCACAGGGGCGCGGAGGGCTGGGGCACGGAGCGAGCGGGCGGCAAGTCTGAACATGGTTTTTGGCGGTGGGGTGGAAATGGTGGGGTAGTAGGAGGCGAGATTTTTGTTCTTGTTTTTTCGAGATGGTGGAGGCCCGCCCATGACACCCGTACACCGCGGTCCCGCCGCCGCTGGTGGCCCGGGTATACGTTTTGGCTAGTCGGGATAATTAAGAGGTGATTGAGAAGTCGGGGATAATTTAGAGGTGACTAAAAAGTCGGAGTGTAGAGACGAGTGGCGGAAAGTTATGCTGGCCCGGGGTTTTATGGGCCCTGGGCCTCTTATCATGGGCCTCATATGCCTGCGGTGAGAAACCGTTGTGCGGGTGCAAATATCTCCAAGTGTTCGTGGTGACGACAAATGACTCAGTGCTACTTTTCTGTCCAATAAAGAAAACAATCCAGAGGTCAGAGACCGTCCAATGAGGCCCGAGTTAGCTCGGATGTTCTTGGATTTCGAATTCACCTGTATGTCTTGCACAGCTAATATGCGACACATTGCATTTCAACCTTGACTTCTTAGAATGCATCCAATCAAAGACATTTATTCGTGAAATATAAACCAGACCATGACAAACCACAATCTGCTCCAGCTGTGCCTCTCGCATGTGATTATTACCAAACGTCGAGAAAATCAGAATCCACAAGGTCATGCTGCTCACGCAAAGTTGTTCGAATGTCTCACAGCAGTCTGTTCTGGCTTTCTTCTCTTTCAAAATTTCCACTCTGAAGAAGCATGTGCCTGCAAGAAAAAGATGGAAGCTCTTATGTAGGGGTACTCGCCACGAAAAACAAAAGAATTGGGCCTTTTAAGAAATCCCCTCTGCAGAAGCATATGACTGCAAGAACAAGATGGAAGTTTGTTATCTGAATTCGGGATAGAACTTAGTTTTGAACACTTAGAAGATGGAAGAGCTATAATTCTGGTAGCTGGGAAATTCGTACGTAATAATCATGATACCTTTTTTATATGGACTTTGTAAAGCGGACGGTCCAGGGCAGATTGTCTTGCGCACATATTGTTGGCTGAAATTGAAATCCCGAAATCATAGGGCCATTTACAGTGCGGCTTTGGTCTTGCAGTGCGTAAGTCTGTCGAATAAGCAGGATGTGAATATCTACCCATGAAAGAGTATGCCAAGTTTGAAAAGCAGACACTGTAGCTTTCTGCATTAAGCGTAGTTTTTGGTACTTACTAACTAACTGAAATCACTTCTCATGGAAGCTATTGGCCCTCGCTTCTTTTTCTCGAGGATAGATACATGTGTGTAGGAAGGTGTAGTATGATCAATCTTCGACTGAGCTACATGATTTTTTTAGGAAAGGAAAAGCATTTAAACCGATGTAATCACACTAAAAAAGAGAATCTTTATATTCCAAAACATGTCATCCAAATCTAAAAAACTTCGGAACAAATCTAAGGAGTGAGACCATAAAGATTGTGCTGCCAAATTAATGTTTACAAATCATTAAATCTGAAAGAAGTTCAAATGAATCAAAGCCTTTCTGAGGCGAAGAAGACTTCACTCAGTAAACACTTTTGTTACGGGAAACCAAAAAAATAAACTCATTCCAAACGCTCAATATCAGTTCGTATAACCACTTTATTCATAAGGGATACTCTTTCTTTGAAGGAGATGGCCACCATGAAATTTCTTCTATAAAGCGTGCGTAGTTAACTCCTGTTATCCCGACTGAGTCCCACTAAGATACAGCCATTGCCTTCACACAATGCCAATGAATTCCGAATAAAGAACAAGTACTCGAGTATTGCAGTAGAATGCCAAATTTTTTCGTATCAATCTACGAGTCAGATATGACTATTCTCATGGTGAGCTACATAATTAACGCGCTTCAGTTGATGTTCGCTATTTTTTCAAGAAACTATGTGGCTTCGACATCCAAAATGTCTTTAGAATGTTTGCTACTTAAGCTCAAGTCCGGTTAATTCGGCTCCGATTAGGAAGCCTGAAAAGATGACCAGATGCTCAATGACTATGCCCGGGCCTCAGATATTGGACTATCCTTCTTTATTGTAGAACATTGTGAAAGACTTGAGTTACAGAAAACCTTATGTTGAGTAATTACAGCATTAGTATCACTAGATGAGTATCAGTATTCCTAAAGAAGATATGGTTATTTCATAGACTTGACTGTTGAAGGAAGATTCGAAAAAATTAAAAATTAAAAATTGGTACGATAGCAAAAAGCGGGGTCACAATTAGGAAAATGTCAAAGGCTGAAATGATAAAGCAACAAAAGGTCACTGAACAATTTTTTTGCAAAATAAAAAGTATTAAGGAAGAACCAACTCCGCTGCAAGTTTATTCCAGAAATTTGAGGAAGCTGAAAATACGCTCTCCGGTATTACGAGTATATCTCAACTGTGAAATTCATCAAGCATGTCTTTTTAGACGACATAAAGACAATTTCAGTACGTACATATATTAATACTCAATTGACGCTACTGACAGTATTTCTTGGTGTCAAGTCTGTATATATCATGTAAAACTCGGTATTACAATGGGAAAAAATCGGAAGAAGAGGGTCAATTTAAAGCCATTATAAATCACTTGGTTTTAAAACTTGCTCAATAAATTTCGACAAACTTAATTGAAATTTGCTTTCCAGTTTTGCAGTAACCTTTGAGAGCAATCAGATTATCTTCGCAAAGCATAAACTCTCTCGATCCTTCAAACCACATAACATTATCGCGGTCTATTATAAAATCAGATTTGGCGCCACTCAAGATGAGTTTACCCAGGTTTTTACTCAAGTATAAATTTTCAGCGCTTAAAAATCCTTCTGCGACGACAAACGCTGTCCCTTCTTCATTTGCAACAATTACTCTGGAGAAAACCTTTTATTTGATCTCCCTCGAAGAACAAATTTCCGGTCAATTCGGCAAGGACCAAGGTGAGAAGCGGTAACGCGTTGTAAAGCTTCATTTTGATGCTCAATGTTTTTTATGTAGCAGGTATTACGAACGGGAAAACCACTCACTCATATATAGCTCGAACAACTTAAAATTCGCACAAAAGCCCTTGTAGTTTTCTTTTGGTTATGACCGTGTGACTATGATAGAAATAAAAAGGCGTGTTGATTTCACAATAAACTGTTACACGGCTGAAATCTCCTTTATTGAGTGATTAACTCAATTTTTTGCGTCACTACAGTTTGGTCCACGGTGAGCATAATTTCTCTAGTTCAATGAAGAAAATCTGCCAGCCTGCCTCAAAATATTTACTAATTATTAAGCATTCTAAGAAATATCTCAATTTGCGTTGAGAAAATGAACTATCAGCCAAGATAAATCAGAAGGCTTTCATTCTGAGGTGCTAAATTGAAACGTCTCTCTTAGCATGATGTGCAGAGCTGTCTAAAAAACACAACAAGGAGCTCGTGTAAGCAACTTTAAGTCGTCGAAACCACGAGAAACTTTTGTTGCCTCTTCCTTTCGGTGTTCTCAAACAAATACGAACAATGATAGAGCATTATTTAGTTGAGCCCGCCTTGTTTTGACCTCTATAATACCGGCCTAAAAAAACAACGAGACAGTTGCTTTTGGTTTCGAAGAGAAAGAGCTGAAAAGTGGCATCGCAAAACGACAATGATTTCTCGAAGTGCAAGAATCATTTTCATGTTTAAGAAAAAGCCCCTACAAGCTAGATCGTGCATATTGGGTACTGTGGATATCAAGGATATCGTGTAAATTGCGTGGAGCTGTGCAAAAAATTAAAGTATCAGTTATTTTACGAAAGAGGTAATTAGAACAGGAACAAGGGCATAAATCACGAGCGTTGGGGCACTCATCCTGTTACTTCATCTCTACTTATTCCAATTCAGTGCAGGAGTTCTGATAGTGCTTCTGAGTCTTGGAATTCAAGAGAAACTGATCAGACGTAGTGATTAGCTTAAATAGAGATATGACGCGTTCTTCAAAAGCAAATAAAATTGCTTCAAGCCTTTAAACTAAAGTTTGTTAAACAAAAACACACCTGTATCTACACGCAAACCGTCTACACGGAATACTCGACATCAACGGGGGATAGACGGCCTTATGGAGTCATGAAGTATACGCAGTATTATACGCTTCTCAATTGTTGTCTCCGAAAATGTGGTTAATGAATCAGTAGGAGTTGCCATATGAACGAGGGGGAGAATACTCGTGTAACGCAAACTAAATAAAACCAAATTAAACAATAAATTCATTCATTTTTGCTGGGAAAAGCCGATCAGAATCGAGATCTGAGGCACAAGATAGACGTTTTCACAGACAGATGTTCCCTGAGAATCTGTCTGCCCCCTACCGTGGTTGCGCTAAAAACCGAAGTTGAATATCTTATTTACACTGTTCTACACCAAGAGTCAAATGATCTACCACAAAGATCAGATGTCCTTTCCAAAAAGCACTCTTCCAGTGCCATTTCGAAACAGCATTCCGCGGCTCAACAACTCTGCGATTATTAGTGCCAGGTAATCTTCCTTCACACCAAAGAGCCCAGAATGAAATTGTCAGTATCGCCGGCTCTGCCACACGCGAAACACATCCAGCCTAGGACCTGCGCCAGTTCAAAGCAGTTCTCCTATACTTGCTAAGCCCGCTAGTTACCGTGCCCTGATCAGAAATTCTTGTGGACCCCGACCCAGAGCCCGAGGACACCTTTGAAAGCTGGGTGTTGGATCTCTGGAGCAGCGGGCTGGAAATTGCCAGGGCCTGCTCGCTGATTAGGGTCCCTGAAATTGAAACGCCGCTGGACGCGCCGCGTGCCGCCTGAGCCGCCGTCACCTGGTGGTTATACAGCAAGCTATCGTAGTTGGTATTGAGCTTCAAGATGTCAATTTCGGCTGCGAAGTTCTGGCGGAACAACGTCACCAAGGCGTCGTGCGATGGCCGCAAGTTGGACGCCACCAACTTGCCGTGCAAGTGCAAACAGCGGCTCAAGACCGCGGTCAAGTCGTGGAATGCGTTGCGCAACAAGCGCACGTTGTACGCGTGGTCCGGATTGCCGTCAAACTGCAGGCCCGCAAAGTATGGGCGGAACTGGCCCACGCCACCATTGACCGGCGAATCCACGGTGCCGGCCAACTGTCTACTCAAATCGTGGAGCAACGTGGCGTAGTCGGCGCGCTCGCGCACGGCCTGATTGAGCATGCTCTCGGTCTGCACCATCTCGTTGGTTTTGTTGAGGATGAGGCGGATGGCGTTCTCCAACGGAGAGAGGCGCACGACGGAGGTAGCCTTGATCTCACTGCGGTTCATCAAAGTGGGAAACGATACATGAGTCTCATAGGTGACCTCTTCTGTCCACAAGTCAAACACGGATGTCAGCCCCGGAAGCTTTTTGGTGGTCAGGAAAAACCGTAAGTTCTTGTTGCGCGCATACTGGCGCACACCGATGGACGTGTTGAGGATCTTGTCGGAGATTTCACTGACAGGCTCCACCACGTTGACGTGCAAAAAGCGACCGGTGGGGGTCAATTTCTGGAGTTCGGCTGCGTGCTGATCGTCGGTGATGATACGGGCACCCGGGTATAAGTTCAACATGCGCTCGTGAATGGACGTGATGTGCTCGAAGGGGAGACCTTCGTAGATCTGCTCCTTGCCGCGAATGTTAGCCGGGAAGCCCGCGCCGATGTAGGCCACCCGGAAGAACGAAGGACTTAACTTGTCGGAGGACTCCAAATCTAAGTAGAGCTTGGCAAGTTTCTGGTGCACATAGGCGAACGATTTGAGGTCGTAAGTGTGCTCGCTGTAGGCCTCGAGCAACTCGTTGTATGTGTCTGTGGCACGCTCCAAGCTATTTCCCTTGATGAAGTTCTGTGCGATCATCTTGACCAAGGCTTCCTTACGCTCGAACGCCGTCTGTTCAGGGAACTTGGGCCGGTACAGCGGCGCGCAGATCTCATGGTGGTCCCACGTGTAAGTGGAGGCCAAGAGCTCCAAGCTTAACGCGGCCTGGATAAAGTCGCCCTTGCGCACGTTTTCTTCATACATCAGGTTGATGAATGAGTGGAACAACTCGGGCTTATTGGCGTTTTTCAAGTACGCGTTAATGTTCAACTTGAAGAACGTGCGGTCGTCGTCGAACTCGGGCCCCACGGGCACGCTGTTCAAGTCGTTCAAGACTTCCAAGAACCCCGCGAGATTCTGGATGAAGCGCACCGTCAATTCCGCGGCCTCGTCGTCTGCGGCCAAGCGGATGGTCGCGCGAAGTCGCTCGATGAACATCTGCTGCTCTGAGGCTTTGGGCTTATACGCGGTGCGGGTGTATATCTCGTGCAAGCCCAAAAGGCACTCTTTCTCCACATCCACAACGGAGCCGCTGAGGATGTACTCGGCCACGAGGATGCTCCAGACGATCTTGACGGCTACGGTCTGGCACGCACTGCTGCGCTGCAAGGCCAAGAGCATCACATCCTGCAAGATGCCGTAGTCGCTGCCGATGAATTCAACCTGAAAGCCGCCAAACTTGGTGAGATTGAAGCGGTCCAAATCAGGCTCTGTGGCGTCCCACGCCAACGCATCCCAGGCCTCGTTGACAAGCGCGGCTATGCGCTCGCGCATGGAGCCGGTGATCTGGTGGCACGCCTTTCGCGGGATCGTGGACAAGTGCTCCACGGCCACAGGCGCCAAAGTTCCCAACTTGAAGAGCGTGCGGAAAAAGCCGCCCCACAAGGACCGGTCGAACAGCTCGGCGGCCTCGGGCTCCGGGACAAAGTGCGCGAGCAACAACGGCTGCACAAGCTCGCAGGCCTGCAAGCAGCCTTCGGCGATCAGCGCGTACAACGAGAGCCACTTGTCCTCGGGAAAGTACTTGCCGAGGCGCATAAGCTGCACGCCCGATAACACGGTGGTGATGTCCTCGCCAAGCCCGTTGCTGGACAAGCATTTGGCGGCGTCGAAGAAGTCGTCCGGAATGACCTCGCGGTGGATTCTCAAGAGCCCCTCGGCACCCGCTGCCCGCATGCCGACGCGGGCCACGTACGTGAAGACGGTGGCAATTTCCACGAGCACCTCCACCAAGACCTCCTCGCCCACAAGCGGGTCCGTGACGATCTCACGGAACGGATAGTCGTTCGGGAAGAGTCGCGTGAAGGTTTTCTTGGGCCGGAAGTATTCGCCACTGCGCGTGTGCTTGTTGTAGCGCACGAACGTGCGGGCAAGGGCACTCATGTGTTTGGCGAGCGAGAAGCAAATACGGTTGACGCCTGGCGCCTCGATGTGCTGCCACACCAAGTCGCACACGCAGTTCATCACGGAGGCCGCCAAGCGCGTGGCGTCGATGTCCAAGTCGCCCAAGAACACGTCCATGCACCACGGCACGCACTTGGACACGAGCGCGTGGATGTTGGCCGGGTCCTGCGCAGCCTTGGAGGCGAACAAGCGCTGTACCAAGAGAAGCTTGGCCACGACGACCTTGTGGTCGCGGGCGGCTGGGCCCTCGCAGCCCAAGCCGCGGTTGCCGATGGAGTCGACGAAGCGGAGCACCAGGCGCAACAACGCGGCGCGGTCAAAGGTGGCCTCGAACGCGAGCACGTAGTCCGGGAGTTCGATGGCGAGCACCTGGTCGTTGACGAGCGCCGAAACCGGCACGCCCACAAAAAACGCGGCGGCTTCGAAAAGCGCGTCCAACGGCGCCGCGTCCGCGGGGCCGGCGGCCAAGGATAGCATGGCGATGCGCATGAGCAACGGCAAGTTGCGGCACACGGCGCGCGACACGGACGTCCAGCTGGACTGGGCCTGGCGGAACACGGCGGCGATCTTGTCCAAGATGAACTGGGCGAGCGGCGCGGGAACGCGGTGCAGGTCCACGAAGGTGTCGAACATGTACAAGTACTGGTCCTGCTTGCCGAAGAGGGTGTCCAACAAGAACACCAAAGCCTTGAAGGCCGCGTCTAAGAGGAGCTCTGCGGACGCAAGCAGGCTGCGGGCGGCCAAGCACGCGTCGGCGGTGTCCAACACGGCGTCGAGCAACTCGGCGAAGAAGCGCACCGCGTCGTAGAGCTGCAACTTGCACATGTCCACCAAGGCCTGGTGGAGCGTGTCGGGGCCCGCGGCGCCGTCGCGCAACAAGGCCAGGTGCTGCAACATGTCAGCGATGCACGGGGCCATGTTGAAGGTCTTGCCGATGTACTCGGTGTGGATCTGCACCTGTGCCAAGGCGGCGGACAGGCCGGGGCTGCGGAAGTCGAGGGTGGTCCACGGGTGCTTGTTGAGCTCCACGATGCGCGGGCCGCTGCGGTAGCAGGTCTCGGCCTTGCCCACCAACACGCCGTTGGCGTAGAGCGACAAGCCGATGGAGTCGTGGGCCGAGACGGGCCGGGCCGGGCGCGCGGCGCAGGCGATGCCGTTGACCTTGACGATCTCGCCCACGGCCTCGCCCGAGCGCACGGACACGAACTGCCAGGCCGGCTTCTCGAGCTGGTTGGAGGCCTTGGCGAAGCGGACGCGCGGGTCCGAGGGCGCGTCGATCTCGACGGTCAAGAGCGCGTCGCGGAAGCGCGCGTCGAGCGCCGTGAGGCGGCCCATCTTCAAGTAGAGCCGCTCGTAGTTGTCTGCGAGCGGGTCGTAGAAGATGGGCTTGATCCTGGCGATGGGCGCGCCCGCCGGCTGCCCGTCCTCGGCGGCCAGGTCCACGAGCTGGTGCTTGCACTCCTTCAAGGCCACGACCAACTTCTCTGCGCGCGGGTTGACGGCGATGCCGGCGTCGGAGCCGCGGATGATGCGGTCGACGAGCTCGCCCCAGCCGTTGTTGGCCGGCGCGGCCACGGAGCCGAACAAGCGGATCACGAACTGGTGCGCCTGGCCCGAGGCCAACGCGCCCGCGTTGCGCGAGAAGATGCGCGTGATGTCGGCCACGCCGGCCGCCACGCCCTGCTTGACGCGGCGCACCTGCGGGAGGAACGTGTCCTGCAAGGGCATGGCGATCTCCTCGGTCAACACGGCCACGAGGTACACGCGGTTGTTCTCGACCTCCGCGGCCGGGATGTTGCGGAACAACGCGGCCAGGATCTTCTCCACGTACACGAGGTCGTCCACGGACTCGGTGTGCACGGCAAAGGCCTCGGTCAAGCGCTTCTTGGCGTTGCGCACGTACAAGTACGCGACCATGCCCGCGAAGCCCTCGGGCTGCAGGCTGGACGAGCCGCTGATGGCCCTGAAGTCCACGAGCACGTGCGCCGGCGGCTCGTGCACGAGCCGGGCGCTGGGCGCCGCGCCCACCTCGAACTGCCGCGGCTGGCGGTGCGCGTTGACGGGGAACTTCGGGAACAACGCGCACATCTGCTGGCTCACGGCCATCTGCGCGGGCAGGCCGTGCCGCGCCACCAAGCGGCCGTCGCGGAAGTCGCGCGCCAACACGGCCTTGTACGCGGAGATGTCCGTGTTGTGGTGGTCCAAGTCGTACGAGCGCTCGTTGACGCGCGCGGCCTTGGCCGCCAACTTCTTGGGGATCTCGCCGAGGAGGTGCATGGCGGCCTCGCGCCCGGCCCGCGTCTCGTGGCCCGTCAACGCGGTCAGCGTCAAGCGCACGCGGAGCTCGTCGAGCCCGCGGTACACGGCCGAGAGCCGCGCAAAGAGCCGGAACTCGCCGATGGAGTAGAGCGCGAAGATGTGCGCCATCAACAAGTTCATGGCGTAGGTGAGCTCCGCGACCACGTCGCCGGCAAACGTGAACGTGTCGAAGGGCAACGGCGGCGCCACGGCGCGGGCCCGCACGCTGGCGGCGGCCTGCTCGCTCAACGTGGGCGCCAGGCGTGCGGCCGGCGCCACGTTGTGGAACGCGTCCGCGGGCCGCATCACGCCGAGCGGGAGCCGCTCCACCACCTTGGCGTACTTCAAGGGGAACACCACGATGTGCACGTTGAGGCCGGGCAAGTCGTCCAAGTTGACGGACGTGATGGTGAAGTCGTGCGGGAGCGGCCGCGTGACCGCGTAGCCGCGCGCCCACTTGCCGGCCTTGGTCTCGAAGATGTACACCTCGTCGCCGGCGTACAAGTTCTTGTAGTGGTTGTTGCGCATGGTCGGGTGCTTGTCGAAGGGGAGGAACGGTTTCCAGAGGCGCCCGTGGAGGAAGTGCTCGGTGGGGACCCAGGCCATGGTGCAGAGGCGGGGTGTGGTTCGGGGTGTGACTTGGGGTGTGAGTCCGGGGTGTGGATTCTCAAAGACGAGGCGTGAACCCGGGGGGTGCGAATTCGGGGGGTGGGCGAAAAAGCTCGCGACTGACGGTGCCGGGTGTTGTGCGGTGACGTGGCGGCGCGCATTTGAACAGACGGGTTTGGGGTGTTTCGCCCCGCGCGGGCCGGGGCTCGCACCGTGCGCCTGGGTGCTGGCGCGGTTGGCAGGCCCGCTGCGGCCCTGGGGTTTTCGTGGGCGGCGCGCGGCACGGCATGGCAGGGCGAGGCATGGCGAGGCATGGCGGTTTTTTTGGGGGCGCCGGCTTGTTCTTGGTGGCGCCGCTCGCAGGTGCTGTCGACGGCTCGGCGTTGGTGGGTGTGGTGGTTGTCTCTGGGCAGGGCCGTGTAGGGCCGTGTAGGGCCGTGCAGGGCCAGGTGTCGGTGATCCTGGGCCTGCTGTACGTGATGTGGGGGAGATATGGGGTGTGATATTGGGCCTGATATTGGGTGTGATATTGGGTCTAATACTCATCTCTGATATTGGGATCTGATGTTGGGTCTGTCATCAGGGTGTGATATTGGGTCTGTTATTGGGCTGTTAATAGGGTGCGATTTTGGGGTCTGATGCTGGGTCTGATGCTGGGTCTGATATTAGGTATGTTATTGTGTCTGATATTGGGTCTGTTATTGGGCTGTTAATAGGGTGCGATTTTGGGGTCTGATGCTGGGTCTGATGCTGGGTCTGATGCTGGGTCTGATATTAGGTATGTTATTGTTGCTGATATTGGGTGTGATATTGGGTGTGATATTGGGTCTGATGTTTGTCTCTGATATTGGGTCTGATATTGGGTCTGATATTGGGTCTGATATTGGGTCTCCTAATAGTATCTAATATTAGTCTCTGATATTAGGTTTTATATTGGTGCTGATATTGGGGTTCATATTAGTGTCTGATATGGGGTCTGATATGGGGTCTGATATTAGGTATGTTATTGGGTCTGATATTGGGTTTCATATTGGGGCTGATATTGGGGTTGATATTGGGCCTGATATTAGGGTTGATATTAGTGTCTGATATTGGGTCTTCAAATAGTGCCTAATGATGGTGTCCGAGTGGGGTCTGCTATTAGGGTCTTCTTATAGTGTCTAATGATGGTGTCCGAGTGGGGTCTGCTATTAGGGTCTTCTTATAGTGTCTAATATTAGTCTCTGTTGTTGGGTCTGTTATTGGGTCTAATATTATTGTCCGATAGTGGGGTCTGTTATTGGGTCTTCTAATAGTGTCTAATATTAGTCTCTGATATTAGTCTCTGATATTAGGGGTTGATATGGGGTCTGACATCAGTGTCCGAGTGTGGGGTCTGATATTAGGGTCTGATCTTGGGTCTGTTATTAGGGTACGATAATGGGGTCTGATGTTGGGCCTGATAATAGGGTCTACTAATAGAGCCTGATCTTGGGTCTGTTATTAGGGTACGATAATGCGGTCTGATGTTGGGTCTGATAATAGGGTCTACTAATAGAGCCTGCCTGTATGGTCCGATATTACTGTCTGGTACTTTTGTCTGTTACGAGGGTCTGATATCAGGGGCTGATGTAGGGGCAGGTGTAGGGGCTGATGTACGTGAGCTTGTGGTCTGATATTAGTGTCTGATATGAATGTCTGAAATTGAGTCTGAATTGAGTCTGCCATTGGTGTCCAATTTTGGTGTCCAATTTTGGTGTCTAATATTGGGGTCCGATAGTGGTTTGAGATTGGAGTATAATATTGAGGTCTGATATTACTGTTTGATTTAGGGGCAGGGCAGATGTTGGTGTTATTAGGGTCTGATATTAGTGTGTAATATTAATGTCTGAAATATTGAGTCTGCTATTGGTGTTTGATATTGGATCTGATATTCGGTCCGATATTACGGTTGATATTGGGTCTGATCTTGGGTCTGGTCTTGGGTCTGATACTGGGGTTCTGTTATTGGAATATGAAATTGGTCTGATGTTGGGTCTGATATTGGGTGTGATGATAGCGCCTGCTACAGGGGTCTGCTTTTAGTGTTTACTATTGGGGTCCAGTATTGAGATATTGGCGCCTGATATTGGCGCCTGATATTTGTGCCTGCTATTGGGTCTTATCTTGAGGTCCAATATTATTCTGATATTAGGGCCCGATATCCTGCCCTACCGATAGTGGGATTAGTTATTAGAGTCCGATGTTAAGTACTATATTAGGGTCTAATACTAGTGTCTGAGAATGGTGTCTGATACAGGTGTCTGATATTAGGGTATAATATTGGGACCTGATACTGGGTCTGATATTATTGTCCGATATTGATTGTGTCCGTTTATGATGTCCAATATTGAGTCTGATATTAGGGCCCTATTTTATGAATTTGACAGTGGGGCCTTTTTAGGGTCTGGCATTGAGTATTATCTTGGGTCTGCTACTAGTTGGGATCCGATAATGGGTCTAATATTAGGGTCTGATATTGGGGTCTGCTATTGCTTCTGCTATCAGGATCCGATGATAGGGTCTTATAATATTGTCTAATATTAGTATCTGATATTAGGCTTAATACTTGTGTCTGCTATTGGGTCTGATACCGGTGTCTGTTATTACAATATGATGTTGGGTCTGATAATAGGGCCTGCTCTTAGGGTCTGATATTGATGTCTAATACTACTGTTTAATGTGGGGGCATATGTAGGGGCAGATGTTGGTGATATTGGGGCCTGATATTGGGTTTAATATTGCTGTCTGATATTGAGTCTGCTATTAGGCCTGATGTTAGAGTCCGATCGTGAGGTCTGTTAGTAGAGTCTCATAATAGAGTCTGATATTAGTCTCTGGTGTTAGGATCTGCTATTAGTGCCTGAAATTGGGATCGGATATCATGGCCCCATATTAGGTCTGATACATCGTCCGATACTAGTTCTGATACTGGTGTCTGGTATTAGTGTATAATATTGGTGTCTGATGGTCTGGTAGTAGTGTCTGCTGTTGGGTCTAATATTAGTCTCTAAAATTAGGGTCCGGTATTGATGTCTGCTATTAGTGTCTGCTATTGGGGTCTGATTTTGCGTGTCTTTTAGTGGCCAGTGCGAAGATTTTCTGACATAAATAAATGAAACTGATTGCTGTTCTCTTGGGCAGAGACGCCCCCAAATGCTCCCCGCCTGCTGGCTGCGGCGTTGTTTATTACATGGACATAGGCCACATTTCAATGTCTCAGTTCGAGATTTTTTCTACTGAAATCCACGTATTTACCACCTAGATGTAATTTGAAGTCACATATAGGAATGGAATCGTTGAAGGCACGTGTATCAATTCAGTACTATACATTGTCATACGAGCAGAAGAATTAGAAAGACATGATCAAGTAGATCTACGAGATGATTATACATAAAACAGATCATGCATACATGATAACCCACATTCATCAGCTTTCATAAAGCTTGAAGGGAACACTGAAGAAGCCACCCGGTCTGAAGAGAATACGAGTAATCAGAAGTCATAAATATGCTCGGGTAGACCTCTCGTATAGGCTGAAGATGGCGCCCACGCTCTCATGACACTCATCAATTCAAAGGGCGCTGTAGTGGTTTACACCAGTATTTGCAAATTTTCCTGCTATACATGAAATACATGTTTGGCCTCTTCTCTTGTCAACCCACAACTCCTCATAAGTCCCCAGGATCACTGCCGTAATGTTGAATCCGGCTGTCCCAAGTGAAGATGGTGCAGGTCGCATCCGGCAATCACGGTGAGAGGAGACGTGGAATGAAGAACAGCGTTAATACTGGGCTCGAGCATCTAGATGCTGTGAATACTCAAAGCACAGCCATGGCGGATTGGGCGATACAGATGGTGTTCATAGCTGGCATCATGAGCTGGATTTTCTAAATTGGACATTGCAAATGGAATCATGAAACGGCCACTGCAAATGTTCACAGCTGACCATCCTAGATTGAAAATCGCAGACTGGCATTAGAAATTGGACCTCGAAAATTAAAGTTCTGGCTCTTCTTCAGCGATCTGCTTGAGCATGGTAAACTAGTCATTTCAGATCGACAATTGCAAATGGACCGTTTGACCGTTCCAATTGGCTTTTACACATTCTCAATCGGCCATTGAAAACTCACCATCCCGAATTGACCATTACTCGCTGGTCATATCACCAGGTAGTCCCTCCCTGGTCGTAACCGCACGATGTTTTGAATATGGCTAGCCTCTTCTATGTATATATTCCTGGTAGTACGGAATCTGCCGCCAAGTAACATAGTTTTCCACAGGCTGGTTATTTGCGTATACACCTTCTGCGCTCCACTCTCCTGTACCCCTTACTACTTTTCAAAAAGAACCGTGCTTGTTTATTTTGTACTTGTTTGTTTCCTTAAAACTCGGTGCAACCATTTGAGTCTGTCCATCCAAAGTTACCGGGTGCTTCAAGCAATCTCCAAAATTATGCGGTCATCTCGCATCCATTTACTCCCATTTCAAAAGCAATGCAAACATAGAACAACTCGCAGACAGAGAAACCGTTCGTCGGGAATCGTAATACAAGGCTATGATAGATACACTTAGTTGACCGCTGAAATAGTAAATGCTCCTCAGAGATAATGGATTGGTTTCTGAGTCATGAAAAAATCATTATTGTCTTAATCATAGTTTTATGTATTTTAACTCAGGAATCATGTCGAAGACAGCCTGTTCTACACTCTCCTATAAGATATGACAACGCGTATAGCCGACCTTATGAGAAAATTCGTGCTTTTACTCAAAACATATCGTTTAAATAAAATTACTGCAAAACTCGTTTATCTCGGGAATATTGGATTTTTGGGGCGTATACCAAAGGTTTTTGTTTGAGCTCGAAGTAAAAAAATTATTACTTTCCGCACTATCTGCACCCAATTTTTGAAAATTGTGTCTGCTTAAATAGAGAACGGAGCAAAAAAATTGTATTTTCACATTATGCTCTAAATAAATATTTGATCTTGTTGTATTCGAGGGAAGCTTTTGAGAAACACAAAACCCGAAAATCACTTTTGCGGCGTTTTGCTACGTAGCTTTTATACTAAGTCAACAATCTTATTGATCCTTGAAGCATGGCTAGTTTTTGAAACGAATTTTATTATTTAAAGAAGGTCAGATCAAATTTTGGCTAGCTGCCCTGTACTTGATTTTGCTGCAGCCCAATGTGCAACAATGTGATTGTCTAATTATACCCATATATAGAATGCCCATATATAAAATGCTTGCTTACTACCTATAAGTTTGACTTGTTTCAAAAAATGCCCCATTTCAAAGTTGGCTCCTTTGCCATAGGACATAGGACCCACTGGGTGCTTTTTCCCCTATTCAGCGTAATCCTTGAAGTGTGCAACTGATCCACCACCTAAAATTCTACTTGTGCGCTTTTGTTTCATTGCCTCAAATGTTTCGCCAGTGCCGTAGAGCATATCATGATGCGCGACGCCAAATCAACTGATGGCCTGGAAAGTGCATTTTATGAGCGCTGGATGTGGATTTGGTTTGAAATGCAATCATGCTTCTTTATGTTGTCACCTACTTCAACATACTAACGAGATATATAGCTGTATTGCTTACCTATGCATTGATGTATTGATGGATAAGCGAACTTCCTAACTACACTCATGAGAAACATAAAATGTAAATTTCCTGGTACACTTTACCACTCTTGCCACATATGGGGCTTTTCATTATTCAAAGTGCAATTAATAGGCGACAGTGGCAGTTTATCCCCATTTACACCCCATTTGCCGTAACAACACATACTGCCCATATCATACCCGCCAGCATCTGAAGCATCACGCTAGCCAGTCCACAATCTTGCGCGAGAGATCTTTCACTTTGCGCAAATTGTATTCCTTGCCACCATCCCAAATGTAAATGTCTTTTTCTCTTCTTCCAGAGTCGAAGTCTAAGGCTTCGAGACTTGAGATCCGCGTGCCACGCACAAACCAGTGTCCTAGGTATAATACCACGAAGATCATGAGCGTCCCGTAGCTTGAAAAGAAAAACCACGTATTCCAGCACCCCTTCAAAAACACGACGTAGCCCATGGAAAGCAAGATTACCAGAGACCCAAATAGACCGAAAATTGCGCTGTACGGCTGAAGTATTGAGCGATAGGGGTACGACTTGTCGTCTCGGCCTATGATGTCCGGGCGCTTTTTTAACCCAAAGAAAAACCGTATGAAAGTGAGACACATTGCGAACCACGTAAAGACACCCGAGGACGAGATCAAACTGGTGAGGTTTTGAAACACAGTCGTGGCTTGCAGCGAGACGCAGGTATACGACAAAAGACCGGGGGTCACTGCGAACAACACTGCCATGTATGGCGTGCCGTATTTGTTGCATTTCCTCAAAAACCCCGGCGCTTTGCGCTGCAAGGATAACGAGTAGGCTGTTCGGGAGCTCACATAGAGCTGGGATATACCACAAGACAACGCAAAGAAGAAAATGAAAGCATTCACCACACTGCTCCAGCTACAAGAGCCAGCGCTTTGAAAGGCAATGATCCACGGGCTCTGTGACCCATTTGCAAAGCCCGCAATGACTTGATCGTAATTGCTGCAGTTTGCGCCCCCGACATAATTGATCGCATAGTTGGTGTCATACTCGCTGGGTGACACGCCCGTGGTACCACTGTAGTACCTGAGAAGTCTAGGGTCCCCAGCATATATATTGAGCGATACCACGAAAGAAGCCAAGCAGTATAGAATCAATATTCTCCAAAAAACCCTATTGGTGGCTGAAGGAAGAGCTTTGCGTGGGTCTTTTGCCTCACATGCGGCGATACATACAATTTCAGTACCACTGTATGCATAAGCAGCAACGACAATGGCAACAAGAAGCGAAAGAAATCTTCCAGTGTCACCACCAATACCTTCAGCCTTAGAGTCCGAGCCATCACTAAACAAATTGAAAGTCGGCCGGAAGGGACCAAATATCAAGTTGTGTTCGAAATCAGACTCCAGGTACAGCCAGTACTTGAATCCCACCACGCCCTGGCTGCCAATGCCTCCACGGTTGACAATGATCATGACAATAATCCCCAAAAGGGTAATGAGGACCTTCGCCAAGCTGAAAAAATACTCAATTTCGCCGAATATCCTGACACTCAAAATGTTGCTCACGATGCATATTAGCAAAAACAAGGTGACAAAACCGGCAGTTGAGCCACTGTTAGTCAAGATCTCCGTTTCCGAGTAGTAGCTCAATATGATCACCGACGCGACGACCTCGCCCGCAAGGCCAAACGAGAAGCTGCAAAAGTAGAGCCAGCCAGTGGCAAATCCAAAACTTTCGTCGACAAAACGTGAGCTCAACCCAGAGACACCGTCGATAACAGAGACGAAAGTCACCATCTCACAAAACGAAATCACCGTGGCAAGCACCACAAGCCCCACGAGAAACATGGCCAAAACTGTGCCCAAGCCCCCTGCGATCGTGAATGCCTTTCCGATGTTCAAATACAAACCGACGCCCAAGGTTCCCCCCATGGAGATCATCTGCAAGTGCCGGACCTCGAGTTTCCTGTGGAGGAACGCCTGTTGTTTGGGCATTTCCAGCGACGAAGGCAGGAGGTTTTGCGTCAGATCGTCCTCGCTATCCATAGCATTGGTAGCAGCACGTGCAGGCGGTTTCCGCTTCCACGGGAAAGGGAACTTGAACCGTTTTGTGGCTCGGATCTCCGGTGAGTATATATCCTGGTGGTTATATAGCTTGTGGAAGTCACCCGTGTCCAAAACAGGGAGCACGTTTGAGTTCTTGGAGAACTTGTGTGAGGCCAAATCCTCCTGGATCTGCTGGTCTAGCTCCAGCAATTTGACGAACTGCTGGTACTCGTCAAGGCCCGAAACACCAAACACAGAGGGGGCGCTCAGGTCGCATGGCTCTAATGTTCTGAGTGCCTTTTCGTACATATCAACATACCTGAACTTGCCTTTCTGGCCTGCTATGTCCTGGTAATCACCGACGGCCATTTGAGAGCCCATTGCCCGCAAAATGCGCGTGTCCAAAGTAGGCTTTTCACTCGTGGAGCCATCGGCAGAGCTCACCAGGCGCCGGATTTCACTCACATCCACACCCTCATCAAGAAATTCACCTTTTTTACCGCTACTATTCAGGCCAACAGTAGGGTAAGAGTGCCCGCTAGCATCATGCTTGAGAGTTTTGGGCCTCGTGTCACGCGCAAAATTGGTGGCACAGTCTTGCTCGCTGCTTCTACTTTTGTTTTTGCTCCAGAACCCAAAGAGAGTTTGTGAACCTAATTCCAGAAGAGAGGAAGTCGACTTTTCCGACCCATTTGAGGCATCGGGGGTGACGACTCCTATAGTAGGAAATAGGGGGAATCCGCTTCTCGAGAGGGACGAGAGCGAGGAAGTGTCCGATTCATCGTCAGTCATAAGCCATCAATAAATTCAGCCGGGATCTATGGAAAAATCGATAGTGAAGAAAGATGTAGTAGATATAGGCTAAGCGATAAGCCTCAGATGGGGATGCTCGTGACCGAACTACGTGCAGGATATACGACTCGAAAAGAGGTGACGCCACCCAGACAAGCCGAAAGGAAAAAGGAAACACACCGATGAGATATCCTGCTTATCTGAGCTATTCCTTCGACGAACAAAACTTTTACTCGCGCTCTATGGCCTCACAGAGAGCGACTAAAAGTATTGCGTCAGAAACCGAAGGTGTAGTGGTAACGACACTGTGCCCCGGAGTGTGAGCAAGCCCATCGAGCCCCGAGACGAAAAGTCCAAAAATAGCAATAATATTATATGTCATCAGTGATGACGTTTCAGCTGTTACACTGAAAAGAACAGATACTACACTTGATCTAAGCCAAATGGCAAAGAGATTTGGTTCCAAAAATCAGGGTTTGTAAGGGGACCGCTTGCTTATATACTCGCGGGCGCAGGGCGGGTAACCCTGCGGCATGCTCATTTTTTTCTCCAGAATTTGCAGCTAGCGCGTAGGTTCTTACTTGCCGCCCACAAAATAGGCATATGGAAAAGGGAATGGGAAGCGAGAAGTGACACCCCTCTACTCAGCATCGAATGACTGATTCATGGCGCGACTCTCATAGGGGCCAATCTACGAAACTACACGGGCAGACGTTTTTGTTTCCGCGGTCACGTGACCATTTGATGGCAGGGCTCTAGCCAACGTAACAGTCAAGAATCACGGAATGAAAAATGGTACGAAAAAAAAAAGCCTGAAGAGAAAAGTCCGTGCTCCCAAGAAATCAGTGCTTTACCAGGCCTCTCATTTTTGCAACAATACCGCAAAAAGAAGTGCATGGAAATCCGTGGGGCGGTAACCCAGCAACATGGCATTGCTATAAATAAGACGTGTTCTCCGTCCGTGGCTCCCATTGGCCTACGCGTTCCAAGCCAGCGCGCGCAGCTGCAGCCCAAAATTCGATGAGTTTCCATGGGTTTCTGGTGCGGCTCGCTGGAACGTGGTGGAACTCGATGGACGCGATGACGCGCGCGACAGCTGCGGGAGGTACGGGTTGCGCGCCGCAGGCAGCAAGATGGCACCCCGGAATTGCCGCATTGGGCAGTTGACTGAGCCGCACGTCTCATCGCTAAGCACCGGTGGCATTGCCAATTTTTCATGATAAATACCGTGCAAAATCGCATGCTAAGCTATTGTTTCTCATCAGATTTTCCCTTATAGATCACCAAACAACCATGTCATTCAACAGATCCAGATACACCAGAAAATCGTTTAGATCTTCGCCTCACAGAAGATCGTTTGGCGGGAGATCCGACTACAACCCACAATTCGAAAGACATCACCGTGCTGGTCTTCGCCACCACCACTCGGCTGGCAGAAGAACTCACCACAACTTCAACAGTGACTATAGCCAGCAATCTCATAGACACAACTCTACCAGGCACGGCAGAAAATACGCTAAGTACCACTACCCACAGCCATCTGGAGAGGTTTTTATTGAAGAGCCAGAGACCGACTCCGAAAATGCTGACTCTGAAAGCGAGTACGACGGATACGCTCACTCTGAAGATGACGAGAGAACATACGACTTTGACTTGGAGAGCAACGATGACGATGCCTCTGAGATCTACTATGACTCCGACGGGCTCCCCGAGGGCGAATATGAGGAGATTTTTGTTATTCCTGAGGATTTCGATGGAATTGACATGAACGACGAACTTGAAAACAACGCTATCGATGCCTTGGAGGCCGAGGGAGCTGTAAGAGATGTGAACGATGACTTAGTCAGATACTACGACTCTGACTCTGACTTGGACATTTCTTCTTCCGACGAATACGACTCTGACATCGAAGAAGACATTCTTTTGGCCAGCTCTTCAGACTCTGACTCCGAATCCGACTCTGATTCCGAAGATGCTTGTGGGGAATGCGTTGGTTGCGTCGACGAATCCGAATCTGAGTCGAGCTCTTCTGAGTCCGAGTCTGAAGACGCTTGTGGCAAATGTGTTGGCTGCGTCGAAGACTCTGGATCTGAATCCAGCTCTTCTGAGTCCGATTCCGACTCTGATTCTGAGTCCAATACCGACTTGGACTTGGATTCTGAAGAGGAATTGGAAGACCTCAGATTGGCCTTGGCCCAGGTCACCGAATCTGCCGATGAAGTCTCGTCTGATGAAAGCGACGATGATGTTTTTTTCGAAATCGACTCGGATTACTACACTTCTGATGACGATGATGATGACATTGTTGTGGATGAAGACATGAACTCCGACTCCTCTGATTCGTCCGACGACGAGGGAATCACCATCTACAAACACCGCTTTGATTTGCCAGACCGTTACGACAGTGACAATGACTCTACTGACCCCGAGTTAGAGCTCTCTGACAATGAGCTTTTGCTCAAGGCCAACGACTCTGATGACGAGTTCGATGTGATCGACTTGAGCAAAGATTTGAAAGGCTCCAAGGATTGCGAGTTGGTCGAGCTTGACGACAACACTTACAAGTTGAATCTCAGATTCCCATCTCTCATCAAGGAAGACTTGAAAATCAACTTCTTGAAAAATGAGAATGAGTTGGTTATCACAGGTAAATTCAACTTCACGTTCGACGAGACTGACAATGAAGAGGAAACTCAAGCTGATCAAGCCGAGGAGGACGTCGAGGAGAACGTCGAAGGCGGAGCCAATGAAGAGTCCAAGAATGAGGGTGAGGACATCAAAGACGCGGAATCTTCCAGCTCTTCGGACTCCGACTCCGAGTCTTCTAGCTCTTCGGAGTCAGAGTCCGACTCCGAGTCCGACTCCGAGTCCGGTTCCGATTCTGATTCCGATTCCGAGTCATCAAGCTCTTCCGAGTCTGAGTCTAGTTCTTCCGAGTCTGAGTCTGACAACGAGGAGGAAATAATGGAGGATGCCCAAGAATTGATCAAAGACTTCCAGAAGCATGAGATTCAATTTGAGAAGCGCTTCGTGTTTGACAAGATGGTGAAGTTTGACGAGATCAAAGCCTCTTTCTTGGAGAACGGCGAGTTGGAGTTGATCATTCCAAATGAAGGTGTCGAAATTGACACGGAAAAGAACAATGTTGCCATCGCCATCGAGGGCCAGCCCGAACAGCAGAAATCCATTGCGGCTGATGCGGAAGTCCAGGCTGTGGCTGAGGCAGTTGCGGAGGCAGCTACTGCTGACGTCGAGATGGCAATCTAAGGCCGGCCGCTTGCCATCAGAACGACGCCAAGCACGGCGCTCACGCACATTCATGAGACATTCACTTCTTGCATGGCCCTTTTCGAAGAGGCCCTTTGTACAATAGAGTTTAATCGTTTTACAGATTACAATATAGTGGTTTGAGAATTAACCATGATGACTATTCACTCTTATCTACACGAGAAGACGTAAGAATACCTACTTGACGGTATCCCCGGACATCCCGATTGGTAGTTCTGTAAGTCACCGGCACTACGGAAGAAGTTGAAAAAAAGTATAATTCAGAAAAGAAAAAAAAATAGTGTATAGGTAATTGTTTTGAAAAGCTCATGACACGTAGAGCTGTTACTAGCAGTTGACCATTCCACTCTTGCAATGGAGGCTCTAATTTGCAGTAGGATGGACGATGCAAGGTTCACACTGATAAAGAGAAAACAGCCATGTACGCAGCTTTTATCAAGATCAATAGGTCATCATGCTTTTGGATATGTCGACCGTATCAACCTTCCAACACCCTCTGTGAACGAACGAAAACCCCAAAAATAAAGACGCCATAGATGTTTTCCTCAGTCCTTTCTAACACTACTGTGAAAGAAAGGTGGCACGAGGTCAAATTTGCCAAATCCAAGAGTCTTAATGAGATGTTGGCTTTGATCACTAACTCGTTGAGACTTGAATTCGTGCATCCTTTTGAACTTCTGAGCTGAACCGACTAGTATAGGAAATTTATCCCAAAAATTGATGACGTAATAATCAATACGTAAACATGTGTGCCAAGAGGACCGCCCAGGCCGTGATTAACAAGAGGAAACGGACCACTAGGTTTGTATTTGGGAGGTGCTAAAAAGTATTATATAGATATTTTCATAGTTCTGCTCCTTTAGGAGATGAATCCATTGAAAAGCATGCTTCCAGATCAATAGGATTATGCAAAGAATCGTACAACTATGCCAATGTGCAAGATAACTCTATGGGGTAAGCCAGGCCTGGTGTTGTCACGTGTTGTAGATTATTCCGAACGACAGCAATTCTCTCTTTTCCGATGACGACATCGGCCTCAAGTACAATGGAAGTGAAAGAAGGGTGCCAAGGAAATCCAAGTATAAGTTTGGTAGTTTTGCGCTACAGTACAGGCTTGGAAAGCTAGCAGATCCAGCATACCGAATACATTTGGGGTGCAGTTTTACTGGTTTTCGAGATTGCGCGTCATAGTTTTGACCAGATCTTTGAGGATATTTTTCAAAGTTCGCTAACAAGCCCCCAAATATGCTTGCGTCACCAAAAGCATGGGGCTTTTATGCTTTTTACTGGTTCAATCAGTGCTTGTATGGAGGTCGGTGCTAGACGGCTCCTGTCTGAGAAATCTCGCAACCCGTGAACTAAAAGCTGCGAGTACTGCATACACATGATTTGCTGATCGATTACTAAGAGGGCAAATATCACGCGGCACTGAAGAACGCAAGTATTTGACGGCAACTTGGCCATGGCGGAAAAGCGATCTGCGTGAAAATACTCTTTGGTCATATTCCAAGACCTGAGTTTTGCCAACGAGCCGAGGAAGCCCGCCCGCCGACATTTCACTAATGTATGTAATAGATCTTGATGATATGATGTCACGATTGCTGCGGGACCGAGGCTTTTTTACACAGGCGTCCCATTATTGCTTTGCCTCTCCTATTCGAAGACCTTCCATCGATGTCTGGTGGTGCCATATAAAAAAGGAAGGCCCGGCCTCCGACACGCCTTGTAAAAATTAAACACAAACACACCTCTCTTTCCCAAATAGCACAATGACCGTCACACCCACAACTGTATTTGTCTCCGGAGCTACAGGCTTCATTGCACAGCACATCGTCAAGCTTCTAATTGACAAGGGCTACAATGTAGTAGGCACGGTGAGATCGTCCGAAAAGGGCGAAAACTTGAAGAAGTTGCTCAATTCCAACAGCTTCTCCTACGAGATTGTGAAGGACGTCGAGCCAGCAGGTGCCTTCGACGAGGCCTTGAAAAACCACCCGGAGGTAACTGTCTTTTTGCACACGGCCTCTCCGTTCCACTTTAAAGCATCGGACGCCGAAAAGGAGTTGCTCAAGCCTGCCGTCAACGGTACGAAAAACGCCTTGAATGCCATCAAGACGTACGGCCCCCAGATCAAGCACGTGGTGGTCACTTCTTCTTACGCCGCCATCATGAACCTCAGCAAAGGAAACGACCCCAGCCACGTCGATACCGAGGAGCTGTGGAACCCGATCACGTGGGAAGAGGCCAAGCTGGGCCCTGGGCCCGGGTATGTGGGATCCAAGACATTTGCCGAGAAGGCAGCGTGGGACTTTGTGAAAGACGAAAAGCCCAATTTCACCATCAACTACATCAACCCAGTGTACGTGTTTGGCCCACAAACCTTCGACTCCGAGGTGAAGGACGAGCTCAACACGTCCTCGGAAATTATTAATGGTTTGTTGAATTTGGGCAAGGACTCGGATGTGCCGGAGACTGCAGGCTCGTTTGTCGATGTCAGAGACGTGGCCAAGGCGCACTTGGTTGCGTTCGAGAAGAACTTGTCCAACCAGCGCTTGCTTATGACATCGTCGAAGTTCAACGGCCAGGACTTGTTGGATGTGTTGAACGCCAGGTTTGAGTCTTTGAAGAACAAGTTGCCTATTGGCAACCCAGGTTCTGGAAAGGAGGCTGCCAAACAAACCTGCCAGCTCGACAACAGCAAGACCCGCGAGATTCTTGGCTTCCCCCTCATTGACTTGGAGACGTCTGTGGTGGACACCGTGGCGCAAATCCTTAAAGCCAGAGGCAGAAAGTAGCGCGGACATGAGAGAATGTATGGAAACATAGGAATACTCCAATGAATAGAAGATCTGTAACAGAGAACTTAATATTGCTTGTGCACCCCACATTCGGAGGAGCCAGGTGAGCTGTTCAACATAGAAACTTGGCCAGCTGCCCGCCTCTTGATTTTGCAGCAATTGACACAGCACGGAGATCGACGCCATATCTCTCACTGTGGCACGACCTGTTCGGTAAATAAAATGTCTGATGCATTGATCACCAAAATATTCATGGTTGGCATCGATTTCGGTTGAATTCTTGGATGTCAATCAGTTAATTACATTGGGTCGCTTCTTAACAATGTCCCTCCGGAGAAATGTACGCTGAGTATAATTTTCTAATTCGTAGACAACAGGTGTTTGCAATGGACAAGGGCAAAGTGTTCTGGCTACCCCGGAGCTCGCTGAATTCTACATGAAAACAGTGGCTGAAATTATGAGCTGGGGGACGACATGAAGTAGTTCCAGCGGAAAACAAAACATAAAAGCCGAAGTTGTTTATGATGTCACGGTGGACTATCTCGTGCTAATGAATGAAATACAACTCCATCGAAGGTTTAGAACGGAAATTAGGAAATCGGTACGAGGCAATGAAGTAAGATAGGAAGTAGTTTTCCTCGGAGTAATGAAGAGTAAGTACAATTTGTGCCTCCATTCATATGATACGCCCATCTTACAGAGCACTTCAAGCAGACCCTTAATTCATTTCAACTATTCCGCCAAACAATCAGAAAATATTTTGTAACTTTAATTGGAAATTCAATTGACTCAATCAACGCCTGCTTGAATCCAAGCTTCTGCAATAAACCCAAATCAAAAGTTCTGCCGCGCAACTGTGTAAAATCACGAGCAATGCCTGAATGAGTAAAGTGTTTATCGATGAATCTTGCTGATATAATAATAGACAATGATCTTGATTTTTTTGTATTTTACGCGATTGGCGTTGGGAAATCCGAAAGTTGAGCGCAGTGTGAATCGGGCTCGATCTAGAATGTCCAGCCCAGATACGTTCATCTTATACCACACTATCGGAATGAACAATTTAGTAGGGGCATCAGGTTTTTTCAATTTCTCCAAATTACTTATATTTTCCTTCAGCTAAAAATGTGAAGAAAAACAAATCAGTTCAATTGAAGATTACGGCAAGGGATAATTTGGTACTTTAAATCATTAATCTTTGAAGTAGAAGAAACCCGAAAATTACACGATCCGCATTCTGGTAAGCCTTTCTCTTTTTCCCAAGGATCATGCCGAAATCCGAGACTCTGCTGCTGGAGTACCGCAAGCCAGTGAAAGGTGGCCTACTCTGACCGTCACATCACAAATAACTTCGATGACATGGCACCTGAAATGCAGGTTTCAGCACCACTTAAAACAAACAATCATAAGTAAGGATATTATAGAGACACAAGTGGATCAGAATTACATTAAACACATTCGCATTTAATGACCGGTAGATCCGCCCACACCTTGGAAAGCACTAAAGGAGCAATTTACGTGGGTGTCTTGGAAAATTGGAAACTGCCAAGATGAAGCTTGGATGCTTTAGTCTACATTGAATGAGAGGTCAATGTCACATTGGCACGGAACACAAGCCCCTAAACGTGCAAATGTCTTTCTTTTGTACATGCTTAGAGGGTAAATACGACTCGCAACGCAACATGGTCTCCAAGAGCGAACAATACTTTCGTTCGAATGAAAAGTACCAAAAATGTGAATCGCAGCGGGAAAACATACATATGAAACAGACTGGAACCTTCTCCGACAATAGGAATTCTACATCTTATCATCCATACAGATTAGTTCAGTTTGCCTCTTAGGCTGAACAAGAACGACTCGAATCTACCTGGATTGACATACTTCGGTATAATCTTACATATGCGTTACAGGTCTCAACAGCGTTCTTGGACATCAGTGTAGAACATACATAGACCAGAATTTACCCATCGTATTTAATAAAACATTCACTACAACATGCACTAGAGCTGAAATGTACTTGAACACGACTTCAGGGACGCGTGAATGAACAGCCTGAATCGAAAACACACAAAGCCAATGAGAGACATTCTTAAATTTTCATAGTTTCAAGAGTAATGACAGCTCAAAGTATATATATCACAAGAAGCATATATACGAGCCAACAACTTGTATCAACACGAGAGATGGCACACTCCGATATAGATATGCCCCATCATCAGTCTATCCTCAAATAGGCCTTCTATGTCTAGATAGATCTATGAAAGTCCATTTTCCCCAAAGATTTGAATGATTTTTGATTGAGTGAAAAGTCCGATATCAACTTGCGCAAGCACTCAAACCAAGATTTCAAATACCTGATAGTACACTTACTTGAGCAAGCATACTCTAGCAGGCAAAATGAGAAAATGGCCAGAAAAACTAAGAATGGATAAAGTTTTGAGAATCTGATGCATAACCTGAACAAGCTGCAAGAGAAATAACAAAATTGGAATGGCCTCCTAGTGATATAACACTGAATATCCATGCACTGCAACATAATTTTTGGTAGACTAATCTCATTACAAGAGCAAAACTATACAAGAAACTATATAAAAGAACCTTTTAACAGCTCCCAGATACGTACTAAGTGTCGGAACTCTGCCCGCCCCTTCCCATAGTCAAGGCCTCTTGACCCGTATCTGTTTGAGTATTGGAATTACGTCATGGATTCCAAGGATAAGCCTCCGGTTATAGTCGCCTCAACTCAGATGGTTGGAGAGGGCTTGAGGAGCTCACTTTCTGCGGCTCGCCATGTCTTCGAGTGCATACCTTAAAAGTCGTGCTGACGAACCAATTTAATTTTGTTCAGTTCCCTAAAGTTGTCGGCCGGAGCCCACATTTCGTTCAAACTCATGTAGCACGAACATTTTGAACAGACGGCCTGAATGTAAATTTCCACTGACTTAAATTCAATGGAGCAAGAGCAGAGCTGAGATTACAACAACAATCCAAACTACGACATTGCCAGGAGTATTGCAATCTGATACAGCTGTACAGAAGCAATGATATTTCAGCACACACAGCCTGAACATTGCGCATGTAGTTTCATTATTGAAACAAGGACTAGGTAACGGAATAGAATCCGACTTGAAATGTTGAACGAAAACCTTGATCCCATCATTGAGAGGTTCTCACTAAGTATTAAAATTATTCCTACACGAACTAGAGCAGACGGCTTGCAAAAACGCATGGAAAATATGTTTTGCTGGGGGTAGCCTCAATCCAGAAGCGGTGGCCAGGAATGAAGTAATTCAGGAACTCATCGTTATACATCGTATATCTACCTGATTGCACATGCACCGGAATGAAACGTACTGAAACAAACATGCAAACGATGTGGATACTTCTGAAAGTCCAGACGGACTCAAACCCATGAAATGACACCCAAGAAAAATAGCCGGCTGGTGTTTCACCGTCGGGATGCCCTCACTTAGTACATGTCCATGAGCCAGAGACACTAGAGCGTACACTAATCAAGCTAGAATCAGATAAAAAGCCATACCGAACTAAAAACCCAACCAGCAACCAAATACGGAAAACTTCAACCACAGCAAGAACCCACAAAAAACGGCAAACCACCAAAAAACCAAACCGCCATGCCATGCCCTGTCCTCGTGTCACGTGACAGCTTCGACTGCAGGGCCGGCGGTGAGGCCCGGTTTGAGGCCAAAGCATTTCCCCCCAGAAAAAAGACCAGTGCGTCTGCTCTGGTCTTGGTCACCGGACTTCTATACAAAAACGACTGGCCCCTCGTCTGGAGCCCTATAGAAGAAAATACGATATTGGGATTTCTGGCACAACCAGGACTGAATGCAATAATCATAGGAAAGCACGACCTTCCAGTTTCAGATACTTATCTGCAACAAGGAGTGCGGCGGAGTATAACTGAGGGGGCTTCCCTCCTTACCCAATCTTTTTAGCAGATCAGTGTCAGCAAAGTTGGTTTGACTTAATCGGGTAAAGATGTACTTTCACACACTAGTACATCTTGAGAAACCCGATAACAACTGTCTAAGTTGGGAGACTCCCATGGACTATAGGGCTAGGGTATCCTGCACCTGAGCTGGGGAGCTTCCTCCCTCACCCGATATTCTAGCAGATCAGTCGCGGCAGACTTGGTTTTGTTCAGCCCAGTAAAAGCTCATGCCTACACACCAGTACACACCAGTACACACCAGTACACACGAGACACCCAATGACCCAACTGCCTAAGTTGGGAACCCCCCATGGACTATGGAGCCTGACGTCCTGCACATAACCTAGGGTTCCAACTCGGCCGACCCCAGAACCCGCGCGCTCAGCGCGAAGCTCATCGGCGCGAAAAAGCATGTTCGCAACCACGCTTTTTCTGCCCCAAACTACCGCCGGGCCCCCCAAAACACCGCCCCGCCGCCCTGCCCCGCCGTCACCTTACCCCCCTCGTGACGCCGCGCTTTCCCTGATCACAACCGTCTTTTCCGCGCGCGAAAACTCCGCAGAATGGTCAAACTGTACGACCGCTACGAGCAGCAGGCGGTGTTTGGCGTGATCGCCTCGCAGTGCAATGTCATATGGCTCCCCCCCTCCGCCACGCAGCTGGACACGTCCGCCGGCAGGGCCGTCTCCGGCGCGCTCGAGCAGCTCGTGGTGTGGGACACAAAAACAGGCGAAATCGTCCACAAACTCGCCGACGGCTTGACGCCCGGCGCGCTGAACGCAAACACGTCCCGTGCGCCCGCCGCCATCGTGGTGGTGGCCGCGCACGCCGCGTCCGGGCTCGTGGCGCTGGGCCACGCCGACGGCGCCGTCAAGGTGTGGGACTTGACGTCCGGCGCGGTCGTGCTCGCGTTCGCCGGCCACAAGGCCGCGGTGGCCACGCTCTGCTTCGACGCCTCCGGCACGCGGCTCGTGTCCGGCCTGGCTGACGCGTCGCTCATCGTGTGGGACCTCGTGGCCGAGGAGGGCCTCTTCAAGCTCAAGGGCCACAAGGCGCCGCTCACGGGCGCGGTGCTCGTGCACGCGCCCGCCTCGCAGGCCACGGTGGCCGAGGAGGGCGAGGACTACTTGGTGCTGGTGGCCAAGGACGGGCTCGTCAAGCTCTGGGACTTGAAGGCGCGCCAGTGCATCGAGACGCACTTGGCGCACCTGGGCGAGGCGTGGGCCGTGGGCGCCAGCGCCGCGCAGGACATGCTCGTCACGTGCGGCGCCGGCGCCCTGGCCTCCGTGTGGGCGTTGGACTTGGCGGCCGCGGACGGCGCCCGCATGCGCCACCGCGGCGACTTCGCCAAGCAGAGCGGCGCGCGGTGCACGGGCGTGGCGTTCACGCGTGTGCACGACGCGGCCGGCTCGCACGAGGTGTTCTTCTTGCAGAACCTGGACCGCACGTGCGAGCTCGTGCGGTTGCGGGCCGCGGACGAGATCGCCAAGGCCACGGCGCGGCGCACCAAGCGCTTGGCCGACAAGGGCCTCGATGCGGGCGAGATCGCGCAGCAGCTCCGCGACGCCGAGCTCGCCATGTTGCTCGCGCCGCTCGCCACCGTGCGCTGCGGCGCCAAGGTGCGCTCGTGCGTGTGGGTGCCCGGGCGGCGGCGGCTCGAGCTCTTGGTGGCGTTGGCCAACAACAGCATCGAGCAGCACCGCGTGGCGGTGCCGGACGCGCTCCGCAAGGCCGCGCCGGGCTCGCTCGTGGCCCTGCGCGCGTACGCCGTGGACCTTGCGGGCCACCGCTCGGACGTGCGGGCCATGGACGTGTCGGACGACGACCGGCTCTTGGCCACCGCGGCCAACGGCGAGTTGAAGGTGTGGAACCTCCGCACACACAACGTGGTGCGCACGTTCGCGTTGGCCGGCGGTTACGCGCTCTGCTGCAAGTTTTTGCCCGGCGGCACGTTGGTGGCCGTGGGCTTCAAGAGCGGCGCGTTGGAGCTCTACGACTTGGCGCGCTCCGCCATGGTCGACCGCGTGGAGGCCGCGCACGCGCTCGCCGCGGGCGGCGCCGACGACTCCGGCGCCGCGGTGTGGTCCATGGACATCACGCCAGATGGCCGCCGCTTGGTCACGGGCGGCAACGACAAGGCCGTGCGCTTCTGGGACGTGCAGGTGGTGCACGAGGCCGTGCCCGGCTCGCGTGCCGAGGTGGCCTCTTTGAAGTTGGCCCTCGCGCAGACGTTGCAGCTCTCGGACGAGGTCTTGTGCGTGCGCGTGTCGCCCGACGGCAAGTACTTGGCCATCTCGCTCCTCAACAACAACGTGCAGGTGGTGTTCGTGGACTCGCTCAAGCTCTACTTGACCTTGTACGGCCACAAGTTGCCGGTGCTCTCCATCGACATGTCCGCCGACAGCAAGCTCATCATCACCTCGTCTGCGGATAAGAACATCAAGGTGTGGGGCTTGGACTTTGGCGACTGCCACAAGTCGCTCTTTGGCCACCTGGACTCCATCATGGCCGTGCGCTTCCTCCCGGACAGCCACCACTTCTTCAGCGCGGGCAAGGACGCCATGCTCAAGTACTGGGACGGGGACAAGTTCCAGTGCATCCAGAAGTTGCCCGCGCACCAGAGCGAGGTCTGGGCGCTCTGTGTCAGCCGCGACGGCTCCTTCGTCGTGCTGGCCTCGCACGACCACTCCATCCGCGTGTGGTCCGCCACCAACGACCAGGTGTTCTTGGAGGAGGAGCGCGAGAAGGAGATGGACGAGTTGTACGAGTCCGAGCTCTTGCGCTCCTTGGACGCCGACGCCGCGCCCGTGGACCCTGACGCAGACCCGGCCGACGCTGGCGACGCCGCCCCGGTGTCCAACCAGACCATGGAGACCTTGAAGGGCGGCGAAAAGTTGATGGAGGCGCTCGACATCGGCACCGCCGACCTCGACGCCACCGCTGCCTACGAGGCCCAGCTCCGCGACTTCCACAGCAAGAGGCCGGGCGCGTCCATGCCCGTCAAACCCACGCCCAACGCCATCCTCCAGGCCTACGGCATCACGGGCCAGCAGCACGTGTTGGCCGTGTTGCTCAAGATCCGCGCGGCGCAGCTCGAGGACGCACTCTTGGTGCTCCCGTTCTCGTACACCGTGCGCTTGATGCGCTTCGTGCAGATCTGGACCGACGCCGACAACCTCAACGGCAACTTGGTCCACCTCGCCGTCATATGCAAGGTCTTGTTCTTCGTGGTGCGTGTCAACGCCAAGGAGTTGATCAGCCAGCGCGACGAGACACTCCGTAACCACTTGGTCCAAGTCAAGACCCAGCTCCGTACCGAGCTCGCGGCTGCCGCGCATCAGCTAGGCTACAATACACTAGGCTTGAAGTTCCAGCGGGCGCAATGGAAGTTGATGCACGAGACGGAGTTTATCGACGAGGCAGAGCAGCGTGCGCACGAGGACAAGCGCGCTGTGAAGAGAATCTTTGCTACCGTTTGATAGAGGAACGAGGCCGCTCGAAGTTCGGGCTCACTACAGACTCGAACTGGGAAGATATCCCACCGTCCACCACGACCTGGAGCACTGGCGCTCAGCATAGTCCGGGAAAGACCTTCAATCTTGGACACCAGCCCCAAGCTCACGAAGAAGCCAAGAGAATGCCGTCCGGTAGATTTTTGCGTTTCTTCGTACCAGTAGTCGAAAAGCATATGACTTTTGGTCACTCACCCAGATCTCACGGAAGACCGGGCAGACCGAGCAGTGCGTGAAGGTACTGCAAGAAAATCATTGAAGGGCCCGTTGATTGGCCTAGCATGTCTCCAAGGTAGCCAAGCCAGCGGCGCTCCCACATACTTGTATATATATCGCGTATACAAACAAAGTAATATTCACAGCATTTAAAGGACTGGTTCGTATGCCGTAATACACATGTCATGTTTTATTGGTGACAACTCTAAGTCGCCTTTGCACAGAATAAAGATTGTCTGACTAAATGGCTACTCAGCAGACCTTTTCCTCCAACAAACCTGTAGCAATTAATTCTTTAAATACTGACCTGGGAAAGATCACCTTATTCTACTGGCTGGTTAACTTCCAGCGCCGTATTATAGTATTGTATGTCTCACTTGCCTGGACGTTTAATGGTTTATGCTTTAGAAAGGGGGCTGTTGAAATGGGGTTAGAGACTGGCCAAAGCACGCCTGCCCCATTTACTGTTCAGTCCATTGAAAACAATCAAAGATTACGAGACCGTTACTTGTTTTACGACATTTCTTCTGGATGAGGGGCACAGACTCCGATCTCCGTAAGGTTCCACGATGGCTATATTGTCGCGGAATTCATCATACCAATTATTCGGTACTGATTTACAAATGTGCAGGGTGAAGTATCGGTTTTTGATTTTGTCTCTTGAACGAGAAATGCACAAGTTTATGTACTAGCTTGAACTCAAAAAAAGGGAGGGGGAAGACGTCAAGAATTGCAAGTGCTTTTGGAACAGCTACACACGACATCGTATTACTTCCTGTGTTATTGGTCCTACTTCATCCTCATAGACATCAACTCAGTCTTGGGAAAGTTTTTGAGTAGAACATGACAGTGACACCGCAAGATCTCAAATACATCATGTCTTGCAGTATAGACTTGGGACTTAATCTATGATGTTCTATGGTTTGGATACCCTTGTGGCCTTCGGATATGCGCCTTCATTCTTCAAGTGATGTGCCTCTTGTCCTGTCCATGGACCTTGTCTTTTTACCGCAGCCAGGGTTGAAGACCGAGAGCATTTCCTCCCGGACCCCGCCCATTAAAATGTCCCGAACTTTACCACGAAGACTTTCTCCCAATCTGAGTTTCGTCTTCCCAGTTTGGAGTGCTCAACATCGTGGTCATGCGGACACGCACTTTTGGCCGCGCACAGCCTTTTGGTTTCCCATATGGCCCACGAAACATACGCGTTATGAAGTTCCAATACGCTTTGCTCAAGCCGCTCCTCGAATCGGTCTTGTCTGCCGCGGTAGGCGCGAATTTTGTCTCGTGCTGGACCGGCGCTTCGCGTTTTTTCTTTGTTAAGTTTCCTGCTCCCGTTTTTTTCAATTCCTTCCCTCATTTGTTCATTTCCTCTATTTTTTGTTCACTTCTGCTTTTCCTTACTCACTTCTTGTTTTCTTTATTCACGTCTTCTTTTCTCAGTTCACGTTCTTTCTCCGTCAGTTTTTCCTGGTCCGTTCTCAATTTCTTGGTCCATTCCCCCGTTCTCAGGTCATTCCCTTTTTCTTAGTTCATTTCATTTCCCCCATTGTCTCGCTCCGTTATCCTGCTGATTGGGTGCGCTGAACAATCGCTGCGCCTGGAGTTTCCGGTGCGGGGCCTAGGGTTCTGACAGGCATTATTGATTCTGATGCCCGCGCGCGCGGCTCTGCATGGCGCCAGCCGTGTGACCAAGGCCCAAAGCAGCCTGGGCCCATCTCGAGTGCCTGTCAAAGAAGCCGAGAAATTTGGGCCACAATAATCCCACGCTTTTTGACGGCCACGGATAGTCATGGTTTTGTAGCTTTGTGGGCGTGCTCCCTAAAACATGATTTAGGAGCTGCCCCACGCCGTTCTTGTCGGGCCCGTCTGTCTTTTGACATCAGGGCGCTAGTCGCACCTGGCTCTAAACAGCCCCGCGTTTTTTTGTTTTTGGCCTCAGAAAGTCCTTCTTGTGTACTACAACTGGCTCTTCCTGGCAGTCTTGTCTTTTTACAAATCAGGCTCCGGAAATACATACGCTGCGTTTTAGAAGTGGGCCGCCGCTCCCATTTATATATACCCGCCCCCCTGGCTCGACTTTGTGTTTGTGGTCTTTAGGATAACCTGTTTTTTTTTTTTTGAATCCCTGTTCTTTTGATTCTGATCCTTTTTTTTGCCGCCCCGCTCTACGGCCGTCTCGAATAGGCCTAACACGCGGGAGGTCCAGGTGCACGCGCGCATTCACACGAAATTGAGACGGGCGCAAAAAACGACCAGAAAAAAGCCCACCAGAGTAAATCCGGCTCCTCCAGAATCGGGCCCTACTCACTCAGCGCCATTTTTCTCGCTGCCGCTGCCGGTCTGCTCCTACATCGAAACACCCACTTTTGCCTGCCAGTATTCCTCGTGCAAGTCTGCAAGGTATTTTTTTTCGTTGGATCAACGCTTGGATCAACTGACCCTTTGCCAATCGCCAGATCCACTTTCGGGCGGAGAACGTCTCCTTGGCTCCGCTTGCTTAGCCACACTAGGCCCCTCAAACCACAGAGGCACGACTTGTAAAACGGCCCCCGCCTCACTCCCAGTCGTCAAAAAACACCGGAATCACCATGAACGGGATGCAGAATACCCGCATGGGCGGCACCTGGCACTCCTCCTACAACATGGGTGACCGGCAGAAAGTCGTCCAGATCCTTGCCGCAACGCTTAATGAAATCCAGAATACCGCCTACAACGAGCAGAAGGCGCTCGCCATGGCCCAGGAGTTCGAGAAGTACACTTTCCTGAAATCGGCGACGAAGGACGAATACGTCAACATTATCAAGCAAAAAGTCACCCAGTTGCGCATGAGCATGCGCAACGCCCCATCGGTCGCAAACCCGCTGGCCGGCACCGGAAACGCAGTGCCTGTCGTCACCAACGGCGGTGGGGCCGCTGGCGGCAACGGCAACGCGGGAAACCCCGGGTACCAGGGCCAGAACATGGCGATGTACGCCCAAAACCGCCAGCAGCAGGGCCAGCAGCAGCCCGTCCAGAGACTGGGCCTGGCCAGCAACTCGCTGCTGCAGCAGCTGCTGAACCAACAGCAACAGATTCCGCAGGGAATGCAGTTGACTCAGCAGCAGATCCAGCAGATTGGCCAGTTGGTCCGCACGAGCCCGATTCCGCCGGCGCTCTTGGGCAAGTTGCCGAACTTGCCTCCCAACGTGAACACCTGGGCCCGCATCTACGAGTGTTTCCAGAAGAAAATCATCCCCACGACAGCAATGCCCTTGATCAAAGAAGTGCACAACGCGCACTACCAGTTGGCCGTGCGCCAGCATCAGCAGCAGAAATTGACCCAAATGCGCCGTGCAAACGGCGGCAACATGGCTGATGGTCTGTCTGTCGGAAACACTGGAATGGACGCTTATGGTGGTAGCGGCCAGGGGAATATGAACTCAATGGGTGGAAACATGAATGCTCCCGTGAATAACAAAATCAGCATGACCGCGGCTGCCTCCAAGAACATGGCCAACATGAACACCATGAATAACATGAATGCAATGGGGAACACGGGGAACATGGAAAATATGGGAAACGCCGGGATCAATGGCATGGGTGCCATGAATGGTATGGGCGCTATGAATGGCATGAACAACCTCAATGGCATGAACAGTGTGAATAACATGGGTGGCATGAATAACATGGGAAACATGGGTAATATGAACAATATGGGCAATATGAACAACATGGGCAATATGAACAACATGAATGCCACAGCTAACAATACGAACCAAATGAACGGCATGGGCAACATGAACGTGAACAGGCAAGTGCAAAGCAACCCGATCAACATGCAGAATCTGCCCCAGATGGCCAACCAGGTTCCTTTCCGAGGCAACCAGGTTCAAAACACTCAGCTGCAACCCCAACTGTCGATGCAAGCCAATGTTGGTATGCAAAACCAATCACAACTGGCCCCGCCTCATCAACAGCGTCAGATAAACCAGCAGCATCCACAGGTTAAGCCGCCAAACTTTCAAATCACTTCCCAGGACTTTGTCAAGTACAGCGCTGATGCCATGGCGCTTTTGCACAAGTTACAGCAAAACGGTTCCATCCAGCTGAATATGGACCAATCGCAGAAGCAAAGTTTTGTGCGGAAATTTATTTCACATCAGAAACTCAATGCCTGGAAAGCGCAACAAAAAGCCATGGCGCAATCTTCTGCTGCTGGTCAACAGGATCCACAGCAACAGATCCAGCGTCAGCAGCAGCAGAATCCAAATCAAGGAGGCGCTAACAATTATCTACAACAGCAGCATCAGCAGCCAGTACAACCACCAGCTTCTCATATACCTCTCCAGCTGCCATCCCTACAACAATTGGGACAGCCGAATGCGAACCCTTCCATGGGACAACACATGTCTTCGGCTGTCCAGCAAAGAAGCATTTCGGCACAGGGAATAGGTGCGGATTCCATGGCCTCGGGTCAGAATAGAATGACTCCTGGCTCTTTGGCTCTGGTTATGCCGGCTTTAACTGATGAAATGAGAATGAAACTCCGAGCTCTTTACGAAGAAGTCTCTAGAAACAACGTACAGCTTAAGGATGTCACAATGCTTTTAAGTGATAAAGAAAAACTTGAAGTGAAAGAAAACATGGACAAGATCACCCAACAATATGCCAACATTGACAGCATTCTTAGCTATTTTTATGTGCTTACGCGCAACACCGAGGGTACCAAACGCTTGATACAAATGAAGAACATGACCAAGAACGTCATTGATAATCTCAAGATCGGAGTTTATCTCGCCGGCCCAGATCTTCTTGAGAAAATACGAATGCAATACCAGAAGCATTTCGATTATATCAAGGAAGAGCTCACCCGGAGAAGAGCCCAACAAGCGAGAAATCAATCTCAAGGTCAGTCTCTCTCGGCACCGGTTCAGTCTCAGCAGCCAAGACAAGCCAACCAATTTCCCGTCCAGCAATTTGCTTCGCATAGTGCTATGCAACAGCCCATGCAGCAAAACTATAATGGGATGCCGCAGGGAAACATTGTGGGTGGCCTGGCTCAGCAACATCCACAGCAGCAAATTCCACAACAGCAATACATGAGAAGCACTCCAAATGCTCCTTTGCAATCGCAACGGGCCGGCCCTAACGCGAGCGCTGCACAAGTCATAACATCAAGTCCCTCTGTGTCGAATGCGTTGTCACCTCCAGCGCACACTCCGTCGAAAGGTATGCAAAAGACTGTCAAAAAGCAGACAACAACAAGAAGAAAGTCTGTCAAAGGAAGTTCTGCTTTGCCAACCCCGGCCGCGAACGCCACAACCCCTGCAAATTTGGTCAATAGTATCAAGACACCAAACAGCATGTCGACTCCTCAGGTGCCTGCATCGCAGAGTGCCAAGGGTACTCCAAACGCAAGTTCGCCGCAAAACAGCGTCAAAGCTGCATCGAATGCCGATATAGTGGCTTATACTGGAGACGTTTTTGGAACGAGCAACGTTGATAAAAAATTGATGAGCAGACGCGACCTTTCAAAGAATAATCCGGAACAGTTTTTTTTCGCTGCTCTTTCTAACATGCTTGAACTTGAAAAAAATACCAGCAGTGCAGATAATGTTAAAGCAAAGGACGTTAAGAAGGGGCTTCAGTCGCCTCTCTCACCTTCTAACTCAAGTGAGTGGACTAGCGGCGTTAAAGCACAGGCTATCATGTCGGCGTTTCGCCAGGTTGAATTCATAGCAGAGCTTACGGGGTGTGATGTGTTACAAGAGTGTGCTGAGTTGGCCACACATGATCTCAGAGAAAAAGAGACGACGGCACTTGAGCGCAAGAGACAAGCCGAAGACGACGACGATATGGATTTGCTTTTCGAGGATAAGAAATTGAAGATCGAGGAAGATATAGAAAAACGGCTATTCGCGCCTATAGAGCTTGATGATTGGAAAAGCTGGCTTGGCGGGTTGCAAGAGACCTAAAGAAGTATAAATTCATGAGTGAATTTAATATTATGTTGGCCAGTGGAGATGAATTCCATGTCTGAAATCGGCACGTCTGTGTAATATGAAGGTTCACTAATTTTTCATCAAGCAATGTTAGCTGACAAGACTTCGCGCAGCTACTGGTTCCCCAGTCAGACGTATGTCGTTCAAAATTTCATACTTTGTTGGCTTTTGAAATCAGCGACAAACGTTTTGGAGTACACGAGTCTTTCAGCTGTTTGTTTAAAGTTCAAAGAACAATTCCAAAACAAACAACTTGAGCAATTCCAAACGCGAGGAACGAGAGCTTGGTATCATTCATACAAATAGTCAAAAACATAAGCTTTTAATGTACGGTATTTTTAATGTTTTGCGAGGACATCAAGGACTTGCCAACGTACACTAATTCCTAAACTCCGGCAGAGAAACTGAACTTTCTATAATTCCGATTTGGTATGGTCACCCCACAAATCACTCGTCGCACGACTTGTAATGTAATTCGCAACAACTGTTGGGGCAATATAGCATGACAAACTCTGGATTGGAGACACAAGAAAAACCACCACTCCCGAGCAGACCGTGAAAATGGCCCAGGATAAGAAAATATCGGTAGCTTTCGTGTGTCTTGGAAACATGTACGTATAATCTCAGCTCCATATGTTTTCTTCTCATGTGAGATGTGAGAAGTGATATTGCCATCTTTCTGAGCAACGGCCATAAGACCCACTTCTTTTCACTGGATTCGATCCATGGAGCAAAAAAAGGTAAGGATATCCCGTGTCATTAGTCTAATGCTAACTATATAGCTGCCGTTCACCCATGGCAGAGGCTGTTTTCACACACAAGGTGCACGAGCTTGGATATACCAACCAGGTTGAACTTATTGATTCTTTCGGTACTTCGGGCTGGCACATTGGGGAGAGTCCCGACTCCCGTTCTGCTAGCACGTGCCGCAAGCACGGCGTGGCTGTAAAACATGCAGCACAGCAAATCACGCCCAAAGACTTCGAGCGGTTTGACTATGTGATCGGAATGGATGAGCAGAACAAGAGCGATCTTTTGCACATGCGGCCACGTGACAGCAAGGCCAAAGTGGCGATTTTCGGCAAGTGGCAGACCAGCCCGGAGTTTGCCGAGATTGTGCTGGATCCGTACTACGGCGGGCGTGATGGGTTTGAAACGAACTTCAAGCAGATCAGTCATTTCAGCGAAGAGTTCTTAAAGCAGGAACTAGGAGAAAAGTAAGAGCTCAAGGTGTTTTGGGAATTTCCGTATTTTTTCGGGAGACTGTGGAATGGTGGATGACTCGGCAGTTTTGAGCATCCAGTGTGAGAGCTAGTTCTAGTAGTGGCTAATAGGCACGAGCGAAAGGAACGAATATGCGTCATATCCTTTAATACTACATATGTGAGCGGAATTGTTGAGAAAGCGTGTCTTATCTCTTACTTAGGTACACTGAATGTTGACGAGGCCGATTGAAGCGTCAGCTGATGTCGTGTATTAGGCCATAGGTTTCTGGATTTGATGGTGACATCATTCCAATGCTGTTTGACTGCCTAAAGTCAACGATCAGTCTAAAATCAAAACAGCTCAGGGTCGGGCGGAGCGCACATCAGTGGACCGGCAATCAACGGTACATAAATGCCGGTTGTGGCTTTAAAAAAAACCTTTCAAGCCAGCTGTCTGGGGTTTCTGGTCCTTTTCTGGAAAGCTGGGTAAAAGTCAATCTTTTGTTACCAGTGTGTTTTCCGGACGACCAAGGCCAAATTCGAACAGATCCGATTTTCTCACACCAGAACAGTTTTGCTTCACACCTCAGCAACAGTTTGCATCTAGTTTTTGACAATGTATATGCCTTGATTGAAACATTATTTGGCTGTGTTAAGGACTGATGAGCACAGCGATACCATATTGCCAAACCCAAAAAAGATGGGACCAGGCACTCGAGCTTGTCAATTCCCTTGAGCTCGGCCCCAGAGCATTTATGTATACGTAAGGCTTGCTTCTGATGATCAGATTTGTGTTTTAAATAGTAGTCGAGCCTCGTTGGTCTGAATCTCAGATCGGCTTCGACCATCATCCAGAGTCCAATAATATTCCAATCTATTACTTATGAACTCAGACTTATCTCGAAGCCTGGGATGCTTCTAGAGTCTCAAGCATGTTTGGATTTCGGGCAATCGGGAATTGTCGAATATTGAGGAGCCAGTTCTAATATATGGACTTTCATTATTTTTGAAGTGGAGTCGACCATTTCCAAGAGTTTTGTATATCGTAGATACGTTTATCATTGACCTGGGTTCCGGGACTTCGACTAGTATCCGCAATTTAGTTTGTCTCTATGCTTCAGCTTTTCTTGTACTTCCATCATTTATAGACCATTGATCTTCACGCCCCATGCTTTGGAATTACAGTATTGAGGCGCCGGTTTTTTTTTTTTTTGAGACTTCTGCCATCTTTGGCCTGTGAACAACCTTGGAAGTTGATCTCTCGGGCACAATAGTTTTGAATCGCGATTGTTTCTTGAGTTGCAACTGATTGGTTTTCTGGTCAATTTCCTTTTTTTGTCTTCTCTAGCCCATGCTCAGCTTTCGAGGAGTTCCAAATCATGTTTCTGGGGCTGAGATTTAAATACTTTCGAGCCTCAATCGTTTGACTCCATCGCCTCTCAGAACTCGGCTGGTTGCCAGTTCATCCACCTGTATACTTTGGCTGTTTTTTATGCCTCTATCAATCTCGGGTTTGTGCAGATGTTTAAACCCCACTTACCAATGGAGCTCTTCGGATCCCTTGGCTCCAACTGTTCTTCAGGCAGTGATGTCTTTTCAAGCCCCAGATAGTAACAGTTAATGTTCAAGCCGCAGATAGTAACAGTTAATGTTCACGCCGCAGGTAGTATTCATGCCACGGTCACTATTTATGAGTTTACTATATTTAGAAGAAGCTAACATATCAAGTTCTAACTTATTATTTTTTATTCTAACAAGAGGATTATAATTACTTATATACTCTTTAGGATATTTTTTTCATAAAGTTGACTTCTTTAGTAGCTAATTTTATATATTAAACCTTTTTTCATGTCTATGTTCATGTCTATATATATATATATATATATATTATATCTTCTTATAATAAGAATAGGCCTATTTTATTTATCTTTGTTTTCAATATTTCTCTCAGTTTCTGGAATTTATATTTTTATCATTTCTATTTTTATTCGTGTTTTTATTTGAATTTCTTCACGCTACCCAAACCGAGCCATAAATATTCTCCATGTACAATCTACCTGCGATGAATGTTTATCCAGTGTTAATCCTGGAATGTTTATCCAGTGTTAGTCCTGCGATGAATATTCATTCAATCTTTATCCCGAGATCAATGTGTAATCAATCTTTGCTCTACGATAATCTTTATCCAATCTCTACCCTACGATAATCTTTATCCAATCTTTATCCTACGACTAATCTCTATCCTACGACTAATCGAATATCTACCATGCGATTATCTTTATCCAATCTCTACCCTACGATAATCTTTATCCAATCTCTACCCTACGATAATCTTTATCCAATCTCTACCCTACGATAATCTTTATCCAGTCTACCCTACAATAATCTTTTTCCAATCTCTATCCTACGACTAATCTTTTTCCAATCTCTATCCTACGACTAATCTTTAAGCTCCACAAGGTTAGGGTGCAAACAACCTGCGAGCTAACCTTCCAGAACCCGCGGTGCGGCCCAGCATATTGGCTCCTACCATCACTACGCCATGGACTCCCAATATACAAGGACACCCCCAAATGCAGCGCCTAAGAGAGCACCCCCAAATACATCCCCAAATACATTCCCCAATACATCCCCAAATACATTCCCCAATACATTCCCAAATACATTCCCCAATACATCCCACAAAAAAAAAAGCAACAGCATGTCCGTCCGCCCATTCCTCCCAGGCATGGCGCCCGCGGTCGTGCGCGGCCCAACGCCGTCGTGAGGGCCAGCGCCAAACCACCACCCAGCAAGCGCCCCTGTTTCTTCCAACACCCCTGTTCCGCCAAACGCCCCCACATCCAGCCGGCGCAAAACACACCATGAGCTCGCGCAAACTACAGCAGGAGTTCGACAAGCTCCAGAAAAAAGTCGCCGAGGGCTTGCAGCAGTTCGAGGAGATCTACGAGAAGATCGGCGTCACGGAAAACCCCAGCTTGAAGGACAAGTTGGAGGGCGATTTGCGCAAGGAAATCAAGAAGTTGCAGCGCAGCCGCGACCAGGTCAAGCAGTGGCTGGGCGACAGCAGCAACAAGCTCGACAAGCAGGTGTTGCTCGACACGCGGTCGCGGATCGAAAACGCCATGGAGCGTTTCAAGGAGGTGGAGAAGGTGTCCAAAATGAAGCAGTTTTCCAACGAGGGCTTGGAGTTGCAGACCAAGTTGGGCGCCCGCGGGCTCGACGAGGCGCGCAAGAACGACGCGGCCAAGTACGTGGTGGACGTGTTGGACGAGTTGGGCCGCCAGAACGAGCTCTTGCAGGCCGAGATGGCCCAGCACTCGCACAAAAAGCGCCTGGCCGCGGCCCAGGCGGCCCACGCGGACGCGGCCGCCAAGTTCGAGCGCAACAGCAGCCACGTGCTGCGCTTGGAGCTCGTGTTGCGCCACTTGGAGAACCACCAGCTCGAGCCCGAGAAGATCGACGAGATCCGCGACGACTTGGACTACTACGTGGAGAACAACCAGCTGTCGGACTTTGTGGAGTACGACGACTTCTACGAAGTGCTCCAGCTCAGCGAGCCGCCGGCGGAGGCGCCGCACGTGGCGCCGGAAGTGCCGGCGGAGCTGCCGGCCACGCCCAGCCCGAGAAAGGCCCACGCCGCCGCCGCCGACAAGCGGCCCGCGGACCACAAGCGGGCGCCCGAGCTGCTGCCGCGCGTGACCATCACCATCGGCAACTCCGCGGCCAACCCGGCGGCTAGTTCAGGGGCCAACCCGGCGGCTAGTTTAGTGGCCAACGCGGCGGCGCCCGCCAAGACCAGCGCCGCCAGCAGGCCGCCGCCCGGCTTGAACGCGCTGCGGCCCGCCACGCCCGTGCAGGCGCCCGCCAAGTTGACCGTGGCCGAGGAGTTGAAGAAGAAGGCCATGACCCACGCGGCCGCGGCCGCAGCCTCAGCCAAGGCGCCCGCGCCGCCAGCGGCCGCCGCCGCCGACAGCCCGGTGGCCACGCCGCACGCGTCCCCCCTGCCCGTGCACGGCAAGCCGCCGCGGACCGCCGCGCCGTTCTGGGACAACTCCGCCGGCATCGCGGCGCTCGCGCACAACCGCTTGCACCAGCCGGCGCCCTTCCCGGCCATCAGCCGGCAGCTCGAGGCGTCGTTGCTCAACTGCCCGGACTCGTTCGACCTGGAGCGGCCGCGCCAGTACAGCCCGACCAACGTGCACCCGTCGCTGGTGGACTACCCGCAGGAGCCCATGTACGAGTTGAACTCGGCCACGCTCATGCGCAAGTTCGACACGGACACCTTGTTCTTCTGCTTCTACTACAACGAGGCGCAGGACGCGTTGGCCAAGTGGCACGCGGCACGCGAGTTGCTGCGCCGCGGCTGGGTGTTCAACCTGGCGACCAAGCAGTGGTTCAGCAAGGAGGACCGCCCGAAGTCGCGCTCGGTCTTGGGCGCGCTCCACAACGGCGACCGCGCCGCCGCGGCCAGCTTCCGCTACTTCGACTACGAGAACAGCTGGTTGGTGCGCCACAAGGACAACTTCGCGTTTGACGCCGAGTTGCAGTGGACGTTCTAGGGCGGCTCGAGGCCTGCCGATGAGGGCGGGGGTCCTCACGGCGGGCGCTTCGCGGGTCTGCGACGGCCCGGATGGACTTCCCGTGCTTGGTGCTTCCCGTGCTTGGTGCTTCCCGTGCTTGGTGTTCTGGGCTGGGGGCAACTGTGGAGCCGGAACCGGCAACTACGGGCAGATTGCAACCATTGGCGCTGCCTGCTTCAGCGTCCCCAACTAGACCCATTCTACCGTCTACACCCAGCTGTGCTCTGGTAGACTCCGGCGTGGTGCGCCCTAGAAAAGGCGTCCCCTACCTCCGGTGGCCAATTCCACATCCACCCTATCCCTGGCTGGCCCCACGCAAACCCCCTGCTCCCCTACGTGAAACCCATCAGAGATCGGTTGGCTCAGCATATTTTCAGCCATTTCGGTGTGCAGGTCTTGGGTCCGGGCCCAAACTTCCCAAAGACCGGGCCTGGCCGGTTGTGCATCCTGCCCGTACGCGCCGCGCTCACAACGCCAGAGGGCCCTTCCGCAGGATTTGGCCCTCAGTCATCAGGACACCCCGGTTGCATTTGGCCGTTCTTCCACGACCGGCTCTATGCTTGCTGGCGCCAGTGCCCACCTGCCATGTCGTCGCCTCTGGCCAATCTTCTGTGTTCGGCGTCGTATGCTTCTGCCGTGGCGCCACTATACAGGGCGAGCAAGGCGCGGTTTGACATGGTGATCCATAAATGGCTCCTGCAGGAAGTTTCACGAAGGAGTCGAGCGAGGTCTCCGCCCTTCGCCCAATTTCTGGGTGGTCCCAGTTACCCCCAAGCACATCTCCGACAGAAATCTCCGCTAACCTATAAGCCCGATTTCCAGGCCGTGTGCATCATCGCAAATCGAAGATACAGACATCCCGCGACTCCGATCCTCACAGCCCGCCCGTTCCAGACCTTGTTTCAGGCTGCCTTGTTACATTCCGCTCGGTGCTTCGCTATCCAAGCCCTTAAGCTCGAGGGTGATTTTCCCATCATCCCGCTTCACTCAGACCCCAACATGGAATACCTTTTCGCAGACAACTCCCATCTACGGCCCCGGGCAGACGCCACATCCACCAGTTCCACCTCAGAAGCCACCACCTCGAATGGCTGTGTGACCTGTCCTGATGACAACGGCTCTTGCCCGGTGTGTTCTTCTGGCGAGGAGTGCTATCTTACAGCAAGAACATGTGACCTGTGCCCCGAATATACTTGTGTGAGCATCTCCAGCAGCAGCTCGAGTCTGCTTTCCTCCTCGCAGTTGGGTGGCATCATCGGTGGCGTGGTTGGCAGCACCTTGGTGCTAACACTTGCAGCTTTCTTGTACTACAGGTTGGTGTGGCGGAAAAAGCACAAGGGACTCTTTGTCAAATCCGATGGATATGAAGATAAGGACGGAGCGAGCCTGCAGAGCGGCGGCAGGGATGAGGCTTACTCGGTCCTGGGCGAGAAAACAGAGCCGGCGGTGTCTCAAGTGAGGCGGCTGGGCTCTCTGGTGTTAAGAAACAAAAACAGCCGTTTGTCGTCTTATGAGTCTTTCATGCGGCCCCCAGGCTATTCGAAGCGAAGCGGCGCCGGGGCCAGAAGTCAAACCGCGTCGCGCGGTGGATCCGGCGTCGCTGCCGGCTCATACTTGAGCGGCGAAGACGCGTCCAAACGTGCTTCGGTAGCGACGACAATCTCCACTTCCAATGCATCGAACATCTTGCCTATTGCTTACATTCCAGGAGTCACAATCCGCCCGACGAAGAACAACACGCGCTCGATTTTCCTGAACGACACTGACTCAGTACTCTCCGATTTCACCGGTATCGACAACGCGCTGATCATTCAAGAGCGGGGGGACTCAGCAGCGAAAAAACCCATGACTGCCGTGAAAGCTCAGCCGAAACTCGTCAACGTGGCGCGTATAGACGAGGACATTATGGAGGAAGATGAGACCGACTTTGATTCTGTGAAGACTGAACACAAGGTGGAGACCTTATCCTGGAGCAAGGCTGCGGACAGCGACCTGGAATCCGTCGCAGACACGGGCGTAGTGGGCGTGGATTCAGATGTTGACTCTGATGTGGACTCCGACATTGGCGAAATCAAGCGTGCTACGTCTACGCGACAGAATCCACAAAACACCAACATTTTCGACGACCCAAAGGATCGAGATACTAAGGAGTTTCCTGACAGCTTCGGTGGGGCGGCTCACCGTGACAGTGGGCATGAAAGTGGTGAAGACGATGAGGACGATTCGAAGTCATTTGTGTTGGACATCACAAGAGAGGCATGAATCTAACTCGGTCGGCTCATTCAATGGGAAATGGAAGCTGCAGCTCGGTTTGCAGAAGGTTGGTCTGTTTTGGAAATCTAGACAGCTGGCGCAAGGTAGGTCTGCGTTGTATGTGACAAAGTCGCAAGGACTCGTATTGGTGTACGCATGGTTGGATTTAGACCAATGTGCTACCAGCCACGCCGTTGCTGTAATTTTTTTGAGCTCAATATCGATGGATATGTTCACACCTTTGTTTTTTTCAGAAAGAATATGATGACACATGTTTTTCGAAGCACGTTTTACTTTCGCTACTTCCTTGGCCTAAAACTTGTGGGTCTTTGACATATCCAAACGCTTTTCGACAAATTTTCTCTTGTAGATGCAAGCCTAATTCAAACATCCGTCGGCTTCCATTCCAAGTTCGACTAAATTGGCAATGTTCAATTGAAACAGGTGGATTCTGCATCATAACTTGTTTTCTGTAGCTTCCCGCAGGCAGGCTACAGATTTATTGACCGTTGAGATACTTTGAGGCCTTCCTCAAGTATATCGCGTAACACAAGCATAACCATTTCCACTTGTTCTGTCTGCCATCTTTTTTCTCACGTCTGCGATTTCCTCATTGTCGTCCTTGCTTTCTTCTTTTGGCAATGACGACCAGTGCCAGCTCTGTTTTATGAAAGACTTTGGCTCTCTCAAAAAATGATACTATGTGGATCGGATGTACTTCAAGCTTTGCTGAGGACTCCCCTGGATATGTGACAGACATGTGATGTTGCAACGCGTAATCAGACGATTTGGTTCTATCCTGTTAAAGACAGTTGCAGCAGTTTTCAGTCCCTGATTTGAAACGGATTCAGCTAGCTTTTGGCTTGTCCAAAGCATCTTTTTTGCAATCCTCTCTTGCTTTGCAGCAATTTTCTTACAGTTGCAACCATGCAAGCAAATATATATAGCCTTCAATCGATGTTCCAATTCTGCAGGCAGAATCTGGGATGATTTGAAGAGCTCGCCGATTCCCAGGTGATGAAAAACCGATGGGAATCAGTGATTCGGCACCAGACACCAGCAAAGGCACCCGTCCACTGCGTATCGTTGCCTTTTCTTTTGAAATCCCAGACCGCCTCTGTGCTCTGCATCTTTCTAATGAGACCACTAGAACTTTTTCGGGCGAAAGATTGAGACTGGACAAGACTGGCCGCAATAAAACAGAGCTTTTGTGGGCCGAGTGTACGATTTTTAAAATAAGCCGGGCCTGGGCGTATATGTGGCAGGCTTGGCCCCCTTGTAGTTCCGGGCCTTGTCGAAATCCTCGTACTAACCCAAATCTGCATGGGAACCGTGGGCCGGCAATAAGGGCTGCGAGACAATTCGAGAAGGTACTACGGAGGAAGGCCACGAGGCAGGAAATATGTGGAGATCGGGAGCAGGGCGTGTGCAAAGTTTCAATGTAGCGTGGGAAGATGTACCCAATTGAGCCACCGTACGTGCCAGGCGATAAGTAGATTGAATGTTGGAATTACATCTCCAGCAAGGTTCGAGCATCCCAGATAAAAATGCATAGCAAATAAGGGCCGTTTCGTGGCTCAGTTCAGTAGTGTCAGGATTGCCAGTACGATCAGTGTTGAGAATGGTCAGGTCGGTGATGGTATCGTCAGGATTGGCAGTATTGCCAGGAATTTTCGTATCGTCAGCATTGTCGGTATGGTCAGTATTGTCGGTATGGTCAGTATTGTCAGTATTGCCAGTAATGTTAGGTCAGTATTATCATTATTGTGAGTATTAGTATTGTAAGCATCAGTATTGTCAGTATTGTCAGTATCGTCAGTATCGTCAGTATCGTCAGTATCGTCAGTTTTGCCCGTACTGTCAATATTATGATATTGTCAGTAATGTCAGTGTTGTAGGCACTGTCGGTATTAAGAGTATAGGGGTATTGTCCGTATTTCCAGTACCATCACCCTAGTCAGTAATGTCAGTATTGCCAGTACTGTCACTCTGGTCAGTCATGCCAGGATTGCCAGTACTGTCACTCTGGTCAGTCATGCCAGGATTGCCAGTACTGTCACTCTGGTCAGTCATGCCAGGATTGCCAGGACTGTCAGTAATACCGTGCTTTTCATTACAGTCAGTAATATCAGTACTGTCAGTGTGAGTTTCGTCGGGACTGCCAGTATCGCCAGTATCGTCGGTATCGCCAGTTCCGGCAGAATTCTCCATCTCGTCAATTCCACCGCCAAACTCCTCACTCGACACAACGGCCCAACAAACCCCGCAATAAAGCACTGGAGTCACTGGGGTTCCAGAACATTCGTTGCGCTCTGTTTTCCCCGTGATCTTATTCAATATAGTTTGCTGTGACGTAATTTTGCACCCACCGTGAGCAAGCGAAACAGGCTGCCGGAACCGGCAGCAAGCTCAGCTCAGCCGCGCGCCGCATAACGATCTGGACAACAGTAAGAAAACTATGCCCATCGCCAGCACCGAGTGTTCTTTACAGTCACAGTATTTTTTCAAGCACGGTATTTTTTTATTGCAGCTATTTATCCAGCCACAGCTCTTTTTCAAACTCTCTTTCTTCCCGTCATGGCTCCTCTTTTCGTGCGGTGGCTTTAGTCAGCAGGCCTCCAATTGTGGGGCCTGGCCCTATGCAATTTCGGACTTCTCGGAGTGCGCGGATGGCTCGGAAACTAGCGGATGATGATGTCAGACGTGGGGCCAGAGAAAAAGAAAAGGCGCCGCGATCCCAGGCCCAGGCTAGAGACAAAATAAAAAGAATCGAGACAAGGGCGGGCGAGATGGGGCCGCGAGAAAACGGCAGGTGGACTCCCTAAACATTGTGGGTTAGGAACGCGGCGTGGCAGACCGCTGGCAGATCAGCAGGCAGAAGCACCGGGGACTTCTTGCCCGCTAGCGGGCCGCCCCCGGAAGTCGCGAGCACGGCGCGTCACGTGACGGCGCGGGTCAGGCGGCGCGCCGCGCACAATGCTGCCGGCACCCCCGGTGCGTGCTCCCCTTTCGCTCCCCCGGTGCCCTCGGATCTCGCCGCCCAACGCCGGAGCAAGTGCCCCAACCCCTGCCCCAAATCCCACCATATAAAACCCGCGCGCTTCGCACCCTCTACCCGCCATTCTTTTCTGCTTCTTTTCTACCAATTCGCACCCTCCCCTCAACATGTCCGATATCGATCAATTGGCTATTTCCACCATCCGCTTGTTGGCCGTCGACGCCGTGGCCAGCGCCAACTCCGGCCACCCGGGCGCCCCTTTGGGCCTTGCGCCTGCCGCCCACGCAGTATGGAAGGAAATGAAGTTCAACCCTAAAAACCCCGACTGGGTCAACAGAGACCGCTTTGTGTTGTCCAACGGCCACGCCTGTGCGTTGCTCTACGCCATGTTGCATCTCTACGGCTTCGACATGTCGCTCGACGACTTGAAGCACTTCAGACAATTGAACCTGAAGACCCCGGGCCACCCTGAGAAGTTCGAGATTCCCGGCGCCGAGGTCACCACCGGGCCCTTGGGCCAGGGTATCTCCAACGCCGTGGGCTTGGCCATTGCGCAGAAGCAGTTTGGTGCCACCTTCAACAAGCCCGACCACACGATCTCCGACCTGTACACCTACGCGTTCTTGGGAGACGGCTGCTTGATGGAGGGTATCTCCTCCGAGGCCTCCTCGTTGGCCGGCCACTTGCAGTTGAACAACTTGATTGCGTTCTGGGACGACAACAAGATCACCATCGACGGCTCCACGGACTGCGCGTTCACCGAGGACGTGTTGAAGCGTTACGAGGCCTACGGCTGGGACACGCTCACCATCGAGAAGGGCGACACCGACTTGGAGGGCGTCGCCGCGGCCATCAAGACCGCCAAGGCCTCGTCCAAGCCCACCTTGGTCCGCTTGACCACCGTCATCGGCTTCGGCTCCTTGCAGGAGGGCACCCACAGCGTCCATGGCGCGCCTTTGAAGGCCGACGACATCAAGCAGTTGAAGGAGAAGTTCGGCTTCGACCCCTCCAAGTCCTTTGTCGTGCCCCAGGAGGTCTACGACTACTACTCGTCGCTCGCCAAGAAGAACCAGGAGATCGAGCAGCAGTGGAACAAGACCGTGGAGTCCTACCAGACCGCCTACCCTGAGGAGGGTGCCGTCTTGGCCAGAAGACTCGAGGGCAAGTTGCCCGAGAACTGGGCCGACGCCTTGCCTTCCTACACCAAGGACGACAAGCCTTTGGCCACCAGAAAGTTGTCCGAGATGGCCTTGTCCAAGATCTTGCCCGTGTTGCCCGAGCTTTTGGGTGGCTCTGCCGACTTGACCGGCTCCAACTTGACCAGAGCCCCAGACATGGTTGACTTCCAGCACCCATCCACCGGCTTGGGCGACTACACCGGCCGTTACATCAGATACGGTGTCAGAGAGCACGGCATGGGTGCCATCATGAACGGTATCCAGGGCTTCGGCGCCGGGTTCAAGAACTACGGAGGCACTTTCTTGAACTTCGTCTCCTACGCGGCCGGTGCCGTGAGATTGTCTGCGTTGTCCCACTTGCCTGTCATCTGGGTCGCCACGCACGACTCCATTGGCTTGGGTGAGGATGGCCCTACTCACCAGCCTATCGAGACCTTGGCCCACTTCAGAGCCACGCCCAACATGTCTGTCTGGAGACCAGCTGACGGTAACGAGGTTTCGGCCGCCTACAAGTCCGCCATCGAGTCCGTCTACACGCCTCACATCTTGGCTTTGACCAGACAAAACTTGCCTCACTTGGAAGGCTCTTCTATCGAGAAGGCCTCCAAGGGTGGCTACACCGTCTACTCCTCCGCCGAGAAGCCCAACGTGATCATTGTGTCTTCTGGTTCCGAGGTGTCTCTTTCCATCGAAGCTGCCAAGAAGTTGGCTAGCGAGGGAATCAAGACCAACGTTGTGTCGTTGCCAGACTTCCACACTTTCGACAAGCAGACCCAGGACTACAGATTGTCTGTCTTGCCAGACGGTGTGCCAATCATGTCCGTTGAGGTGATGTCCTCTTTCGGCTGGTCCAAGTACTCGCACGAGCAATTCGGCTTGAACAGATTCGGTGCTTCCGGTAAGGCTGAGGATCTTTACAAATTCTTCGACTTCACTCCTGAGGGCGTTGCCGACAGAGCTGCCAAGACGGTGCAGTTCTACAAGGGTAAGGAGGTCATCTCCCCATTGAACAGAGCTTTCTAAATAGACGTTAGATCGCTACCCATCAATAGATGTTGAACAAGGACCGGGGCTTACAGCTGGTGGCGCTGTCAACGCTGTATGTGGCTTCTCAAGTGTAATGATTTTTAATTTATAGAGATTTTACGTTTCCCCTGGAAAGATCGGCTATGTATTATATGATGCACTCTGCTTTCCTCTCATGAGGCTCGGCGTGGCTCAGCGCATTTGTCTGCTCATTGCAACAACCATTTGGGGTTCAAGCATTGATTCAAATCAAAATAACTATGGATGGAAAATGGGACTGTGGTTACTCTGCGAAGGTCTGCCGGCTGTGGATCAACAAAATACGCGGCAAATTTCAAAAGTCAATATAATCAAAACATTAGCAGCCAGCCGCAACCATTAGCAGGCTCAAAATACATTTTCATCATCCCGGTGAGAAATTTAGTTCTTCTTGGCGTTATTTAACCACTGACCTTCTTTACTGAAAGATCAGGCAAATAACTTTTGAAGATGCTCTCCATCAACGACGAGACAGTATGAATTATCAGCGATTTATGGACATGCATTTGACTCTTTCCTCAAAAGTATATCATCCTCAGTTCATCTCTTTCCAGAGCTTCTTTGATGTCTCTCTGGGAAAGTGTTTCAAAAACTCCAATAACTCGAGAATCGCATTCATAGGGTCCAGAAGTTGACATTTCCAAGAGTCAATCATTGACCCCCCAAGCATTCCGGTAACACCATTGCACTACAGTTCTTACTCGCAGGTAAGACGATTCGGACATCAATAGAATTGAAAGTAGAAATATATTCACACTACCGTTAGGGATTGTTTTTTTTTTTTTTGCTCGCAGCCAGCTCTGTAGCCCGACCAGGATTTTGCAGCCAGTTTACTTCGACGTGTCAACCACGTAACGGCCCAAGATCTTGCCCTGCACCATCAACTCGTACACACTTGGCAACTCAGACAAGCCAACAATCTTGATAGGACACTTGATCAAACCCCTGGTGAAAAAGTCAATGGCCTCGGCCGAGTCTGCTCTATTGCCGACGTAGGAGCCCTTGATGCTGACAGACTTCACGACAGACTCGAAAACAGGCGCCACGACCTTGGCCCCGGCAGGCAAGCCCACCAAAATCACAGTACCCGTGGCCCGCACGTACTCGACAGATTGCTGCATGGCCTTCTCAGACACAGACACGTTGATCACACCGTGGGGCCCGCCGTTGGTGATTTCCTGCACGTCCTTGACCACGTCCAGCGACTTGAAGAAGTCCACGAACGCCTCGGCGCCTAAAGACTTGGCAAAGTCGCCCTTGTCGTCTCCGCCGTCAATGGCCAAGACTCTGTAGCCCATGGCCTTGGCGTACTGGACAGCCAAGGAGCCCAATCCACCGCCGGCACCGGAGATAGCCACCCACTGGCCCGCGTTCAAGTTGGCTGTCTTCAACGCCTTGTAGACGGTGATTCCTGCACACAAGATCGGCGACACCTGGGCCAAGTCCGTCCCCTTGGGGATTTTGGCCGCGTGGATGGCGTCTGCGGTGGCATACTGCTGGAAGGAGCCGTCGTGGGTGTACCCCGACAAATCGGCTTGGGCACAGTTGGACTCGTTGGTGGTTTGGCAGAACTCACACGAGTTGCACAGCGAGTTCAACCACTTGATTCCGGCATAGTCGCCGATTTCCCAGCCCTTGACGTTCTCACCTTTGGCCACAACCACACCTGCACCTTCGTGGCCGCCGACTAATGGCAACTTGGTGGCCAATGGCCAGTCGCCCTTCCATGCGTGCAAATCAGTGTGGCACACACCCGAGTACTTGACGTTGATCAAAAGCTCGTTGGCTTTTGGTTTAGGCACGTCGATGTCTTTGTAGAGCAAAGGCCCGCCGTTGGTCTCGAAAATGACGGCCTTCTGGGTGGTTGGAATTGACATGGTTGGGGTTCTAGAGTCTTTTGATATCGTTCTGCTGTCTTGACTAAAATGGGTCAGAGACTGTTTTGAAGTGTTGTTTTGGGTGAACTGTCTTTGGCTCTTGCTGGGAAATTCAGGACCTGGGGGGAAACTCCCTCATTATATAGACTGGAGAGCCCGGCCAAATGTGGGGCGCATTGCATGGCGCGTCTGGAGTTAGGAACACAGAGAGGGGGGGTGCGCTGTGTGCAGGTCCGACGTGGGTCTGCTTCGGCCCTAAGTGCGGATCCATTGTTGGAATTGAGGAGATTCTTAGGGCCGGACAATTGGGGCGTGGGTCTAGAGAAGAGAAAAAATCAACTCAGCTCAACTCAACTCAAACACAACTCAGACACAACTCAAACACAACCCAAACACAACTCAACTCATCCAGCTCAAACACAACTCAACTCATCCAGCTCAAACACAACTCAACTCATCCAGCTCAATACGGCGGAATCCGAGACTGTTGCCATACCAAGACAGTGTGTTTGGCCATTCCCTTCATTTTGGTGCCAAAGTCATCTGTATTATACACTCCGGCACCGCTGTTCCACAACCGGAAGGAATTGGCACCAAAAATCGTCATATCGGCCTTTGGCACTGGGGACTCGTTGTGGGGCCGATGCTCCAAATTCCGCTTGGAGCGTCGCTTATGTCCGAGCTACTATGGCGCTCTCCACTGGAGTATGTAAAGACGCCAAAGTCCGCGCGCACCGTCGACGCTTCTGTCACTTGCACTTTTTTTTCTTCTTTTCGTCAATACCCCTTTTCGACATCTCTCCCGCCGGGGAAATCGGGCTGTTTTGCTGCACTCGGCGTATAAGCGTTTGGCGTTGTCGTAAGGTGTGGGGCTGCGCTTAACTCCGAGCCTCGCACGGAGTATCCGGTGCGAGTATGGAATCTCGCGATGCTTCCGGGGCCAGCACGGCTCTGTATGCAGGTGTATATATAGAGACCGTTCCATATAGCCAAAGAGTTGGTTTCTTGTGACAATGCCAGATTCCCGTGGAGCTCGGGCGGGCTCAGGAATTGAGAGCTTTTTTCGTCCCCAGCGTGAATCTCGAAAGCTGTGCATGGGTCCTAAACACCGCGCTGGGGCTGAGCGCCTTTGAAGAATACCTTAATTTTTAGCTCCTATTTTTTCCCACTCGACTTCTCATGTCACGTGGATCCGACAATGGGCAAGTATCGTCTGCTCCCTACTCACAAACCAACGCATAACTAATTTTACGAGAATTAGACCTTCGGGCTTTGGCGTCAAAAGAACAAACCACACCCATTCGCCTGCAATTTGCGGGGTCCCCCGGGCTGCTGCAAGCAGCACCATACATGTAGTGTCGTGGCGTGCGAACTAGTCATTCCAGTATTCTTCATTTCATTAGATGGGTCGCCTGGTGCACTGCGAGTGCTTCCAGTGCCCAGCTCCGGTTTCTACATGCTTCAGTTTCTGACCCTCTATACGTTTAGTTTTATGATCCTATCATCGTCCAATCTTCTCAGAACCCATGATAGCGGGGCTCCCAGCGGTCGTTCTGAATGAATTCCACTAAAGTACTGGAGCCTGTCTGTAGCAATGGATGCCCGCTCACCACAGCGAGAAACTTCTCCAAGCCCTGGCGCCGGCTCTCGATATTCAAATCATTGAACTTATTCAGACTGAGCAATATCTTTCCCGGAAGTGGCGGGATGATCACACGCGTCAGCTCCTGCTCCAAGATTTTTTTCAAAGTCACGAAATCACTGTATCTCCGGCGCACTCTGCTTTGGCGTTTCTTGAACGCCGGGATATTCGTGCGGCACACAATCTCGTAGTCCGTATACTGCTCACGGCCAAGATGTGTTTGTGGGTTGCAGACCTAGGCATGTTAGTAGAATCCAGAAGAACAGGAGACCTGAAATCGCCTCTCTATTGTGGGGTTTGTAGTCCGTACCTCGATCTCCAAGAAATTCTCCGGTTCGCCGTAGATGTCGTTGAAGGACTGTTTTTTATGCGAGTTACTGAGCACTTCGCTGACTGGCCTGAAAGAATCAGACATGGTTTGTTTGGGGTGTGCTTTCTGAGAGGGATTGGCCATCCTACTGATAAGATACTGGTGCTGGTCGTGTTCACTTGTGTGCAGGCCGCGTGGTGTCTGGCTGACACCGTCCTCTTCGAAATTGAAACTAGAGCCGGTGCAACCAAACATTTGAGAGAGATATTAGGGGGGACTTTTTGCGTCATAAAGACTCCCCGATATAGGGGAAGTTTGGTGCAGGTCTTTGGTTTTTCCGTTTTTTATTGGTGGTTTTTACATCCATCATTTAATACAGCAGCTCCATAATCTGTGTAAAATATAAAGAGCTTGCCCCAAAATTTATTTGCAATTTAGCATGCAATGATTTGGGGAGCAAAGCTTGATGATGTTAATCATGAAGCAATGAGGTCAATCATTAGCTCAGAACCTGAAGGGTCTCTCGTCATACTTTACGGACCCTCACGTGACCTGCACTTTCATTGGGGATCACCAGCATTTTGACTTCGTGCGTATTTCGAACTCGTGATGGTCAAAACGACGCTGAAAAAGGCTGAGCTAAAGTACAGGGCACCTTTGTGAAGTTAGAATCAATGACACATATATCTATGGAGATTTGCAGCTCTATTCCATGTGTTCGCTATCTCACAAGAAAAATGAATACATCACTTATCATGAGATAGAGACAGTACAAGGAACAGCCCTGCTATCTTAAACAAACATCTAAGAAGCTCCACATAATGTCTTATTAATAATCTATAGGGGAGTAGAACGATAGCTATTCCCTGAAAGTACTTGCGTAACCAAGAATGATCATTGAGGATGACCTCACCATCCTTATGAATCATGTTCACTTTAGTAATCTGTCCGATGTGCCGAAGTTAGTTACGTATTTTTGATTATGCTTTTGGATAAGCAACTCACAAAGCTAAGTCGGGTTCGCGAGAAAAAAGTACCTCGAAGACACGGTTTGGCAGCCTCAATGCTAATTAGTGTATTTCTACTTTCAATATTGTATGCGCTTCGATACCATACTTCTTCGAAAGACCTGTAACTCAAGAGCAGCTAGACAAAAAATTAGACTAAGCAAAAACCAGTTTCAGTACCCAACAAAAAAGCACGAAGTACACATTACACTCGATTCTTTCTTCGAGTTGGGTATAAAGGGCGACAAGTCTATCTGTGATAACATGGGAAGTAGAAGAACAAAACTTGAAATGTTTTGTCTCCAATGACATAATGTTTTATTCCCTTGAATTGCATATTATTTTATGATATTTCCTCTGATTATGCTACAGAAAGGTACAAGAGGAAAACTATGAGAGATGGAAACACCGTCAGGAGACCAGAAGCCTTCAGTGCCCAAATCGTCCAAAGAATAAGACTATCCCAAGTGGCCTATACTTAAAAGTCATGTAAGATTTAATTCTCTTTCATAATTTGTACCGCTGTTGGTCGTAATTTGTTTCCATTGATCACAATTTCTCAAAGGCTTCAAATTTAAACAGCTTTACAGAGCCTATATGTGGAACAATTCGATCGAAATGTCTTTAGAAATTGTACTTTTTCTTGGTAAGCTTATCTGATTAAGGAACAAAAATATAAAATATCACCTGAAAACCATCCAAACCGCTCATAGAAGTCATTTTGTTTCGGTAAATGTTTTGATCAAAGGAAAAACACTCGAATTCTCTTATATAAACTTTCGAATGCCCCGAAAATATGAACTTCGGTACAGCTTCTTTATAGAATATCTTCCTGTCAACCACGGGGCGCTATGAACTTGAACATGCAGCTCTAGATTTTGTATATTCACATTCGATAGAAGGCGAGGCGAGTTTTCATTGGATTATCTTGGGTGAGTTGATTTCTGCTCTGTTATACTCCAGATTTCAAAAAGGTAGGGATGTATCTATTTTTGTCCAATTAATCTGAATTTAGGAACAAAAGTTTTTTTTTGTTCTTTTTCTCTGTAGACTTGTCTGATTAGAGGAGCAAAACTATACACATAATACATATGCATATAAACCCTTTGAACAGCTCCCAAAAACGTACCAAATGTCGAAACTCGGCCCGCCTCCTTCCGTTAGTCACGGCCTGGACGGTCCTTTTAGCCGCATCTAGGCCACTCAATTGAAGTAAGAAGATTACAGCATAACCAAGCAACCCCCGATAATGCCCCAGCGCTTCGTTCGCTTATGTCTCGCGGGCCAATAGAGCAAACGGTGGAAACAATTTTTGAAAGCCTTGTATAAGGCAAGAAATTGAAGAAATACGATCTATCGTGCATTCGTCACTTCAATTACGGATCATATGTCCCCCGCAGGCCCCTACCATGCAAAGCATTGGATTTTCAATGTTATCTTTGCCGCAAAAACGGAAAGGCCACAGACGCTTTCCTATCCATCTCTGAAACACCTGTGAAACATCCAAATACTGGGGGCAAGAGGTAAAATTTGCCAAGCCCACGAGCTTGAACGCAATGTTGGCTCCTGCCGACAACTCTTTGAAGAACTTAACAGAATTAAATTGGTTCGTCACCACGATTTCCAAGGTACACAGTCGAAGACGTGGAGATTCACAGGAATAAAGCTCCTTAGGTTCTCTCCAAACATCTGAGTTGAAGCGTTTACTACAGGAGACTTATCTTAGGAATCGATGACGTAGTTACCAATAAGTAGAAATTTCGTATCATCTTTGTATATCTGGCTCCACAAATGATTTCATGCTTCTGGAATGTACATCCCCGAAGGGATTTGATGACTGAATTCCCTTGAAGATATTCGCCATTTTTCTCTTTCGCCTGTTGACCTCCAAAAGGACAGCCTGAGTTTGAAGTGGCTCGTGAAGAGTTTTGGAATTCTTGATTGATTACCCATTGGCTGCCGACTTTTTAGTGCACATACTTTTCTTGAACTGTATCAAGATTCCCGTTATTGACGGAATTCACGGAAATAGAATGCTTTTCAAAATATGACTCAAGACTTTCGCTTTGATAATGATTGTCAATATTGAGTTTTTGAAAATAAGGATATCAACTTGAAAAAATGGACCAGAGTTGGTGATTTAGACATACCCCGAAACTTAGCTGAACTGGGAATTAGAACCTATTCAAAGACTGAAATAAAAGCCGAGCTATAATCTGAGATCACTGGTGGTGAGGTCCAGTCAATGACAATGTTTCCCTAAAGCAACCTGTGTCTCATGAAAAGAATCACTTAAGGGGGCGGTTTTGTTTCCGGCCAAGAACCAAAATTTTGTCGGAAGTAATGAGAGGTGATGATTCAAATCAAAATACAAAAAACAATTTCCAAACTCTGATGTGGGAGGTTTTTCATTGAAGAACCATCCAGAAATCTAGAGAAACCCAAATAGACATTTGGGTGGAGCTACATGACTCGAAGCCAGAAAATACTATTATTTGCGAGAGTCATGGGTGTCATTCAAATGAGAAAATCCGTAGGAAGCAGAGAAAGCTCATGAACTAAAGGAATTATGCCATCAAGAGAAATAAGAGGGTTTGGTGAATAAGTACAAAACAGCTATGGTGCAGAAGCTTGGTAACCCGGTTCGGAGATCCCCCTGAGAATTTCACAAATTCTTAAGCGGGAACTGCTAATGTCTTCGCTCCACATGCATACCAAGTATGCAGTATACGATATGGGGTTTCAGATGAACGAGGAGAATTAGGGTTCCCCATTTTGCAGTGATTGGACAGTTTATCTTTTTGGCCCGTCGATGACTGGGGCCAGGATGCATATGGGCGGCCCACTTATATACAGAAATACGAATATACAGGACCCGGAGAAGGGAAAAAGAAGATTCCCCCATCAGATCAGGACTCGAATAACCTGACTTCGATTTAAAAGACAGTTGATGCACCAACTTGACCCTGTGTGTAAAAGATGGCTGGGGAGGATATCTACTGTATCAGAAAATCGGTAGCTATCGCTTTTGATCATTGAAAAAGAAGGTGCCCGAGGGCAAAACACTTGGCCAATAAGCTTCGCAGAATTGAGTTGCCAAGTGAATTCTGGCATGTGAGGGATCGAGTCGTGCAGATGGTGAACAGATCATGCAGATAATGCCCGCCGCTAAAACAATGCAAATGACTCTGGCCACACGCACATTCAATTTGCTATAACTGAAGCCCGGCATCGCAAGTTGTTCTCAACAAAATAGATGTGTAAGAAGTTTTAAATGTCTGTGCCAACATTGCAATTATGGTGCAACACTTGAGCCTGTGAAGTTTTGCGGCCACGTGCCAAATATTTCTGTGCGACGCCCTCGCATACGAGCCGGCACGGCGCGTGAGAAATTGCATGGACAATGCAAAGGCGGTTCGTTTCCGGAAACTAATGTAGGCAGATGAGATAGATATACAGAGGGTGATGTTTTCTCCAGACGCACGCTGCCGGTTTTCTTGCCCTCGTCGAGCCGGAGAATTTTGTCCCAGTCATACCACTCTTTTTTCCTGGTATCCTCTAGTTTGAAATGGTTGATCTCTTTAACGTGCAGATTTTCTTCGTGGTGCTTCGTGAGGCATTGGAGGCCGTCATCGTTGTCTCGGTGCTCTTGGCCTTTTTGAAACAAGGCCTTGGTGGTGCCACCGAAGACCCTGTGGTCTATAAGCGCTTGCGAAAACAGGTGTGGCTAGGGGCCGGCGTGGGGTTGATTGTTTGCTTGTGTATTGGCAGTGCTTTTATTGCTGTTTTCTACACGCTTAAGGATGACGTTTGGGCCCAGTCGGAGGACTTGTGGGAGGCCATTTTCTGTCTCATTGCTGCGATCATGATCACGTTCATGGGTCTTGCCATGCTTCGTATTAACAAGATGAAGGAGAAGTGGAGAGTCAAGTTGGCCCAGGCTTTGATCAAAAAGCCCGAGGGGTCCAAGAAGCGCTTCAGTTTGGGCCACTACACCAAGAAATATGCCATGTTCGTGTTGCCCTTCATCACTGTTTTGAGAGAGGGCCTTGAGGCCGTCGTGTTTGTGGGCGGAGTCGGTTTGACGTCGCCTGCCTCCTCGTTCCCAATTCCCGTGATCTGCGGCCTCTTGGCGGGTCTTCTTGTCGGTGTCATCATGTACTATACCGGAGCAAACTTCTCCTTGCAAATCTTCTTGATTGTGTCCACGTGCATCTTGTACTTGATTGCAGCCGGGCTTTTCTCCAGATCTGTCTGGTTCTTCGAGGCTTACATGTTCAACCAGGCCACCGGCGGCGATGCGGCCGAGGGCGGATCTGGGCCAGGCACATACAACATCAAGAAGTCTGTGTGGCACGTCAACTGCTGCAACCCATTGATCGACAATGGATGGGACATTTTCAACGCCTTGTTGGGCTGGCAAAACTCCGCCACTTATGGCTCGGTGATCTCGTACAACGTCTACTGGATCTTCATCATCGTCACGGTCTTTTTGATGGGCTTTGAGGAGAAGTACGGGCACTTGCCATTCCTCAAGAACGTGAAGATGAGATCTTTGAACCCTATGTACTACATCAAGGGCAAGAAGGAGAAGGAGTTGTCACAGGCCGAGCGCGATGCGTTATTTGAGAACTTGAAGGCGCAAAGAATAGGCCAACACGAAGATGTTTCTCTTGAGTCGCTTATCAGCGAATCTCAGGAAGCTCCTGCTGAAGAAGCCAGAGCCGACGAAACCAGAGCTCATTGAGAGATGTGTTCTTTTTAAGCCGTGCTACCATGGACGCCGTTGACCTTCTGCTGACGTTTGAAATCACACACACACACACACAACACAAACATTCGAAAGCAAGGCTGATTTGGTTCTTTGGTAGCCAGAGATGATGTTCATCAATTTATGGGGAATTTTTATATTCGGTATTTTTGGGGGGCCATAAATAACCAAGGGCCAGTTTTTATTTAATTGACAGTACTGTTCTTACTAATTAGGGAAAGTAGGCCAAGTATGTTCGGTGTCAAATGCACCTCGTGGGCTCTAGTCAAACCCACCTGGATCTGCGATCGAATGTGGCGCCACATCTTTGTTACATGATTTGCAACTTTTTTTTGTCCTTTGCAGATGGAGTAATTTAGCTTCTCGATATGTCAACATCCTGTATTCTGATGCTTTGGCTCCTCTTTCCAATGTCCATCTTATTGTTATTAAGCTATCACATTGCGGCACCGCATGAAGCTATGTATCAGCTAAGTATGCTGAGTTTTTCTACAGAGACTGTATTTTTTTTTTTTTTTGAGATGAATAGACGTACTAGGATCTAGCTGAAATCTGTGAATTCCAGACCCAGAAATTCTGGACACTATGAATACAGGAAGAGACAGAGTGAGGCACCGAGATCCATTCTCATCTATCGTGACTAGTGAGTGCGTTTAAATATTGTTTTGCAGAAAGAACCCCCAATCCCACTCTAGATATTCAGAACAGACTGGAAAAAACGGTAAATATTCACTGTAGCACCGTGAGAAACATTATCATGCACCTGAATAGAGAAAGCTCCAAAAATGTATTGCGGATAATAGTGAGTCCATGGGGTTTCCACTTGTTGGACAAGATGCATCAGACCGAGTAAAACGACAGATTATTCGTCACATTACAAAAAGGAGGCATGTGACACTTTGAATTACGGTAATTTCTCAAGTTCATGACTAAGAGATCACAAAACAGCAAAACTATGGTCAATGTAGACAGTCCAGAGAGTATATCCATCAACCCATCAAAAGCACGAAAAGAGATGACATAATACCTACTTATTGCATGCTAGAATAAGGCAAACCAATGCGCTTTGGAGAGGAATTTCTCCACCATCCAATGTTTGATGTTTACCGAATGCAACTCGATCACCCTTCGCTGCCTTGGTGTTCAACACATGAGAGGAACTAAATGGTAGACTCACATTAGTTCAGTATTAAGAATGTGGTCGCCATTCTATTTTACTGAGAAAACTCAGATTGTGAATCTTGAATGGTCACTAACAATGAGACTAAGCTTACTTGTAGACAAGTTGAAGAGCAAGCTTGCGACTTTATCCAAAAAGCCGATTGGAGGTTGTGTATAATGAACTTGACAAGATAGCACACGGAAGTGTTTTTACCTAATATGACAAACCTACGAAAAGCAAAGGAGTTGTAGCACGACACTTCGACAATACTTTGAGCCTAAAACATGTTTATAGATAAGAGTAGCGTGAATAGAAATGGGAGAAATCTCCTGATTACGCACAGCCAATCAGCTCAACTTTAAAATAAAAATAAGGTTTATCAGCAACGAAAGGATGAAATACCCTGTATCTGAAATAACCTGTTTCTGTGCACTCGGCCTCTTACTCCAAACATCTAGCAGCACTGACCTCACAGCACATAGTTTATGGACTATGCCACCTCCAAGATATTAGCTACAAACTAGTCAAGCGTAATTCGTTCATTAGTTAAGTATACGGAATAAATACATCATAGTGAGAGTGAAAGCCCCATTAGAGGTAAGCCATGTTGATGTCGGGGGCATTTGCCATTTTGTTGGACACGGCAATCACCGCATGGGGCCAGCCCAAGAAAAACCCAAGTCCAGCACCCCAGCCAATAATAGTGGGTACGTGACGATTTCTCATCAACATCATGTATGTGGTTCTAGGCAAAGCAGCAGGCATTGTTTGTGTTGTGGTGTGGTTTGAAAAGGTAGATGGTATTATCTAAAAGAATGTTTTAATGTGTAATGAAATGTACTGCAACGATGCAAGGGAATCGGCTCTTATATATCCAAGAGCATATCTCCGGGGGCCGCAAAACAGGCCACTATTCGTATTTGCAACTAGTATCACTTTTCGCAATTGGTGGTTCGATATGCATGAGAAGCCGGTAGTGAGGGGGTGCGTGTGTCACCTTGTGTCATGTTGAACATAAACACTGAAAATACCACAATTTTTGAGCGCAGCATTAAGTCGTTGACATGATCCACAGTAGTTCCAGCCAATAATTCTGAGCAATAATTGATTTTGCCCAAGATGTCTTTTGGCCTTTAATGTGGCCTATTAGATGTGTCCAATATTGGGCGGAACGCACCTCACCTGCAGAAACATCACACCACTCCCAGAATAGAAATCACACCACTCTACCTTTATTCTGAGATAGAGACGAGGAAGCTCGTAAATCACGTGAGCTTCGGCGTATATTCATCACGTTACCAAAGTGTTCAGCCACGCGGATATGAGTCAGGCAAGATAAGAAATCATGTTCCAGGTTTTTACTACCCACGTTGGAGTCAATATTCCCTCGTGAGCGATGAAGCGATTTGGATTTCAGCTGCGATCAACACAGGACAGACATTGCCAGCTTAGGTGCTGCTTACTACAATCATGTATATATGATCAAAAAGCTCAATCAAAAAATATAACCCAATTCTACCTAATTTATTTTTGTCGCTGCGGGGCAGCGACCCCTCCCCAAAGCTCTCCTAGGCTTCCTTTTTCGACATCATCACCTCTTGCAAGTCAAAGGTATCGCCATTGACCTCGGTGTCCTTTATCACCGCGACTCTCATCGTCGCCAACAAGTTGTGTGCGGCATTGGAGTGCGCGTAGACATGCCCGTTGAAAGCCTTCGTTGCGTCCTTGCCCAAAGAAGCCCTCACCAAAGCCTGGCCACCTGGGTGCTCTTTAATGAAGTTCTTGACGTTGTGCACGATACCGGATATGATCATGAGACCCTCTTTCTTGGCAATCTCATTGAAGTAGGCTCTGTCCCAAACAGGCAAAGACTGCACGGAAGCTCCCCAGTTCAACTTCTCCTTCATTCTATTCAACTTCTTCTGCTGCTGCTGGAACAAGCCCTGCTCAATGGCGTTTTGGGAGAAATTCTTTAAGTTCCAGGCCAATCCAAGCTTGGACAAGGCCCAAATACACACCTTGGTTGGGTCGTATTGGTACCACTTCAATGCGTTTCTGTAGTCTGAAGGGAACTCGTGGTGAAAGTTGTGGTAACCCTCACCGAAAGTGACCAAAGCAGTCAACACGTGATCTCTCGGCGTTCTACGGTCATCGAAAGGCTGCACACCGATCCAGTGAGCCAAGGAGTTGACACAGAAGGTGGCCTGTTGGATGACGAGGTACTTGATGATACCAGCGTACATGAAACCTCCAACCCAATCGCCCCAAAAGACACCGGCAATGACGCCAGGGAAAATGACACCCGCGAGAAGCATGAGAGACAAGTAGTGGCGGTGCTGGAACACGACGATAGGGTCAGAGGTCAAGTCCGAGATATCGGCCCTGGCTCTGTTCTTGGGGTTGGCCTTGGTCAACATCCAGCCCATGTGAGAGTACCAGAAGCCTTGTCTGGCGTCATAAGGGTCTCTATTCGTGTCCGTGTATCTGTGGTGTACTCTGTGCGAGTGTCCCCACCATTTGATGGAGCCTTGCACAGCACCAGCACCAAAAAAGGCAAAGAAAGCCCGCACGGTCCAGTGGGCGTCGTACGACTTGTGCGCGAAAAGACGGTGGTAGCCGGCAGTAATGGAAAGCCCGGAGAACACGTACATGATAAAAGCAAGCACCACAGTTTTCCACTGAGGCGCGTGATTGATACCGTAAAGCAATCCCATCGCGGGGATCGCCATCACCAAAATGACGTTAAGCCAGTTGATGTGTTCATGCCAGTTGCTGAGCGTCCATGGCTGGTCGGAAATGTGCATCTGCTTGGAGAATTTCAAGCGTTCCCGCTCATCTTTCTCATAGAAGGACTCGGAGTCCTGCGTGATCTGCTCAGCAGTGACATCCACGAGCGACTTTGTGCCCATCAAACGGCCACCCACGCCGGCGGCTACGATTCTGGGGTTTTTCTTGTGAGCGCCGGCGGCAAGCCTGTTGAGCTCGAGCACATCGACGGAATCCAAGTTATCGGCGGTCGACATTTTGCAGGAGTTCAGGAACAAAAGCAAAACCACTAGTGATAATCGTGATAGTGCAGCTAGTTGGTGAGTGAACAAGCAAAACTTTGATTACACGCAAGCAAAATTGATCCCAGGCAGGCGCTGCGTTTTTATTTAAAGGGTAGGCGCAAAGAGTCAAAAGATCGCGGGATGTGTGCAGGCAGCGCAAAAGTTGGGTTCGCACGAACCAAAAAAAAGCAGGCCGACTTCCGAGGGTGTGTGCACCGGTGGCACCATCAGACCCTCCGTGTGGATTGGCCTCGCAAGCGAATAGTAAATGTATGCGGCAAGGCGAATTGCGTTTTTGGGTGTGGTTTTGTGCTCTTCTGAAAGAAAGAAAAGAAGGACCAGGCAATTGAGCAAATCAGGGGGTGCATGATTCAATTTTAGGGGGTGCATGATTGGGCGAGCTGGCGCTCTAGGGCAGGCCCGGAATTGTCTCTCGAATGTATGCATGCCCCGGAGTTCCAATTGGCACTATCACGTATCGCACGCATTTCTTTTTGCTGTCTCGTGAGGTCACGTTTCTTTTTCCTTATTTCCGTTTCGGGCATATTAGAGAATGCAAGTGGCATCACGCCAGGCACACAAATTGTTGGGCCGGCGGAAGGGGCGGCGATTTAGGTGCAGGTTCAAAGAATAGGCCAAAGGGTCTTCGATACGTGGCGCTGGGGCGGATCGAAGGGACCCAAGGATAATCCACCTCACCTTTGGCGGCAAATGGCGCACAACATACGTTGCCCCAAAGACAGCATTTCACTTGGTGATTGTAAGGATTGACAATCCTGGCTGTAGCTGGCTGTAAAAGAATTAACCATGCTGCAAAGTAATTGGACATTCTGGCTGTAAAAAATTTGGCCATTCTGGATGTAAAACATTGGCCACCTTGGCGTTAAAAAACCGAAGTGGTGGTTCACAAAAACTCATCATCTTGGAATGAAGAAATGCGCCTAAACTCTTGAACAATAGATAAGACCTGTGCCGTCCTTCGTTTTTTCGCCTCTTCTTAAATGTGGTCTATGCTTTTGATAAGAACCTAGCTGCATTCGGTTAGCTTTGGAGCGTGTGCTTCTGTTTTTTTGGAGGTTTGAATTGACTCCGAGAAAGTCTAAAATGGGAACTCGGCTGATCCTGAAATGACGAAAAAAAAAGTTTTGGGAAATCGAACAGAAGATAAGCGTGAACAATTACCGCCCAAATGAGGAATCCCTCAATCATGCTTGGAACACCCGAATTTGAAACATGCGCGCTGTCAATATTAAAGCGATTTTTTAGTTGCAAGTACTTCAATGGCGGCAGCTCTCTACATGCTTGAATTTCATATACGAGTCTCCAGACAACGACAGTGAAAAACAACTATGGTATCATGACAGTCGAAGTGCACTGGTCTTGATATCTGGAGAGGCACGAACAGAGAACTTGATACCCTAGTATGAGATAATCCATTCAGACAGAGTCTGCGTGAAGGGAACAGCTCCTTACATTTCTTCCTGCTGACTCAAACCTAATAAAGAATCCATCAGAAGCTCTGAAATGAAGTTGCGTGTTTCAGGTTTTGAGCTGCACGTGCCTCTCATACCAGATCAGATTACATCTTAAAATGACAAGACCATTTGAAGCCACGGCTGTGTTGTTTTCGTTTAACTAGAACCTGAGACAACAGGGATGTCGATCGCGCTAGGGATACATGCTGAAAGATACAGGCGGAGAAAAAGAGCTCATATTAATTCGTCGGGACTTTTTGGTTCAGCTCAAGTTCAAGTAAGGGCATTAATACTCCGGCCAGTTATAATGCTTTGTTCTCCAGAAAGTTTGCTTTCGCCTCGATTTGTCTGAAACCACCTTTTTAGGTGACGCTACTCGACTGGAGCCTCGAATACCTGGACGCCCTCACGATATTATGAAGCAAATGGACAGCCACTTTGACAAGACTAGGCTTTCCGTGGTGAAAACGCACGGCAGTCCATATCACACGTCCAACCAAAATCAGATTGTTCGCGAGATGCATAAACCTTCCCTTCAATGACAAGAATTCTCTCCACCAGTCTTAAATATGTATGTGCGAGGAAAGGCCCAGAATCCCACGCTGTTTACTGTACTCGCTCGTTCTTTTTCGTCAGTTGAGCAATTGATATGGGCTGATTATATTCATAGGATCTAAGGTCTTGCACATGTGCTGAAGTTCAGCAGTTTCCTGGCCAAAAAAGAACCAGACCTATCGGAAGCTATCGGAGCTGAAGCTAAAGCTCATGTGCGGTTGCGCATATTCAATTGACCGCTGGGCCAACAAGCAAACCATAGCAAAATTTAAGAAGTATACGAGAGAATGCTAGACTGTTTTGGCAATGAAAACCTAGATTTTAAAAAAAATTAGAAGTTGGGCTTTAATGAACGAGTTGGCAGACCTAGCAACGAAACGAATTACTTGTATTGCTCAACTTCCGACTAGCACACACAAAGAGCAAAACGAAGGACCAGCAAGACAGGTATCGCATGAAAAAATTTGCAGCACTAGCGAAACCAGCAAAATAATGGCAAGCAACAAGAAATAGCACATTCCGCAATGCAATTGCCGACAGAACAGCGCCCCCAACTAGCGGCAAATCATGCGCTCAAAGTACCAATAAAGTTGGGGTAGTCGTGCGCTGCCCACCTGTTATCAGCTGATTCTGGCTGCGAACGGTATGTGCACGTCCGACGATTGGTTCTTGGTTTCATCACTTGTGCGTGAAAATTCTCTATGGTCCAAAACTTCGCTGATCAACCTCAGAGCGGATACGAGCTACTCTGACAGGTAAGCGCATCCAAGGCCTTGACTCTGTCTAGGCCAGATGCCAATGAGACACCGGAACTGCACACATATGACACGGAACTGCATACTAGCACGTCCAGCCTCCGCTCGCACCGCGCACCGCAATGGTTGGAAAAGGAGGCGGCTTTCCCAGCCAAAAGGCGTGCGCATTCCTCTCAATCCCGGAGCCCTGCTGAAAAGTGAACTTACCAGGGCGTACTTTCTCAACCGCTAGACTCACCCCAAAACACGACTGTCTTTGGGATTTCAGTGTGTAAGCACATCAGAATCGAAAAGAACGCAAAGCTCTCCGCGCCCTTTGCGTGAATAATCACCGTTGCCGCTGACCATTCTGCACGCAGCGACCCATTCTGGCCGCCAGGTTTGCCCCCACATTTGAGATATTTTTTTCTTCCCGAGAATACTGAACCACAACGCCAACAATTGGAGCATTTCCTTCAGAGAAAACAAAAGCACGCTTCCACGATCCTGGCAATTGACTCTTCCATAATCTCAGATTTTTTTTGTTGTGTTTTGCTGTGAACCCCTTGGCGCCCGTCCAACTGCACTTTTTGTGATTCCCACGGTTCAAGAGTCTCTTACAAAGCCAAAGAAGCCCGCAACGAAACAGGAATAAAACCAAAAGCAGGGAAAAGCTACTACGCCATGTCCCATAACTCGTCGTTTCTGAGATCTCCGCAATCGCCGGTGATCAGCAGCCAGCTGCTCAACCCACACAAAGGCCCCCAAGCTCGCAAACTGTCCATTGTAGAGATGTTGTCCTCGCCACCGCCTTTACCCACCGAGCCCATTAACCCGCTGGACGACTTCAGCTTATCGCGTAATACTTCCATATCGTCGAGATCGTCGTCTTTGGCATACCAGTCCGCTCCTAGGTTGGATTGGAGCGAGATACCCTTGGTGGATTTGACCGAGCTGAACAAGCTTATCTCAATCAACTCCTCCTACTCTGTACAGCAAGCGTTTGAGACGTTGCTGACAAACAACTTAACGTCGTTGCCCGTGTCGTTATCGAAGAACTCGTTTGACTTGGCCAACTGCCTTTCATTCGACTACTCGGACTTGAACACGTATCTCTTGCTTGTCATGAACAAGATCAGCTTAAACGATTTGAGCCCCTCCGGTATCACCGACGATGTCACGGGAAGACAGTTGTCCCTTCAGGAAAAGCAGGAGAGGTTGCTCGCATTCATCGCCAAGGCGAAGAAGGGCGAGGAGGTGCCTGTTGACTTGATAGTTAAGTTGCACCCCAAGAACCCTTTCATCAAGTTCAAGGAGTCGCAAACGCTTTTCAAGGCCGTGGAAGCCTTTGGAAACGGCGTACACCGTGTGGCGATCCTCAACGCTGAAAACAAAATCACGGGTATTCTTTCCCAAAGACGGACGCTCCGTTTCTTGTGGGACAATGCGCGCAGGTTCCCTTCTCTCGAGTTTCTTTTGAACTCATCTCTTCAGGACTTGAAGGTCGGCTCTACCTCGCCTCTTACGATCCACGGTGACCAACCTTTGATTGAGGCATTGGAGACAATGTTTCACCTGAGAGTCTCCTCCTTGGCCGTGATTGATCGGAACAAGTGTTTGATTGGCAACATATCGATTGTCGATGTCAAGAATGTGTCCTCGACGAAAAATTCCCACTTCTTGTTCAAGCCGGTAATGAACTTCATCTCGTACAACTTGTCGAAGAAGGGAATTGAGTGTGGCCAGGACCAGTTCCCCATTTTCCATGTTAGCAAGCAGTCTTCCTTGGGCAGAGTCATTGCCAAGCTTGTTGCCACACAGTCACATAGATTGTGGATTGTGGAATCCAGGTCGTCATCAGCTCATCCTTCTTCACAATCAGGGTCTACCTCGTCCGCGGCATCCACGCACTCCTCGGGACCTGCCTCGACCATCGAGAATGTGCTTTCTGACACCACCACGATTCAACAAGAATCGGGACGTCCAGGAACACTCATTGGTGTGGTGTCCCTAACTGACATTCTTGGCTTGTTTGCACAGCACAAGTCTGGTGTTCGCATTGACCCTCTAACTGCGCGAAACAGTAGAAGAAGATCATCTACATCGACTACAAGATCATCTATCGATAGCGTGCTGCTTAATGCGGCCGGTGCAAACACATCATCTGCTCCAACTACGCCACAAAGCGCCCACATCCAGCCTAATCAGGACTTATTCCGAAACTCCTATAGATCAAATTGAGACTTAACTGGCACCCAAACCAAATCCATTCCATTTCAAACAAGAAATCAGATCCCAAACCCCGGCAAAGCCGCACCCGCGCAAGGCCCTCACATAAGTCAAATAAACAGTTAGAATATACAGGCTCTGGAGTGCTGAGGCAATGTCATGTAATTTCAAATGGGCTGCGCTGCGGGCGCGCACGTGACTTAGGGTGCGCGCCCTCGAGCTGCTCGGCACACGTGACCAATGCCAGACAGAGTAGCGCAAGTCAAGTAGCGCTTAGCTGGCTGTTAACCACATGTCTAGTCTCAGTGATCCCACCACAAATCCGGGAAAGGGCGCTCCTTTTTGGCTCAATTGCTATTTAATTCCTTCAATTGGTTCATGATTTATCTGAATGCCATATTTCCTTTCTAATTATGGCACCTTTTGCCATCTCCAACATTCAAGTTTACAGCCATGGATACAGGGTTACCCGGCACGGAGTGTCTCACTTTCACCCGTTTGCTTCTCTCCGCTTCTTCTGAAGGCGTGCCACGTGACCAATTTTCCTGAATGCGCGCGCGCCTTATAAGAACTCCTGTGCGCCTTCGAAAATTTTTTTCTTCCCCCAACTAACTTTTATCAAATAATCAAAAATGGGTAAAGAGAAGTCTCACGTCAACGTCGTTGTCATTGGACACGTCGATTCCGGTAAGTCTACCACCACTGGTCACTTGATCTACAAGTGTGGTGGTATTGACAAGAGAACTATCGAGAAGTTCGAGAAGGAGGCCGCTGAGTTGGGTAAGGGTTCTTTCAAGTACGCTTGGGTCTTGGACAAGTTGAAGGCCGAGAGAGAGAGAGGTATCACCATTGACATTGCTTTGTGGAAGTTCGAGACTCCAAAGTACCACGTCACTGTCATTGACGCCCCAGGTCACAGAGATTTCATCAAGAACATGATCACTGGTACTTCCCAGGCTGACTGTGCTATCTTGATTATCGCCGGTGGTGTCGGTGAGTTCGAGGCTGGTATCTCCAAGGACGGTCAGACCAGAGAGCACGCTTTGTTGGCTTACACCTTGGGTGTCAGACAATTGATTGTTGCTGTCAACAAGATGGACTCCGTCAAGTGGGACAAGAACAGATTCGAGGAGATCATCAAGGAGACCTCTAACTTCGTCAAGAAGGTCGGTTACAACCCTAAGACTGTGCCATTCGTCCCAATTTCTGGTTGGAACGGTGACAACATGATTGAGGCCTCTACCAACTGTCCTTGGTACAAGGGATGGGAGAAGGAGACCAAGGCCGGTAAGTCCACCGGTAAGACCTTGTTGGAGGCCATTGACGCCATTGAGCCACCTTCGAGACCAACCGACAAGGCCTTGAGATTGCCATTGCAAGATGTCTACAAGATCGGTGGTATCGGAACGGTGCCAGTCGGCAGAGTCGAGACCGGTGTCATCAAGGCCGGTATGGTCGTCACCTTCGCCCCAGCTGGTGTCACCACTGAGGTCAAGTCCGTCGAGATGCACCACGAGCAATTGGTCGAGGGTCTCCCAGGTGACAACGTTGGTTTCAACGTCAAGAACGTCTCCGTCAAGGAGATCAGAAGAGGTAACGTCTGTGGTGACTCCAAGCAGGACCCACCAAAGGGTGCCGCTTCTTTCACCGCTCAGGTCATTGTCTTGAACCACCCAGGTCAAATCTCCTCCGGTTACTCCCCAGTCTTGGACTGTCACACTGCCCACATTGCTTGCAAGTTCGACACCTTGTTGGAGAAGATCGACAGAAGAACTGGTAAGTCCTTGGAGTCCGAGCCTAAGTTCGTCAAGTCCGGTGACGCCGCTATTGTCAAGATGGTCCCAACCAAGCCAATGTGTGTTGAGGCTTTCACTGACTACCCACCTTTGGGTAGATTCGCTGTCAGAGACATGAGACAAACTGTCGCCGTCGGTGTCATCAAGGCTGTCGAGAAGTCCGACAAGGCCGGTAAGGTTACCAAGGCTGCCCAAAAGGCTGCCAAGAAGTAAGCTGACTCGTGATTAAGTATTTAAATATCGTAATCCTCAAGCCTGTATCAAACTAAGAGCTGTAGACTGCTGCATGGTGGTGTGGCGTGGTTTTAGCGTGCTGTGTTTGTTGTCCTGAGACTTTTGATCCTTGGGGACGGGACTCGAGTACAGAACATTCGGAGTACCCGGGATCTTGTTGAGTTCTGATATGGCGAAATTCCAGGTCACTGTTCTGAATCTGATTTTGAGAAACGAGGCTCTGGGTTTACTCAAAGCAGGCAATAAACCCGGAAATGGAGCAAGCATCTAAATCACCATATTGATGAACTCCATGTAAATGTCGGCAGAATATCTGACTTCACTGGTGTGTACAAATTTATCCAGTTGTCATGGGGTCTCAGAAATGATACCCTCTTGGCAGTTTTCAGGAAACTGTGCTATGTAATAATTTAAATTGGAGATCCGGGGTCAGAAAAGCAGTCATGGATAGCCGGTGGAGCTTTCATTGACTGAGGGAAGTGATGACTTATCAGACAGATTTGTTGGCTGCACCTGGATTTGGACGTTCATGGGATGAACAGTGTTCGAGGACTGGCAGGACGCATTGGCTCCAATGTCGATAGTTTGCAGATATTCCCGAAGAGCCTAGCTAAAAAAGCATCTGCTACAAGTATACCTACTTTACTTTTTTCGGGCTATATACTGCTTTGCAAGAGTTGAATTTGCTTGTTATGGAGACACCCACTACATGCCTATAACCTCATATCGACTGATTCGAGCATATAGTCATTACACGATGGTCTCACGGTGTAAATTTGTTGGGACTCGAAGGTGTTGTTTCTTTCTATCTATGCTTTTAAATCTGCACCATTTGATACTTGGTCTAGTCATATGGGTGGCGCTTCACTGGTAATTGGTGGCACCGTTTTGTTTCTGATACCGAGCACAGTCTATCGAGCTACTATAATTGTCAAACCAGTCCAGCTACTCTTACTGTCAAACCAGTTCATCGAGCTACTATAATTGTCAAACCAATTTATTGAGCTGACTATAATCATCAAACCAGCATATTGAACTAACAAGACAATAGTCGTACCAGTTTATTGCACACATTATAATAGTTAGACTGTTTCATTGAGTAAACTAGTCTATCGAGCCAACTATAATAAAAAACCGGTCTATTGAGCTGACAGAATCAAACTATGTGAGAACGGTTTCAAAGTGCTGCAGACGCAATTGTATCTCTTAGAAATCTGTTTCACTTGGTACTTGGTCACTTTGTATGAGTGGTGGTTTACCCGATACATCCAGCTACTATGCCCATATCGAGCACACGTCTGTCGGGCACAATGTCTGATATTTCTATTATAATCATATTACGATTTTGGGTAGGCGGGATTCCAATGTTTTTCATTGTAATGATTAATTTCCCCTGAGTGCCTGCTTTGTCTTCATTTTTACTCAATCGTACGTGACGCCTTATTCGATACGCACTGGTATTAGTACACCTCAATATCGGGCGCACAGTCTATGAGTCCACCATCGGAATCTTGCGATATTCATGGGATGGAATGGACACGCGCAATGATAGATTTTGTAGCCAACTCTAAAGAGTGTTTTTACTGAACCTGCTCCACCAGCAATTTCACTCAATCGTGGGGCTGATGCTTTCCTCGCAGTTTAGTGGCGGTATTATGTCTGATTCCGAGCGCACTGTCCATCAACACAGCATAATCAATGTACTATAATGTTTGATGAACATTGAAAAAAAAAAAAATAGAAAAATAAAAAGAAAAAAAAAAGAAAGAGAAAAAAAAAGCAGAGTTGCTATAGCTTCTGAAGCAGAATTGTCACCATTGCTTTCTACATGCCCCAGCGGCGCTCGTCAACAAATCCCAAGAAACCAAAGCAAACCACCTTGTGGGCGTCCTCTAGATCGAAACCTCTGCGGGCCATTGCGGCTTCCATACAGGACAGATGCCCCGGACCCAATACATTTCTGGTTTCTGTGGCAAGCGGTTCCATCAAAGTCAAAGAGAAAATCCCGACTTTATCTCCAGGCCGACTCTCCGATCTTGCCACAAGCCACGTTTCATTTGGGCGAGCCGGGGCCGAGTCTCCGCAGATTAGGTCTGCAGGTTCTCATAACCGCTGTTGCTGGAGATACACCCGCAGCAGAGTCAGAAACACACGCTCGGACCTGCACACTGCGCGCCGTCTGTCCGAGTCAGCCGCCCGGCGACCACCGCGCGGACCTGAGGTCTTCCGACCTGGACCGGCCCCGCACGTCTGCCCGGATTTCGCCTAATTTCGCTTTTTTGGGCCTTGCTCGCTTTTTAAACCTTGTTCACTTTTCTGGCATTGTTCACTTTCCGGGTGTTGTTGACGTATCGCCTATTTTGTTAAGCGCCCGTGTGGGCACGCGCGCAGCCGACCCCGGGGCGTGTGCACGTGACCGCGTCCCTCCCGGACCCACCCAAAATTACAGCCTCCTTTTTCTAATTCCCAGCGTTCACAAACACGTGTGCCCAAAGTCTTGTACTCCCCCTCCGTTTTTGGGGTACGCCCATACTCTCCCAGGGCGCGTGGGAGTATATCTTTTTTCGCTTAGTTCGAGGGGTGCCGCGTGCGGCCGCGGGGTGTCACGTGCGCCGCGGGCCGAGTCAGGCGCGGCTTCCCGGAACCCTTTGCTGACTGCGCCTGTGACTGCAAAAAATTAGATAAAGGGCTGGCGGCTGCCACTCCCACCCACTCTTTTTTCCCCAAAATCTGCCGTTTTTTCCTGCTCACACACCCCGGCGTTTTTGCAGCTCCTCACCCACACATCCCCTCCCAATGTCCCGTTTGGCTTGCCGCGGACAGGCCCTCAGCCACCTCCTCCGTGCCTCACGGACTTTGACCACCAGTGCCAGGGTATCTCCCACGGCCGCGTCGCTTTTACAACACCAGTCGCAAAAATCGCCGGCGGCTAATCCCCGCGTTTTCGCGGCCCGGCGCTTGGCCACAAAGGCAGACACGCTGAGCGCCAACTACGCGCGCGTATACGACCCCGCCCAAACCGTCGGCTACGACAAGCTCGACACGTTTGCCCGCCGGCACTTTGGCCCCACGCCGCAGGATGTGCAGCACATGTTGGGTGCGCTCGGCTACACGGATCTCGACGCGTTCCTCACCGCCGCGATCCCCCCGCACGTGTTGGCCAAGCGGCCCTTGAAGGTCGAGCCGCAGGAGGGCTACACGGAGCTGAGCATGCTCGAGCACTTGCACGGCTTGGCGCTGCAGAACCGGATCGCCAAGTCGTTCATCGGCAAGGGCTACGCCGGCACGCACGTGCCGCCCGTGATCCAGCGCAACTTGCTCGAGCTGCCCGAGTGGTACACGTCGTACACGCCCTACCAGCCGGAGATCTCGCAGGGCCGCTTGGAGTCCTTGCTCAACTACCAGACCATGGTGTGCTCGCTCACCGGCTTGGACATGGCCAACGCGTCGCTTTTGGACGAGGGCACGGCCGCGGCCGAGGCCATGGCCATGTCCTTCCACAACCTGCGCGGCAAGAAACACGTCTACGCGGTGGACGCCAACGTGCACCCGCAGACGCTTGCGGTGCTCCGCTCGCGTGCGGCCAACATCGGCTTGCGCATCGCCGTGCTCCCCTTGTCGACCCCTGAGGGCGTGGCGCAGCTCGACGACATGGCCGCCACCGTGTGCGGTGCCTTGGTCCAGTACCCAGCCACCGACGGCCTGCTCCATGACTTCTCGGCCGTCGGCGAGGTCATCCACTCCAAGCTGAAGGGCTTGTTTGCCGTGGCCACGGACTTGCTCGCATTGACCCTCTTGAAGCCACCCTCGGAGATCGGTGCAGACATCGCCTTGGGCAACTCCCAGCGCTTCGGCGTGCCTTTCGGCTACGGCGGACCTCATGCGGCCTTCTTCGCCACCACCCAGAAGTTCTCCCGTAAGATGCCTGGCAGAATCGTCGGCGTGTCCAAGGACCGCTTGGGCAAGCCCGCTTTGCGTTTGGCTTTGCAGACCCGTGAGCAGCACATCAAGCGTGAAAAAGCCACCTCCAACATTTGCACGGCCCAGGCCTTGCTCGCCAACATGGCCGCCATGTACGCCGTCTACCATGGTCCGCAGGGCTTGAAGAACATTGCCTCCAGAGTCTACGGGTACACTCGTGTGCTCGCGGATATCATCGAGACCAGCTCCCCACACACCCTCGCCAGCAACTCGTTTTTCGACACCTTGACCATCAACCTTGAGGGCGTCTCGGCCGACAATGTCTTGCAGCTGGCATTGGACAACTACAACATTAACTTATTCAAGGTCGACGCGTCCACCGTCTCCCTCACATTTGACGAGACCGTCACGCAGGCCGACTTGGAGAGCCTCGTGGTGCTCTTCACCGGAAAGTCCGGTATTTCGTTGCCTGATGACTTGCCCTGCTTGCCTGAACACTTGCTCAGAACGGACGCGATCCTCCCCAACGAGGTTTTCAACTCGCACCACTCTGAAACATCTATGTTGCGTTACTTGCACTTGTTGCAGACCAAGGACTTGTCCTTGGCCAACTCCATGATTCCTTTGGGCTCGTGCACCATGAAGTTGAACGCAACTGTGGAGATGCAATCATTGTCTATGCCCGGCTTCTCCCAAATCCACCCATTCGCCCCAACCAACCAGGCTTTGGGTTACAAGGCGATGATTGCCGAGTTCGAGAAAGACTTGAACGACATCACTGGCTTTGCCGCCACCACACTCATGCCTAACTCGGGCGCCCAAGGTGAGTACACGGGCTTGTCGTTGATCCGTGAATACTTCAAGGCACACGGCGAGTACGAAAAGAGAAACGTGTGCTTGATTCCTGTTTCCGCCCACGGCACCAACCCGGCTTCTGCTGCCATGTGTGGCCTCAAGGTTGTTCCCGTCAAGTGTTTGGAGAACGGTCTGATTGACGTCGAAGAGTTGAAAATTAAGGCCGAGAAGCATAAAGACAACTTGTGTGCCATTATGCTCACATATCCTTCCACTTACGGCTTGTTTGAGCCTGGTGTGCGCCAGTCCATCGACATTGTCCACGAAAATGGCGGACTTGTGTATTTGGACGGTGCCAACATGAACGCTCAGGTCGGGCTCACCTCTCCCGGCGACTTGGGTGCCGATGTTTGCCACTTGAATATCCACAAGACCTTTGCTTTGTCTCATGGTGGAGGTGGACCAGGCCAAGGCCCTGTTTGTGTTGCTGAACGCCTCATTCCTTACTTGCCCGCACATCCGTTTGTGGATACTCCACATGCCACCTCTGAGTCCATCGAGGCAGTGAACTCTGCGCCATTCGGCTCAGCTGCGGTGATCCCCGTGTCGTACTCGTACATCAAGATGTTGGGCGCCAAGGCGTTGCCTTACGCCTCGAGTCTCGCCATCTTGAATGCCAACTACATGTTGACTCGCTTGCAGGACTCTTACAGCGTTATGTTCATCGATGCCACTGCCTCGAAAGAGGAGGGCACCAAGCACTGTGGCCACGAGTTCATCATTGACTTGCGTGAGTTCAAGGCCATTGGCATTGAGGCGATTGATGTCGCGAAGCGTTTGCAGGATTACGGTTTCCACGCCCCCACAATGTCGTTCCCTGTTAGCGGCACTTTGATGATCGAGCCTACCGAGTCTGAGAACTTGGAGGAGTTGGACCGTTTTGTCGAGGCCATGTTGTCGATCCGGAAGGAAATCGATGCTCACGCAAAGGGCGAGCCTTTAGGGAAGGTGTTGAAGAACGCCCCTCATTCGCTCGAGGATGTGATCTCCACTTCTCAGGAGGAGTGGCAAGCAAGAGGATACTCGCGTGAGCAAGCCGCGTACCCTCTTCCTGAATTGAAGAAGAGCAAGTGCTGGCCCTCGGTTGCCCGGTTGGACGACACCTACGGTGACATGAACTTGATCTGCACCTGTCCTTCGGTCGAAGATCTTGCCGAGGAGTAAGCGTTTTGAATATTTATCAGTGTAAATTATGGAATTCTAGGACCATGGAAGGAAAGACTAGAGATTAATAGAAGAATAGCCCTGTACAGGGCACGGAAGATTTAGCATTATGTTGGTCGGCGTTCAGCAACAGACGTAAGGAACTACTTGAAGGACCATATACGAATAAGAACCTCAATCTACTTATACATCAATAGTCTTTCAGTGTTTGGTCTCAGAATGGCTCCGGTCTAGAGTCCCATGTTGAAAGAACTTTCCGTTGCAATGCAGAATGAGATGCGACCAAAAAGGGTATAGAAAGATGAAGCCTGGGTGTTTCCAACCGTCCCTGAATCTCCAAGTTTGAAGGTATATCCGTATTATCAGTCTGTGCCGAATCGGAGAGTCTTTGCAAATCTGTCTCGGGCCCACCATATAAACAGACCTGTAATATGGCAGACTCCAAATCACCCGAGGATCGTGCCACTTCTCTTCTTTTTGGCAGGAGAATATCGTGTTATATTTCGAGCTTTTTGACTTGAGAATGTAGAGGCGATCTTATTCGCTGTGGTTGCTTTCAGTTTGATGGGTCTTGCTCCAGACTTTTGGTCGTTGCTCAGTTCCGCTGGAACATGATGAAAATGGGTGCGAAACTTGGATTTCATCACAGGTACCCTACACCAAAGCACCCCTGGAAGCTTTGCCCGCAAATTTCATTAAAACATTTGACAATTTTGGAGAAGTTCGATTGTGTGCACAAGACAGAAGTTATGGAGCTTGTAAGGGGACCACATTGGATTTGAAACCATGAGCTGTGATTTTTTTTCTTGCACGGTATTCGATTAAATTTTTTCTGGGTGCAAGAAAAGTAAGAGAACATGTAGAGACCCTCGAATAACGAGGGAAACCAGGCCGGTGGATTTATGGGATTTGGAAAAGTAATTTGTTCAAGACGAATGGTTCTCATGGATAAACAGAGGGGGGTAGCATGAACAGACTTTCATAGGCCGATAACACGGCGTTCGTGCTAGTGCCCAAGGAGGGCAAAAGAGATGTATGTTCGCCATATGATGGCAATATTGAATGGAAAATATGGGCAGCTTTAGAATGATCTTAGTTGAGGCCACATCCCGATCCCATAAGAAGGCTTGAGAACAATAGGCCCCAATGGCACTACGTTGAAAAAAAAGGAAAGCAGGGAAAGCGGGACAGAAAAACCGAAAAACCAAAAATAAAAGGTAGCAAACGGATTCATAAGGATGTTCAGCAGACTAAGAGGTAAAAAGATGCAAGAGGACAGAGAAAGATGCAACGAATGATCAAATCACGAAGTATAGACATGCAACAAATAACGGAAATGCATAAGATGAGGAAGCAACTGACACCGGGATTATGAAGAGGGACAGCACAATACGACGGAAGAGAAACTCAATGATACGAAGAAAGATTTTGAGCAAAACAAATCCACTTCAAAGCGAGATGCAGCAATTGGGAAACACACTAAACCACAGAGCAAGATGCATAAACTTTGGAGCAAGGTTGAACGGACTTCAAAAGGCAACAATTGATCAACTACAACAGACTACAAGCCAAAACACAAAACACATCAAAGTAGGTTGCAGCAATCCAGCAGAAATCGAACGTCAAAGCCAAAAGCTTCAAACGAAGTCAAGATGCCACAATTCAGCAAAATACATCAAGCCCTGAACCAAAGTACAATGGACTTCAAAGCAAAACGCATCAAACACCGAGCCAAATACATCAAACGACGGAGCAAAAAAAAGCCAGCGGATGACACCAATAATGAAGATCCAGAACTTTGCAGGCAAAAGGGTGCTAGAATACAGCATAATACGGCACATTTTTGAATGCACGGCCTAAACAGACAGAGATTCGAAAACACACGCTAAAAATACAGAGATTCAAAAATAGCCAAGAAGACAGACACCAAAAGACAAAATAATTTCCTGTCATCACTGCCACAAGGTAGTTTACAGGAAAGCACAATGTTTTCAGTTGAGAAATGAGAACACTGCGTCGAATAGGACAACTGCTGTTTATCTCACACTTGTAAGGTTCATCTATGACGCTGGAAGTGACGCACATTTACTAAACGACACGTCGTATTTCAAGACATATAAAGCAGGGCTTACTGCATTAGAAACGGCTAACGGTGAGAGCAAACGTGTGTACTTACTTGGATGTGGAGAAGTACGAGTTCGATTTGGTAATTGTCATGAATGAACACAGTCGAATGCACGTTCCATTCCTCGGAGTGGCACTTTTTTTTCATTAAAAAAAGGCAGAGAGATGGCATTGCGGCAAATCTAATTGCTCGTTCGACGAAAGACTAAATAACGCTGGAGTCGGGAGGAATTGGTAAAGACAGGAACCCAAAAACACAGCCCAAAAACACTTTAATGATATAGGTTTAAAAGACAGCTCCAAAAACACAGCTTCAAAAATGCAGCCCGAAATACACTTTAATAAGACATTCCAAACACAGCTTCAAAAAGACGTTCCAAAAGCACAGTTTCAAAACACCGGCTAAGAATACAGCTCCACAAACCCAGCCCAAAAACACACTTTGATATTGCAATCCAAAAACACGGCTCCATAATAAAGCCTTAAAATACAGCTGCAAAACAAAGCATGAAGGAAAGAGATCCACAAGCGCAACCTAAAAGGCAGATATATAGAAATACAGGCTAAAACCACAGCTTCTAAAATACAGCCCAAAAACACACTCCAATGATACAAGCTACAAAACAGCCCAAAATCACAGTCCAAAAACACACTTTAAAATATAGTCCTAAAGAGGGATCCAAACACAGCCCAAAAAGACACTTTGATACTACAATCCAAAATCACATTCCCAAATAAGGCCTAGAAAGACCGCTGCAAGATAAAGCATGAAAGAAAGAGATCCCCAGCGCAACCTAAAAGGTAGAAGTTTAAAAGTACCGCCTAAAAGACCGAGATCCAAAAGTACAGCTTAAAAGACGGAGATCCAAAAGCACAGCTTAAAAGAACAGGTATCTAAAAGCACAGCCTAAAAGACGGAGATCCAAAAGCACAGCTTAAAAGAACAAAAATCCAAAAGCACAGCCCAAAAGACCGAGATCAAAATACAGCACTATCCCACAGCTTCAAGAACTCAATCCAAAATCACATCTCAAAATAAAGCCCACAAGACACCAGCCAGGCCCTCCCACTACCCCAGCCGCAGCGTCCTGCACACAGAGCCGCACGTCCCGGCCTGGCGCGCCGCGGTGTCTTAAGCACCGCACCAGCGGCTACCAACCTCTCATAACTCCTCTTTTTCCTTGCTGCAAATCCACACAAAAACCCCCAATCCCCCCGATTTCGGCACCATGGACTGGAATACGCTGCGCAGCAAGCGCATGTCCATTTCGGGAATCCCGGCGCTCGCCAAGCCCCCGCTCCAGCCCCTCCTGAGGTTTGCCCGGCCCAGCGAATACTCCTTGGGCAGCGAGCCGTATTTGCAGCACGCCCCCGCCGAGGCCCGCCCCTCGTGCTACACGTCACAACACCCGCTTTTCTGTGCCGACTGGACGCACGGCGCCGCCGGCGAGCTCGTGGCCTTGGGCCTGTTCCGGGAGGGTTTCCAGAACCGCATCCAGATCGTGAGCGGCAGGGCCGACCGCGACAGAGCGGGCGACAGCAACCTAGGCCCGGGCGACAGCAACCTAGGCCCGGGCGACAGCAACCTAGGCCCGGGCAGCCGGAACGCCAGCCCGGCCGGCAGGGAACTCGGCGCCCCGGGCGGCGCCGGCAGCAGTGCCCGCGGCTCCACGTTTGACTTTGCGTGCGTCGCCGAGACGCTGGTGGACTACCCGGCAACGGCCCTCCAGTGGGAGCCGCACGGCCACGAGCGGCTCGCGGTGTCCTCGGAAGTGTTGCGGCTCTACAAGCTCGGGCTGGACTACGGCGAGCCGGCGTTGGTGCAGACGCACATGCTTGCCAACAACTCGACGGCCAACGCCGCCAGCGGCGGCGGCAACGGCGCGGCGGCGCACGACATCAACACGTTCCCGCCCGTCACGTCCTTCGACTGGAACGCCGCGGACCCCTCCATCGTCATCACGCTGTCGGTGGACACCACGTGCACGGTGTGGGACTTGTCCCGCTCCCACGCCGCGGGCAGCCACGACACGGCCCACGTCAAGACACAGTTGATTGCGCACGACCTGGAGGTCTTCGACGTCAAGTTCCTCCACATGAGCACCAACGTGTTTGCCAGCGTGTCCAACGACGGGTCCATGCGCGCGTTCGACCTCCGCTCGTTGGAGCACTCCACCATCATCTACGAGCCCACGGGGCCGGCGCCGCCCGCGGCGGACTCGCCCGCGGCGTCCGCGCAGTACAACCCGCAGGCGCTTCTCCGGCTCCTGGCGTCCTGCGCGGACCAGCACCACTTGGCCACCGTGGGCGTGAATCTGAACCAGGTGCTCATCATCGACTTGCGCATGCCCGGCGTGCCCGTGGTCACCATCGACGGGCTGTTCGACGGACAGAGCTCCGCCCCCATCAACCTGCTCCAGTGGCACCCGACGGCGAACTTGCTTGCCACGGGCGGCGACGATTGCCAGGCCTTGGTCTGGGACTGCAGCGGCAGAACGGGGCACAGGCCTGCGGCCGACAGCAAGGTGGTCATTGACACCCCGGTGCTCGCGTACTCCGCGGACTATGAAGTCAACACCGTGTGCTGGAGGAGAGGCTGCGACAACTGGATGGGCGTGGTCAGCGGGAAGGGCTTCCAGGCGTTGGAAACCCAGTAGACGCGGTGGCGGCGGGACTCGTTGCACGGAGCGGTGGCGGCGGGTTTCGTGGCATGGTGCGATGTCGACTGATTTCATTCGGCGGATATCATGTCGGCGGATTTCATGTCAGCGGATATCATGTTGGCGGATATCATGTCCACTGATTTCATGTCAGCGGATATCATGTTGGCGGGACCTATTATACGAAGCGGCGTCGGTTTCGTCGTACGGACCGGTGTCGGGCCACCGCGTCGGCCGTCTGTCTGCGAGGGGCGTCTGGCTGCCCGCCCTACTTTCTACTGGCGCCCCGAAATCGTTGCATACTACACGTGCTACTTCTTTGAATGGTGGACGAGACGGCGTGTTTCCTGACCTCCCACGCGGGGCGTTCCCCCTGGGACGAGTGATGCTCTCTTGCTATGCGCACCTCGAGTTGGAGCTCGGGGCAACAAGGAGTTGGCGCGCGCCGAGGGCACGGCAAAAGAACCTTTTTTTTTTCTTTTTCTTTTTTAGCCACAGACTGAATTGTACGAGTAGCTTCGTCTCCGGGTCTTTTGGGGGTGCGGGGGCCTGTCTCAGCCCCAGAAACACACTGGACTCCCCAAACACCAGGAACATGGCTCTTGCAATATGATCCGGCTGGAAAATCGTGACCCCCCCCAGTCCTGTTGTTTAGCCCACACTGCGCACTGGCTGGCTGCGGTGCAGGGCATGGAAAGAATAATGACTGGCCTCACCCGAAGCTGCTCTGATCCGCCACTTTTTTGTGGGAGCCCGGTGTCTTTTCTTGGCCCGCCGCTTGCCTTTGGCTGCCGGAGCCCTGCCCATGACCCTGTGATGTCAGTGTTTCTAGTCTCGGTGTGCCCGAAACAAGGCTCCCGCAAAGACCCCTGCCCTCTTTCCTGCAGGGCCGCGAGCTAGGAACGACAATACTTTATACGAACAAGCCTGACGGTGCTAGTTGACAGAAGCCATTGGTACCTGCACCCAAGGCTTGAACTGGCCCGTGCTGCCCGGCCGCCGAAGCTGCTTCACCATTGTGGCTAGGGCGCGGATCCAGCCTGGGCCCAATTACCAACATTTGGAGAAAGACCATAGCTGAGTGATGACCAACACTCATGGGTTCTCCCAGTGGTGTTCCAAGTATGCTTGGCACCAACTTTCGCTGCACACCGCACTGCACACCGAGTTGCGGCCCGGTCCTGTGGACTCGCTTACGGCATTTCTCACACAGCTTAATTTAGCTTGCGCGCCTGTGTGGACGGCCCATCCCAACGAATAAGCCCCCGTCGTGTCGGGGGGTAAACCCTAAACCACCTGCGTTTCGATACAAACTAGTGGGTTCTTTGTCCATTCAACTCGCCGCCAGAAACACGGAGCCTGTTTTTCGAAGCCGCAAACGACAAACACGGCCCGCACAGCCCAGCCCGTACGCCTCTGAAGCTGGCCACTTTTCTGCCTGCACACAGCCGCCCAGATCTTCCGAACCCTCGACTATTCTTGGAACATGAGCGGGCTTGAAAATCAGTCGGCATCGGGGAACTTCAGCTTTCTTCTAGCCACACGCTCGTCTGAATCGATTGTTTCCACGCCGACGCAAATCACCTCAGCATTGTCTGCCTCACCCAATACGCAAGCGCCCACCACGGTTGTCTCCTTAGCGTCGCCGTTGGTTTCCGCGCCTATTTCTTCAGGCCTCACCACTACATCTTCGTCATTGGAAATGTCTTTGGTGCTGCAACAGCTGCTGCCAGAGGCCCCTGCAGACTCGGTGGTCAACACGGCGCTTTCAAGCGTCCTTGGCCTGTCTCAGACTCCTTCCGTTCAGTTTGAGTCGCCCAGTTCGAGCGCCGAAAACACACCCACGTCCGTCTTGGCGTCATTTTCCTCGGATCCAGGGCTCCTTTCGTCGACACAAACCCTGCCGGCGGCCATATCGTCTCCGTCGTCCGTGAGCTCGGAACCGCTTCCCCAGGAATCTTCCTCTGCATTTCTGCCAGAATCAGCCGCTCTTTCGTCTTTGGTTGCATCCCTGTCATCATCACCACAATCGACATCATCGCCCTCGCAATCGTCGTTGCTATTGTCGTCGTCGTCGTCGTCGTCGTCTTCGTTGTCGTTGTTGTCGTCGTCGTCATCGATCCTCCAGACATCATCGTCATTGCAGCAGTCATCACTGGGGCCAGTTCCCCTGGCTTCTTCAGCCATATTCTCTCTGACGCTATCTTCATCATGGACAAGCTCGGTGTCGTCCTCGACGGAAACAGCCTCTTCCAGCGAGCTTTCTAGCTCGCTGAGTCTCTCGGCATCTTCTCGCTCTCGCTCTTCGGATCTTGCGCTGCGGACCTCATCCAGCGAGAGCTCACAAACACCGACCTCGTCTGCTACAAGCTCTTTCTCATCGTCGGCACCATCTATAACAGAGGCATCTTCGTCCACCAGTGGGTACTACGTGTCCACAATCAGTGTCTTGCCGGATACCACCATCACCACGCTCATCACCATCCCAACCACAGCATCTTCGCTGAGTTCTAGCAGCAGTTCGTCCGTGTCGCTGGAAAATGCAAAAATCATTGGTGGTGTGGTGGGCGCCGTGGGGGGCGCTCTTCTAATAGGTTTGTTCGCCTTGCTTGTCTTCTTGAAGAAACGGAAAAAGAAGGTGACCAATCAGCTGCCTGATTTTGCCGATGAGGCCTTGGGCTCTGACAACGAGAAAAGCACCGGCTTCTTGAAGCTTTTCGGTGCCAAGGGCAGCACCGCGAACACTGGAGGAGGTGTGTCTACGTACAACGGCCTTGAAAACCAGGTCAACGTCAGATCAGCATCGGTGGGCGCGGGCGCTGCAACCGACGCCGGCGACAACAACGATTTCGAGTATCGCGGGGTCACAAACAGCAACAATTTGGACTCTATATTCCGCTCCACGGGGAGCAACACGGGCCACAATAGTTCAGGGTTCAACTCGGCCAATGAAACTCCGCGACAAGGGAATTCTCGTTTCAACTCCATGGTTGTTCCCTTCATGAAGACCATGCATGAGGGCGACCAGGAGCATGATGGCGCATCTCCCATGCCGGGAGAGGCCCCTTACCCCACAGAGGAAAATGATGCGCTGAGCTCCTTGGCCGGGAGCGACAAGTCTTCGGAGTATGCCACGGACGACGACCTCCTACTCCATGCAGATCCCCACCAGTTTTGGGCAGGAGAGCATCACAGTAACAACTCACGGCTGAGGTTCACTGAGGACTTGGCCTAGGTCTTTGGGAATCCATTCTATATTTTTGGGGCCGTGGCATGAGGTTGCCAGGGCTATTTACTTCTATTGAAGCAGCAGCATGACTTCATCTTTTTTTTTTTACACAGTTGCAGTCACATAATCTTCATCTAATTTCTAATTTGCTCATGGGCAGTGGAGCCGATGTGAACGGGCAAAATTCGATCTGAGAATTGCCAGTGGTATTCAGTGAGTTGGTCATGCCTCACGTGACCACGGTCAATCCCAGCGTGGGCAAACCAGTGTATTCCAATATCATTCTGTTCGTAATTACTATGGACCATTTCTGTCCTTGATAAGATAAGCTAGTGTTTCTTGATTTCTCGCGCTTTCGACCCTGTTGCCTTGAGTATTGGTTTTAAGTGACAACAGAGCCTTGATCACCACAAGAACCACACAACGCATGAAAAAGAAACGCCCGAATTCTAACTAGTCCCGACTACTTTCTTAAAAAAGATAAGTAAAGCCTGGGCATCCTTCCATCTATCTGCTTGCTAGAGTTCAGGATAGACATTACCCTGGCTGATTCACCATGGTGTACGGGTGCACGAGGACCAGAATTTTTCTGGGTGGAAACTAACATTTTCAGCTCCACACCTGTGAAATCACACCGAATCTAAGCAATAATATGTCAGCCAAAAATGTCATGGTGAAATTGATTGTGGGGGCAGGGCAGGCCGCCCCAGCCCCTCCAGTTGGCCCAGCCTTGGGTTCCAAGGGTGTGAAGGCCATCGATTTCTGCAAAGAGTTCAATGCTAGAACGGCCCATTATAACCCCGGCACGCCCATCCCCGTTCTTTTGACCATCAAGCCTGACAGAAGCTTTAATTTCGAGATGAAATCTCCCCCAACATCCTGGCTTTTGTTGAAGGCGGCCAACGCCAAAAAGGGCAGCGACAAGCCCACGCAGAATATCGTAGGCACCATTTCCTTGAAGCACGTGTATGAGATCGCCAAGATCAAGAAGACCGACGAAAGACACAAGAATGTCGACTTGAAGGCGATCTGCGGCGCTGTCATTCTGACGGCCAAGGCTGTGGGTGTGCTGGTGACACCTTGAGGCGGGGGTCGAGATCTTGTAATATAGTTAATGTACATAGTCGAAATGAACATTCAAGTCGTGACTTTTTTTCTGGACCGAATGGTTTCCAGTTATGCGGTGCAGTACATTAAAACTCTGAATGTCTAAACCTTCATGCGACGTGGTTTTATGAGTTACTTCTTCTTCTTTTCAAATGCGGCGATGTGAGCCTTTGACTGATCAACGGTCGTGTGCTCGTGGTCTGAACCCTTGAAGACCTGGTAGTGCAACGTGCCGTCGGTATTGACTCGTTCTTCAACCGAGCACATGTGCACGCTCTTCAACCAAGGGTCGTTGAAACAGTCCTCAACCGAAATACGGCACGCAGGGGCTAGTTCCACCATCCGTGCGATCAAAGGACGACAATCCTCGGGCAACGCCAACAACAAGCGGCCTGCTCCAGTTTCACTGGACGTGTGCGCAACACCGTCGGCATTTTCGCTTGTCTGCGAGTCTTCGATTTCCTTCACCGCCTCAGCAAGGCTCTCCATGTTCCCTAGGGCTGATCCTTGGTCTGGAGTCTTCATGAGGACTTCACTGAACTGCGAGAACTCTCCACGCGTGGCGAACAACTTGAAACTATTATCGACCAACTTGGGGACCTTCCAAGGAAACTTCTTCAACATCATGCAGCAGTAGATGATCGCAACCGACCACACATCGACCGGCCTTGGGTCGTACTTAGTGAACACACAGACTTCGGGGGCCAAATACGGGTCAGACCCCACCACACCCAGAGCCTCGATCAAAGTTTTTGTGAATGGGTAGGAGAAGACGACCGCGGAGCCAAAGTCAATGATCTTGACAATGCCGCGAGAGTCCACCACACAGTTGTCGAGCTTCAAGTCTCTATGAGCCAAGCCCATGGAATGCAAGTAGTTGATGCCCGAGAGGACCTGTTTAAAACAACAGTCGATTTCCTCGCGGGACATCTGGTTTGACATGACGATGGCGAACAAGTCGAAGTCGCAGTACTCCATCACCTGCAAGATCCGGTCGTTCTCGTAGCAAATCTCCACAGTCTCGATGATATTGGGGTGTTTCAAAGTGGAGCCGATGCAGTACTCGCCGGTGATCTTTTTGGCGTAGTCCCGCTTGGTTTCGTTTTGGTACTTTGCACGGAACTCCTTGACAGCGAAGATTTTCTTGTCCAGGAGCCTGTTCACGAGCTTCACGGCACCGCCCGCGCCCGCACCGAGGGTTTCGCCGAATTTGCTATATCGCTTGGAGAAGGGCAAGGGTTGCTGGCTGATCAAGCCCAGAACAGAGCCCCTCCTGTCATTTGCACGTCTGAGGGACGGGGTCCTGCTGAAGGACAGAGAGCCGGGCCCAAGCGATCCACCCGGAGACTGAGAGTAGGACGCCTCGGACCCACTTGGGTTCAACGTCAGGGCCGAGAAGGAGCCGTTCATGTGGGGGCTGACTGCCGGGGAAGTGCCCGAGGAGATGATGTTGTTCGAGCGCAAGGACGAGGACAAGTTGCTGACGGCGCTGGGCTGCGACGGAGACGAGCTGCCCTTCTTGAAGAAGCGCTTCAAGTTGGCCATCGAGTTGTGGCGGGAGATGTTGAGCGCCGCGGAGGAGGACTCGAGCGAGGAGGTGGAGGCGGGCGAAATGGCGAAGACGCTGTCGGGCTGCGCGTTGTTGTACAAGGAGCCCAAGTCCGTGGACGACGTGCTGGACTTCTGGGACTTTTTGGAGCCGAACATGAACGAGAGGCTGGAGTGCGAGCCCAGGCGTGCGCTGGTGGACACGGGCCCCGCCTGGGCCTGGGCCTGGGCCTGGGCCTGGGCCACGCGCTGCTTGGAGATGACGAAGCGCGGCTCGATGGCCAGCGAGCTGACCTGCGGCGACTGGAAGTTGACCGAGGAGATCGGCTGCCCGTTGGGCAAGTTGGGGACGTGGTCCAGCGCGGCCTGCGTCATTTGCAACGAGCTGGGGAAGTTGGCCATGTACAGGCCCGGCCTGCCCAAGGAGCCCGGCTGCCCGCCCCGGCCGCCCGGCGCGCCGTAGGGGATGGACGAGGACAAGCTCTCGGAGCCGTAGCCCCCCGTGGAGAAGAACGACGTGTGCGACACGGAGTTGGTGCGGTTGACCCGCGGGCTGGCGGCGCCGGGCACGCGCGCGGCGATGTCTCTGACCGGCTGGTACGCCTCGTCAAACGGGCGCCCGGCGGCGGCGTGGCGGGGCGAGGCCTCGAAGCCGCCCAGCACCACCACGGGCGGTTTCTGCGTGGGCGATATGCTCCCGGGGATGGCCGCGGCCGCGCTCCCAGGGGCCAGGGGCACGGCCAGGCCCGCGGGCGTGCCGCTGCTGGCGCTGATGGTTTGCTGGGAGTCGTTGGCGCCGCCGAACGGCGCGTGCAGCGGCCCGGCGTCGCCCGCGGGAAGCACGTATGCGTCCAACGAGGTCTGCAGCGCGCTGTTGGACGTGGCGGCGGAGTTGTTTTCGCTGAAGAGCTTGGTCAAGGAGCTGACGGGCTGGCGCGGAGGGTCCATGGTGTGCGGGGTGCGTTCGGGGGCGGCGGGTTTTAGGGGCGGCGGGTTTCAGGGCCGGCGGCTATTCAGGGGTGGCCGGCGGCTATTCAGGGGTGGCCGGCAATAGGGGTGGCCGGCAAAAGGGGTGGCCGGCAAGAGGGACGGCTGGTACTCAGGGGCGGCGAGTGACACAAAAACAGCAAGCCGGGACCAAGGCGCTTGGATGCTACGGGTTCTGCTGGTTGCAGTCCTGGGGCAAGAACGGAAATAGGGGAGCGCCCAGGGCGGGTATCTGGAAAAGGCAAACGGACAGAGGGCGGGCCAGACGGGTCGCTGGGTTTATGAGGCGGCAGGAAGAATAGGTGGGGAATGCGGTACTTGGGGCAGCCAGCGCGGAGTGGTCGCCGGGCTTTTGACTGGTGGTGGCAGAAGAAAGAAGTGATTAGGCGTGATTATGCGATCACTCTGGCGGCTGGCGGGCGGCGCGCGGGTCACGTGACGCGACGCGCCTGGCGCTGGGCGCCCGCCCCCGCTTTTTGTGCTATTCTGCCCGACGGCCGCGGGCCGGGGCTGCTGGACGCGGCGCCGGGCGGGCGCTTCAGGCGGTGGGGCGGACTTGGACGGGAATGGGGGGGGGCTGGGAAGGAGGGGGGGGCAGAGATTGGCCTGTGTGCAGGACCCGGCTATCGGCGTGCCGGCTCTGATTCGCCGCGTTATCAGCGTTTATCAGCGGGCGGCGCATTGATGCTAGTTGGTGCACCAGAGACACGCTGCACATATCTGGTCACGGGATTTGGAAGTCAGCGGGATTTGAAAATAGCGGGGATGGGAAACCAGTGCGATCTGGGTGTCGGGGGGTCGGTGAAAAGCGGGGTTTTTGCTGATGGGATTTTGGGTGCTGATGGGATTTTGGTGTGGTGCGATTTGGTGATTCGCGGGATTTGGGTGTTGGCGGATTTAATTATTGGCGGATTTGGATATTGGCGGATTTGGATATTGACAGCTTTGGATACTGACAGCTTTGGATACTGGAAAATTTGGATATTGGCAAATCTGGGTACTGATAGATGTTATTGGTGGTCTGATTATTAGCGGAACTTCGGTTGTTAGCGGAGCTTTGGATGGATGGATGCTGGTGGTGTTTTCGTGGCGGGACCGTTATTGGCATGGTCCTGGATATTGGCAGTTCCAGATATCGGTGGCGTTTTTGCCGGATCGGAGCTCGTCTGGCATCGAAGCCCGCTGATATCTGTCGGTTTCTGTTTTCTCGCTTTTTGCAATCGGCGGGCTTTTACGAAAGTTATTGCTTCACCATCTCAGAAGCATGCTGCATATGGCTGCTCAGATGGTTCTTGGAACGGTTGCGAAATTGGTCGCCCCGCTGGAATCACATTCTTGGTTGACCAAATCTGGTAGAGCCCTCCTCCACCATTCTTGTGGATGTACAATCCAGCGTTAAGACCGTGATCCATCCTACAAAACGGTGCATTCGTCATTTCCCTTGGGCCGCGAATCCCGCTTCAGTAGGGCATATCTGGATATCATTGAAAAACCCAACTTTCGGGAGACTGCGAGCTTTTTGCCGCAGCCATTCGCAGGATTTTCCAGCTGGTCATCATAGATGGTCATCCAATTTCCCACCGGGATTTCCAGTAGTAAAACAAGCCCGTTTCTTGGTCGCCGATTTTCTCTGATGGAGCTGACGGATGGGCCCATGCAGGTGCCTGGGATTGAGTAAATGTACTAAAAGGCTGGGATACCACGTGGGGCATTGGAAATAAGACCGGCTGTTCAGAATACTGCTGCTTGCCTTAGAAAAAGCTTGGGGCCACGCGGGTTGGAATGGCAAGGCATGGCTTGTCCAGCTCAGGGAGGTATTCTTGTATTTGTAGTGACTCGTTTTTGTTCCTTCGAGATCCCCAGATACAGTATCCACAGTTTCCAGAACCTAGGCCGCCAGGCCCTTTTTCGTGTGGTGTCTGTTTCATGTTGTATATGCTGAACATGACATTCGTGCATACGATGGTGCTTTCTCAAAGTGAAATACATGTTAATCCGAACGCAGGAGCTTTACAAGAACGTGTTTTCAAGAACGCGATTTCCTACTGGAATAGTTTCAAATTTATATTGTTTGCTTCCACAACATAGTATACAATCGTTTTAACCTGAAACTCAGGAGCAGCAACACCATATTGTTTGAGAATAAGAGCTTGGGTGTCATTCAAGGCAGTATTCTTCTGATGGACAGCAAATAATTCAGTGAGGTATATTTTTTCAGACTCAACTTGTGTTTCTTGATGACACGTAGAGCCCATTGGATATGGGCAACGTTCACACAACGGAATTTGAAATGCACGTTTTGAGAACGCACCACAACCATTGGCATACGTGAATTTCAGGTGAGCTGGCGTGGCAGCAGAAATGAGACTTTGGTAGAAGGACCGGAGCATGCATCTTCTGTCCCGGACACTATTTGCTCTATACCTTTGTCATCGCTCACAAGCACCGCCATGGAAGCCGGGAAGCAAACCACGCGGCTTTCACCCAAATCGTGCAACCTATTATATAAACGCTTTGGGCTTGGCTCCCACACACTAGTGCTCGGGGCCGGATTCTATAAATTTCTTTCCGGTTGGCTTGCCTATGTTGCTGGCAACCACACAATGCTTCGGCTATCCTATAGCCACACAAGTAATGCCGGGTGCCCCGAACATCACATTCCATTTACCCCAACCACCGGGATCATTTCACCGCAGAGGTCTCTGACAAGGTCCACATCAAAGACTCTTGCAGCCGAGGCCACATGGCTTCGAGTGGCTCACGTCGTGGTCGACGACAGGCACGATCGAAGAAGCGAGAGACGAAGGAGGGCGGTTACATTATCCAGCCCAGCGCATGCTCTTGCACGCGACCACCGCTGACTGCAAAGGCAAGGCAGGAGCATTCAGTGTGCTACCCCGTGAAGCACCCACCCCCAGCCTTGCGAGGACTCGGCATTGTCAGCCCACTTCTCGGCGGCGAAACCGCGCATACCACCCAGTCCTGCGCTCGGCGACCGGCGCACAGAAATGGGCACGTCCAAGAAATTGCCCTTCCGCGGCCTAGACGGACGAGCCTCCCAGCAGCCTTGGTGCTTGGCCGGCAAACTAGCTCTTCCGCGACTTTGACTTGGGCCTGGCCAGCTTGGCCAGCTTGGCCGCCGCCCGCGCCGAAGAGCCCGTGGCCTTAGCCGCGGGGCCGTCGTGGGCAAACAAGCCCGGGGCGTCCGCGCCCATGGGGAGCGCCATGGACTTGCGCATCAAGCTGAGCTTGTACGCCAAGTCGGCCTCGGAGTCCGGCTTCTCGTGGATGTCGCGCTGCTTGGCGGCGGCCTGGCGCGCCTTCTCGGCGTCAAGGCCCAGCGCCTTCTCCTGCTTCTTGCGCTCTGCCGCGGACAGCTTCTCCAAGCGCGCGATCAAGCGCTCGGTCTCGGCGAACACAGCGTCCTGGAGCTCGTAGTCATAGTACTCGCGGCGGGCCTTGGTGACGATGCGGCACTCCTGGATGACGTTGCCGCCGTCCTGCGCGCCCAAGACCGGCGAGAGGAGCGCAAAGAGCACGGACTGGCAGCCCTGCCAGGCGGTCTTGAAGAACACAAACCACACCGGGAAGAGGAGCACGTAGACGAGGAGGCCCCACACGGAGCCCATGGACAAGAAGCGGCGCGTGGCCGGCGTCCGCATCAAGCCGGGGTTGACCGCACACACGCGCACGTTGCACGGCGCCTTGTCGGGCCGCTCGTAGCCGTTCAAGCCGCGCTGCAACAGCCGCGCAAACATGCCCACCAAGAGCTTGGACGTGCCGTACACGAGCCACGGCTGGCCCGCCGGGTACGCGCGCCGCTCCCAGAGCAAGTCGTCCGGGGCCACCTGGCCCATGGCCTGCAGCGCACACGTGACCACCACCACCCGCACGTCCCGGTCCGCCGGCTGCACGTGGAGCGCCGGGCGGAGGAGCGTGAGCAAGTGGAAGTGCAGCAAGTAGTTGACGGCCGTCTGCAACTCCACGCCGTCCACGGACACCAGGCGCGGCCGGCCCTTGGGGATGGTTTCCGACGCGCAGCACACCACGCCGTCGAGCCGCCGCGGCGGCTGGTTGTCGAGCCACTTGGTCGCAAACAACCGCACCGAGTGGAGCAGCAGGAGGTCGCACTGCTCCGCGTAGATCATGAAGTTGTTGGTCTTCTCGCGCATGTCGTCGATGAAGTCCACGGTGAACGGGTCGTCGAGCGCGCGGCAGAGCAATATGACCTGCGCGCCTTTTGTGGCTAGCTCGTACACGGTGGCGGCGCCCAAGCCCGCGGTGCCGCCGGTGACGATGTAGACCTTGCCGTGCAACTCGCGTTTCCAGGGGTTGGAGTTGCCGCCGAAGTACCACTTCACGGCCAGGAGCCCGGCGAGCGCCGGGACCACGGTTCGGAGAACCAGCCACCCAGGGATGGCCTCCGGGCCGTCGAACACGGCGGTGGAGATGATGTCGATGGGCATGTTGGCGGGACGGAAGAAGAAGGCGGGAGTATGGCTGTGATTTGAGGACGGGGGGCGCGGGAGAGGCACGGGTGTGCACGGGTGTTGAACGGTGCACGGGTGTTGAACGGTGCACGGGTGTGAGTTGGCGGCGGCGGTGGCGGGTCTGGAGAAGGGGTTTTTCGGAGCAGAAAAAACGGGGGTGTAGCCATGGAGACGCGGAAGCGGGCGACAAAATTTGAGGGCGGTTTGTGGTCTGTGGGAGGAGGGGCGGGGGGCCTGGGGCAGCGGGTCACGTGACCCCGCCGCACGTGCTGGGCTCGATATCGACGCCGCGGCGTGCTCGAGGCCCTCTCCCAGAGCTAATAAAGTGTGAGGAATGAATATATAATAACTTGAGTTTGTAATGAATCAAACGATTGTGTTGCCGATTGTTTGAGTACCAATAACATCTAGAAATGGACCAGGTGAAAAAAAGCATGAGCGAGACTAAGCTACTCAATACACCAAATGCATGTTAGAAGGCTTCCATCTCAGTATTTGCCATGCAAACGTATGGACTTTGTTTGATATTCTTCTGGGTGAAAGTCTAGGGAGCACGTGGCATCCGCTCCATGATTTTGGCGAAATTGGTTAAAGATAAGTCAAGACCTGAATGCGAAGAGAGTTTCGGTCCTTTGACATGTCATAGATTGTAAAAGAAGTATATTGTATATTGTTTTTGGTACCATCTTCAGAAACACCAAGGGAAAAGATATCCAATTGTATATCATATGAAACTATCATGAAGTTTAAGATATATACTCCCAGCAAACTGGTCGAGATGTCATTCGTTTTACGTTTTTAAGTGTCGTGAGCATTATTTTTATAAAATATAATATCAAACACTTCTTTTCCCACATCCTTTTTATATAGGGCCAACTGTAATAATACATAGATTAAGTATAATAAAAATAAGTTATATATTAATATTAACAATAATATCAGTAGATATAATATCATTAATACCAGGACATACATTATATGGAAATTGATTAAGTTTAACATCATTGAATATTCCATTTATTTCTTCACTAAAATGATATGATACAATATGAAATAAAATAAAATAAAATAAAATAAATTTGCAAAAGCTTAACATATGGTGATTAATTTATTTATAGGTAAATATATTTTTAGGTTGTTTGATTAGTGGTTAAATCACGGTTTATGTAGAGCTTCAAATGGAGATCAAGCAAGTGGTTGTATGTTGTCATTTATATTGTTCATGGTACTAGCTATTGCATCACATCTTATGATGTAAGATCAAATATTACAGACTATCAGGCTTCAAACTTTGGTTTCATCAATATAATAAAGATGTGTCTCTAGCTGTAACACTGGTGTCAGTATTACATACGCGGTGCCGTTCAGAGTCACCGTTTTTTACTACTAGCTGATACAATATAAAAATCAGCTACACACTCTTTTGTGCTTCGACAATACCTACGTTACCAGGTGCTTTAGTAACATATACACCATCAATCGTCCTTTACGATAAAAATAACATACACATCTGTAGAGACAATAAAACACATTTGTTGACATGATAGCTGATAGCTGTGTTCTATATATGGCTGCACGTATGTGATCAAGGCTGTTCTGTATAATATTAGAGGCTTGGCATTTTATGTAGTCGACGAATGTGACTTCCACAAAACTCACATTTTGAGGCCAGAGACTTCATCTCCTCTCTAAGCATACTACGTCTCTTTTTGTTAATTCAAAGATTTAATTGGAACCGTAGATCTACCACTAAGTCTAAAGAAGGTTTCGTTTTAGGATTATTGCGGGATATTCGCCAATTCTGCCAGACTGAATTAAGGGCCCACAATCATTCTAGAGACTCAAGATCCACCCTTCTGGAATTCTCAAGAGCATATTTGGAATTCTCTGAGATAAATGGTCCTGAGCTCATTTGTACTGGGCTGAAAATTGGGCTTTGGGATTCTTAGGCCCTTGGATTATTAGCTTCTGGCATCATGGATTCCTTGCGTGGAAATCAATGCCCGATTATTTATAAATGGCTTCAAATTACTCTACATGTCCTGCTTTAGCTCTGTCGGTTTTGTCACTGAACCATCCCTTTTGTCTGAATCGAGCAGATGAATCCTGTCGCTTTCCCCATACCTGAGGAGCGAGCATATTGCTTATGACTACATCCTTGATACAAATCCCCTAAGCCCCAGGTGCAACATAATACATCATACGGGCAATTCTGAAGCGGACGAAGAACTCGGATGGAAGAGGCTTTATTTCTGCCCGAATTTCTTGAAATGGCAGATACCAGTCTTGTAGCTATGGAGATCGTGAAGCCATGGGCCCGGATGTACATGCAAGATCGAAGCGTTCTCGGCATTTTCCCCTGTTCCAATCCAAGACAAAAGAGACAACCGCTTGATACTATCACATTCTAGTTGGGTCGATGGGTGGTGCTATGCATTTCGAATGAGTGGTCGTCCTTTATTACCTCTTCCTATCGTGTGGAAAGACGTTTGCTCAAGGAGAAGCCTGTAGACCAATGTCTTTGGAAACGAATTGAAAATCGAAGGTTTCTTCTTTTTTTGGCGCTAGGATCGAATATTGGCATGAACGTACTTCGAGTCGCATCGTTGAAAAAAGCCTTCTGTTGCGCCATTCCCTCCTGTTGTAAATTGAATATATGTTTCTTACAATAATTTAGTTACGAGATTCTCTTAGCCTCATACAGTAGTTCTCGGTAAACCTGAACTCATGGAAGTTGGTCTGGTATACTTTTGGCACATATAGCTCTGACCTCTGTCGCGCTAATAAACCCAGCAATGTTCATAAATAGTTCAGTGAATTAACAACACTTGTACGTAAACTGATTTTGAGCTTCTAACTTGAGGTACTGAAAATAGTCTTTGCTACTATGTGGCTTCCAAAATACTCAAAATCTGCACTTAAAATATGCGTAGCCATTGTAAGCTGCATTTCAGACCTGGGTAAGGAGTGCTGTACTTGACCTCAGTTGTTGACTAGCGTTTCTCACGTTTTGATAATTTTGTAGACCAATACGTATTTTGGAGCCGTATCTTGCCATGGATACTTGATGCTGTTTGTTTTCTCTTTTGTCACAGGCTGCTAAGGTATATGTAAACTCGGGAATGACATCGTTCTCTGAAACAGTTTTCTACACCGATTTTCAAAGACGGGAATTTTGACTGCCACACTTTCTCAGACAAAATGCAAGAATTCATTAGATTTTTTGTGTTGTGGAATAATTGGCACTGATTTCTTTGGGAAGTGCAGCAAATTGCACTTTGTTTCAACTAGTTTAATCGTCACTACTTTCCTACGAAAAAAAGATTCCACTCTGATTGCCTACTCACTTTTTACTTCTCCATACTTTTCAATTAAAATTCCCATCACCTTCTTTTTACTGACCTACCGTGTAAAGTACGGTAGAGGAAACCATGCTTAAGCTGTGATTGTTTAATTCTTTTCAGCAGTAGAAATTAAGCAAAATTATATTTCTCAGCTTGGTTAGTTCAATTTACCACTACAGTTTTGAAGACGTACAACGTCAGTAGACCACTTTCCAGCGTGAAATTTGAATCATCATCTCCTCATGTGAAATAGGTCTAATCAGGTTCTCTTGAACTTTGCTGCACCAATGGGGGGATGTTGATAAGATGATAAACTTCTCAAGGTGCTGGATTTTTACGTGATCGAAGTAAAGTAAAACAAACTATCTTCCCCTTTGCGATTAAAAAATGACTGCTTTACTAATTCTAGCATCCCGAAGTAGCTTTTACAGTCTCGCTTTTCCTCGGTTGGATTGAGTAAACCTCAAACTGACATCTATATAGATCATGCAATTCTGATGTACATTTGGCAGACTCTCTCGATTTTGGCTCTTTATCTCAATGGATAACTCATTAAGTAAAACTACAAACTAACAAAGCCTATAAATTAATAGTTTTAGTGTCAAATTGGGGACCACTGTTTTCTGCTGATCACGACAGGGGGTGTCTTTTCAAATTATATCTGTTTATGGTAAGTTGTCAATCCCTGGGGTTAGTCCACTGTAAGAATTGCTTAACTCAAAAGGTTGTGGTGAAAACAAGAAATGTTGTATTTCGGCCAAAGCTTTGCTGTATATTTACACAACCTCAAGCTTGCGAGTAATATTGGTTTCGGCAGTGAAAATTAAGCCTATCTAATCGGAGGTTTCTGCAAGCGTAAACAAAAGCAAAACCTGGAAACACTAATGTATCTATAGGACAATGACATTTACTTGATATTATTCAAGCGGTTGACATTGTTGGGTAGAAGTCTTCTTCAGGGGAGTCGCACCCACTTTGGGAGATTTCGTGAATTGGTGCTCGCGCCTTGTCACCTTAGCCAATGTTACGATCTGTTATAGGTTTGTTTGTTTTTTTAGTTTTTCGTTAGTGGTGAGGATTTACACCTTTCTAGTGACATCCTAGAATATGATGTTTGTTTAAAAAAGAAAGAAAAGAAAAGATGACATGCTACAGTCGACAGAATTTCATAAATTTGAATTGGTTCGTCTAAATCTTCAAGGTATATACCCAAAGATGTAGCCAATCGCAGGAAGTAAGTTTATTAAGCCTTTTCTAACCATCTGAGTAAAAGCGATTACTATAGAACTCTTGTCCTAGGAATCAACGACGCAAAATTCAATACGCAAACAGGTGCGTTCCAAAAGGACCGTCCAGACCGTGATCAGCCAAATGAGACAGACCGCGTTTTGACAGCAGGTACGTAGTCTAGAGCATTCTTGCTTTCCTTACTACTAGCACCAGAATAAGGATCTTATTGGTTCCATTCAATGGCAGGACCAATATCTGATATACAGATCATGGATTGATCTCTATTCACGCAGGGTATTCATGAAAAATCCCCAGGGGGTCCTACTACACTGATAGCGATAATTATTGTTGCCCACAAGCCAGCTCTCAGGTCTGATATAGAACCCAAATCTGCAACCTGTACGCAATGCATTTACCATCAACATCCAGCCGATTTCACAAAGTACACTGGTACTTCCTGGAGTCAGAGAATATCAGGGTTGTACCGACCAACCTCACATAAAAGCACTCTCTTCCTGAACCTGTGGGGGAAGAACCCGTAGACCCAACTCTTTTTCTTACCTAAAGTGTAAAGCACATTATATGTCATTATTATGTGTTGCGAATGCCAATTGAGACTTTGCCGTATGGCGTTTCTCAGAATACATGTCCTCTAAATTTCTTGAATTTTCATCTTCAATGAGCGAATACAATCCATTTGGGCTATATCTCGCTGTCCTAAGTTCCAAAGTAAAGCATCTGGTTGGTATGAAGAAAGCGACCTGCTTTATTCCGAAAGACCGGCCGATTAATTAAGACAAGGCATTATCAGAACAAGTCTCAAATACAGAAGAGCTACACGAGCTTTAGCACTTTGAAAGAAGTACCAAGCTCAATATTCTTGATGCAAGGACGAGCTTGCGCTACATGTGTATACACGTAATGTTTTCTCTTCACAAGTTTCCCAGATTCATGACTTGATGTATAGTGTTTCAAAAACGATATATGCTAAGAATGGCTACCGATGTCGACATCTGTTAAGTTCTCTTCACGTATGATTCAAAGTACTTTAAAGATGTAATTAATATTTCGGGCCTGTATTTATGTGCCGCTTATATGTCAAGGCTTTGGCTACACTTCGTGAGTAATCGGGCATATTAACATCACAAAAGTTTATAAAAAAACTCATCGAACTGGGATTGACACATCTTTTGTCAAACCCAGACTGGATGGCCACCCCCTGAATATCTGCGCAAACTTTTGGAAAAGGCACAATTGTCTAATTTTCGACTCCTCTGGAGTTGTGAAACTTCGAAATCCGCTGTTTGAGTTCGATAAGTAGTGATGCCACATGGAAGTCTTGGTGTGAATTCAAAAGGTTAGTTTTAGTTTTGGCTGAGAGGAGAGCAAACTTGTTTACAATAACATTCAGGATCAAATTCTCTGGTAGCTGTTACAGTTATCGTTACGAATGTTTTGGGGTAATCTTCGGTTTTTTCTAGCACATCTTGATTTTGGTATTTGCCAGTGTCTGTGATCAAGTACGGTGCTTGGCCAGGCCTGGAAATTGAGTATCGCTTCTTGATTTACCAAGCCAAGTACTATAGGTGTGACTCTGGGCAGAACCTCTTTGGGTAAAGCTTTTTACATCAGCCTTGAGCAAATCGTTCGCTTTGTTGTCTGAGACTCGAGAAAATTCAATTCTGGCGGCTCAATTTGCCGCTTAGTGGATATATGCCTTTGCCCGCTTAATTCCTATTTTTTCCTTTTTTTTCATTTGGCTAGCTAAAGCACCATACATCCCATCTGCCCAGTTATATTACTTATCCAGCTAAAGCTAGAATGAAACCAATTCTGCCATCCCAATTTGCCGTTTCTGGATACATATCTTGACCCGTTAAATTTCTTCATCTGTCAGAGAGCACTTTGCATCCACCTCCGAGCAGATCGATCTACAGCCTTTTCATTTTGTCATCTGAAACAGGCGTAGCTCTGTGGTGATTTCTAAAATAGTTTATAGCTGGTGGTACTTGGGGTTCTTGGGCTCTGACTGGCTTGCTGGGACCAAAAGATGCATACCTAATGCCCTGACTCTGGTGTTCGGCCACAATGCTTCTATAACTCCCCTTAAGACATGTTGCGGGTGAAGGTCAGTTTCGCCGAGGATACCCCACTGTGTTACCTGGAGTTCACATAGTGGTGAATGATGCATTATTCAAGTTGGCCATTTGCTTCAAGCTATCGATTGTGTGTCAGCTACTAGAATACATCTTAAATGACATTCCTTTTGGGCAGTGCATGGTCTTTACTATGATTGGAAGGTTTGAGACGTTGCTAAAGTCTTTGGAATCCAGGACCAATGTCGAATTTTTCACGAACACATGATTCTGGTGACTTTAAGACCTGTGAACAATAAAAAAATTGTCGCCCGCCCGTTCAACGTCAAGATCATGTATGCTTCTGGAGTCCGATATCTCGCATAGCCAAAGGGAAGCTTTTCAACTTTTTTTTCAACTCGGAAGAAGAGTTTGCTTGGATAAAGCCCAGTTTTTCTCCACTTTGGAATATAGATTGTCTATACATAGGACTCCCGTTCCAGTAGTGACCGAGCAACTTTCTTTATGGTGCAGTAGAGTGGCTGAGAACTTTCGTGATGCAGTGACCTTGCTACTTGTATTGTACTCTTCCAATGTCGTAGCCACTCGGTTGCAAATTCTCAAGGCCATTCATATTCCCGCAAATGAAGATTCTTTCAACGCCACAAGCTAATTCTCTGGACAAAATCACCAGAGACAATTGACAGTAGTCAAAAACATGTACATGGATTTCAGATTTGAAGTTCACTGTGTCAACTTTCGAAAATCCCAAAGATTCGCCGCTTACTGGACACATACTTTGGCCAGCTCAAATCTTGTCATTTTTTTTCTTCTATTTAGCCAGCTAAGGCATTTTACATCCACCCGACCAGTTCAAACCACTGACTGTTTTGCCAGCAGAATCCCAATTGAATTCAATTTTGCCAGCTCAATTGGCCGCTTAATTTATATTTGGCCAGCTAAAGCAATTTACATCCACCCGGCCAGTTCAAACCAGTGATTTTTTTGCCAGCAGAATCCCAATTGAATTCAATTTTGCCAGGTCAATTTTCCACTTCTTGGCCGATAAGTACCTGGGCCCGCTCAATTTCTACTTGGCCAGCTATAGCCTTTTGCATCAACGCTGACCGCTCTTTCACTGCGATTCGCCCACGCGCCAAAGCGCCTTACATCCACGTGAGCAGCCCTTTACGGAGCTCCGCCGCCAAAGCTCCAGCCGGATCTGCCCCTCTGGAACATGCCTACGCCTCATCCCAAGCCACCATTCAATGACCGGTCCTGCCCCACCAGGCCTGCGAAAGACGGGCCTGCCAACTGCGCATATAGAGGCAGGGCGTGTCACGTGGTGTCCGCCATGTAGTCACCTCTCACGTGGCAAGGGGAAAACTTCCGTACATGGAAAGGTTTTCCCTTCTTTTTTTTCTTCAAAGGGTTTTTAGAAAATAGTCGTATTCTAAGGATCCTAAGTACCATACTGGAATTGAGGAATCTGATATTGAAAGGGAGCCGGAGGCGCCGCGCGAAGCGCGCATCGGCATCGCAGTGAATATTTTGCACCCATCCATCGTGCCCCAGAAAAAACACAAAGCACGCAAACCACACGGCGCTACAACTAGACACGCAAACCGGGCCCCAAGAAACGTGTCAGCATCATACAGCACCAAACGCCAGGCGCCGAATTTATTGCCGCCCCAGCCTCGTATTTACAGAGAAGGGAAATAAGAAGAAGAGACGGACAGAGAAAAGAAGACTAGGTTGACGAAGCAGACTAGACTGACAGAGAAAAGAAGACTGACAAAGAAACAAGACTGACAAAGAAACAAGATTGACAAAGAAACAAGACTGACAAAGAAACAAGACTGACAAAGAAACAAGACTGACAAAGAAACTAGACTGACAGAGAAAAGAAAATTGACAGAGAATAAGAAGACTGACAGAGAAAACAAGACTGCCTTAAACAAGACTAGCCTGCCTTAAACAAGACTAGCCGCCCGAAACAAACAACAACACACAACCACAACCACAACCAAAACTACAAAACTATGGACGAGGTCGTGCTCTACGTAACCGCCGGCGACCCTGCCGACAAGCATGCGCAGGAGTCGGTGGCCGCCGTGGCGTCTGTGCACAAGCTGCAGCAGCACGCCACGTTCCGCCACGCACAGTGCCCCGTCAACGGCGCGGCCGTCTCCGGGCTCGGCGCCGGCAGCAGGCTCTTTGTGGCCGGCACGGACCGGGCGCTCATATCCACGTACGTGTGGGGCAAGGAGGCGCCGGACCAGCGCTTAGCGGTGCCCGAGCTCATGGCGTGCTTGGCGCTCGCCCCCCAGCCGGCGCCGGCCAGATCCGCCGACGCCGCCAAAACCACCCACTCCGTGCCCTGGTTGCTCGCCGCGGGCCTGGCGTCCGGCAAGTTGTACGTGTGGGAGGTGGCGCTGGGCGACTTGGTGTGCGTCAAGGACGCCCACTACCAGCGCGTGGCCAGCCTCGCGTTCTCGCCCTGCGGCTCGTTCTTGGTGTCCGGCGGCCACGACACGCGCGTCAACGTCTGGCGCACGGCCGACTTGGTGGCGCCGCACACCGCGCTGCGCTGCAAGCCCCACGCGCTGTTTTCGGACCACGCGCTTGCCGTCACGGGCGTGGCGTTCGTGGCCGCGCCGCTGGGTGCCGGCAGCCTCGTGGCGTCCGCGTCACGCGACGGCACGCTCCGCATCTACGACGTGGCGGCGCGCTGTCTCCAGACCACGCTCGTGTTCCTGGCCGCCGTGGAGTGCTTTGCACGCGACCCCGCGGGCCGCGCCTACTACGCGGGCTTGGCCGACGGGTCTATCCGCCGCGTGGACATGTACGCCGTGAACCCGCACAGCCACGAGGTGGAGGCCGTGGGCGGCGCCGGGCGCATCGTGACCGTGGCCGCGGACGGGGACCCGGGCGCGGCGTTCGGCCATCTCCAGACCGGCGGCGGCCCGCACGCCACGGTGCTCGCGGTGACCATGGACGGCATGAGCCTCGTGTCGGGCGACACGCAGGGCCGCGTGTTCGTGGCGGACGTGGCCACGCGCCAGGTGGTCAAGGCGTACAGCGCGTGCAAGCTGGCCATCGCCCACTTGCACGTGGGCACGTGCAGCACGGCGGCGCTTGCGCCGGGCGGCCACGCGGAGAAGACCCACCGCTTGCTCCCGCCGTTGAAGCGCGTCTTGGCCGCGGGCGTGCTTGCCGACCACACGGTCACGGTGCAGCTCCCGGCGCCGCGCGGGCGGGCCGTGGGCTTTGCGGCGTGGGTGGACGCCAAGGCGCAGCAGGAGTTTGAGTTCCGCCGCGACACCGGCGACGATGCGGCGCCGAAGGACGGCCCGGCGGACGTGGCCGCGGTGCAGGCCAAGCTCAACACGGTCTCGGCGGCGTACCTGGCGTTGCGGGAGACGTACGGCCAGTTGTTGCAGGCCCACGAGGCGTAGGGGCGCTGTGCTTTGGAGAGGGAGTCTCGGTGAAGAGATTGGGTCTCTGGAGAGGGAGTCTCGGTGAAGAGATTGGGTCTCTGGAGAGTGGGTCTCTGGAAAGAGATTGCTAGCATGTTTTATTATAGAGCGGGCCGAGGGTTGAGCGAATATGCATGCTTTCTGACTGAGTCTAGAATGTTTGGACTGCAATTGATGTTTGCTGTGGGGAGAATCCTAGCCGGTTTCATGGCTTACGCTTGCGCATAGAAAGTATGAACTGCAATTGACGAGAGCTTATGTCTTTGTGAAATTGCTAGACGGTTTTATTTATAGCATGGGCGGGAGCTGAAGCTGGAATTGATGGAATGCGTAGATCTTTGCTGTGAACAGCTGGCCTGGTGTATTCATACAGTGGGCCGGGGCCTTACTAAAATCTTTGCTTTCTAATTGAAAGTATGAATTGCATTGGTGGAGAACGTACACAATAAAAGAAAAAAGATGTACTTATTCTTGTACCCATATTAAGAATGACTTTAATTTGCCAAAGAAAATTAAGATAGTTAAGGGTGTTGAACGAAATGAGACAAATCAAGACGTTTGGAACTGTGGACCAAATCATTAAAGTCCTTGTCCATCTTCCTAATATCTCTTTGAAGCGGCATATATAAGAAGGTCTCTGGGGTAACCATCCCGCTGGGTTCGGAGAGAGGGTTGGTCTTATAATACCAAAACAGAAAAATGTATGTTGTAATATAATCCTTAATTCTGCTCTCTTTGCCTGAATACATGCAAGTTCATTTAACATGATCGTAAGATTAAAAACCGACCATAGACCGAATATCATCCCAGTAAGAACGAAAATGTTGTTTAACATATTATTCATAGCGATACTGAACTTCAAAAAAAGAGTTTACAGGGATTAAAAGGGACAAAGGGAGATGTTCGAACAAACTACTTAATAGTACACATGATGCTTATCATGTGAAAGGGAATAATATTGCAAGGAATCATTTGACTCTTTAGCTCCCTTAGGGGATTGATGGTTCGCCGTGAAAGAGATAAATCCTTCACTCAGAGAACATTTTTTGTGAAATTTAGACAAATTTGATATTCCTACCTTGTTTCCGGGTATATGCTTCTGATTGAATCTATGAACTGCAATTGATGGAGAGCTTAGATCTTTGCTGTGAAGAGATTGGTAGACCTTTTGTATGGAGTGGGCCAGGATTTAAGGACGTATATGCTTTTTGGTTTGATTGTAGCTAATGTTTTTGTTTTGAACAGATTACAAGCCTGTTTCATGTGCCAGGAGTAGAAAGAAGATATGTGCTTTTGGTTTGAAGCAATGGACTGCAATTCATGAAATGCCGAGGTCCCCAGTAAGGGTCTGCTAGTCTGTTAGTGGGTCGGGGTTTGAGAAGCCATAAGCTGACTTATTCGAAGTATAAATTGCGATTGATGGAGAGTGTATGTCTTCGTTAAGAAATGATTAGACTGTTTCATTTATAGAGTGGCAAGGGTTGAGAAGGTATATGCTTTCTGATTGAATCTATGAGCTGTAATATATGCAGAGCTTAGATCTTTGCTGTGAAAAGATTACTAGACTGTTCTATCTATAGAATATGCCAGGAGCTGATGGAATGAACTGCTGGTTATGAAAAAACATTACTGTAAATAACCCACCAGCCTGTTCCATCTATAAGTGGACCGAGAGGTAAGGGAAGATGTCTGTTACTACTAAACTGAAGTAGGTCTCGGTATACCTTATAGACTTACTATTCCGTACATCGCTGGCTATTTGCTGACTCCAGACTTCTTGATACCTGTGACTTTACTGGTGTCTTTTTGGCCACTTTTTGAATCCAGGGACCCTGAGACTTGGGACAAAACTAGTTCAATCCATGGCATTCACGACAATAGACTTTTCAGTTATTTATGAGGCGGCTTTTTAAATTCTAGCATTGGACTAAAATGCAAGAATTCACAATTGGCCTATTAGCCTGCGAAGGACAAGGTCCGAGGGTTGTTGAGAGAGAAAATGCGAGAAATTCCCTATAAAGAAATTGGAAAGTGGGACCTAGTAGTCAGGCGTAATTCTCATGAGCAAGTCAAAACGGCTGGGGAGCATGATCAGTTATACAGTTCAGAAACGCAGCTGGTTTAGACCGATGTGGAGAGTCGTGACCCACAACTGGCGTTAAAAAGCTTGGTAGCCCCAGGTTATGAGGAAACCGAATTTGGAGAGATGACAAAAGGGTGGGCTGTGGACATGAAAACCAATACCAAATTATACGGACACAGAGCTGGTATGGAGAAGCCATTGTAGATGAGACCAAGAATACGACAGTGGCTGATTCACAGCAGATATTGTCTGTAGAACCAAAAGGTTGGCTGAGCAAAGGGACTTCTTTCGGAAGTCTCTACAAGCCTAAAGATTTCAAGACGGAGAATCTGGGCTGACAAAAACCGAAAGTTGGCGAGGGAGTTCGTATGGAAAAGCTATTGGAGTAATGGGAATGAAGAGGTGAAGTAATACACAGAGGTTATGAAATAGAACAACAAGTGTGTAGGTAGGAAGTGGAGTAAAAAATTGCAGACTCTGTGGTCAAGGCAGACCCGAGTTGGTACATATAAACATTCATTTAGCAGGGTATAAAGGAGATGGAAAGAAAGAAAGGGCGAAAGAAGTGTCCGCGGGGTCGCATGGGATGAATATGTAGATCTTATATGAAAGTTGCCTCGTATGAAAACAAAAATATTTATATTTCTTCAATATGGATCATAGATCATGACACACTGAAACAGTAATCAAGCCAAGAGAAACTGGATTGGAGAAGGGAAGAGGAAGCATTAAACAAGGTACAACTGAGTAAAGCAAGGCAAACATATATACGGCTGAAAAGAACCAAGGGCTGTCTCATTTTTTTTTCCCAAAAGGGCGACGCTGGCATACGTATGTATTAACTTTGAATTAGCAGAATTTTTAGTGAAGTAAATACCTGGCTGGCTCCCTTTTTATCTCACAATTGTCAATTCCTAACTCGTCCACTGTTGAGATTTCTACTATATGTTTATAAACATTCAAACACTTCTCCCCAGTTTCAGACTGGATGTCAGACAAGAGAAATGTATAGTACGAGTATCCTATGAGCAAACAAAGCCGATGCTAGCGGAAAGCGTCAAGTTAGACCCAAAAATCATTGGTCTAAAACACACAATCTTGTGTTTCCAGCTGCTTGCTATAACAAACGAGCCGTTGAACTAAATGTTAGGGGCAACTTTCTGATCTTTATGTAAATTTTTAACAAGGCAGATAACCAAATACTTACAATGACTATGAGCTTAAGCATGCTTCATATCTTTGTCCAACAGTTTTTTTTGAATTTGAAGACCTCTAGCAGACATATTATTAGAGCCAAAGACTTTTCAGACTGGAAGACGGCAGCATTGATTTTTCAACTCGAATGGTCCCCAACATTATGAGCATAAAGTCATGATTGAACAGATGATCCATGATCATACGCATATGACAAAGAGCTGCAATGAGCCATATCTCCGTTTGGGACTTCCAAGCGCACATCTCCAGCTTCGAGCGTTGACGAGCGGTTCTCAGACACAACTCTACATTTTGAAGTCAACATATGAATATTATATTATTTTCTCCCAAACTCGTACTACTATTTTGTTCCCGAGCCCATGTACACCCGCTCCCAATTGCGCCCCCAATTTGTTAACACATTCAGCCTCGTGGCTCTAGTATAGTGTGAAAGATGCGATTTATATCGTAGATCACCAAAAGCTCATCGAATGCGTATCGAACATGGGGCCAGAATCGGATGTTGTGCAATACTGGTTTCGCGTTTTGGTGTGGTTACAATTCGTGCTATATATGAAGATCTACATTGTAATCTTGTATCTTGCCTAAAGCACCAGCATACACCGTATTTGGATATACTGCTTCTATACAAGTATGACCCTTATTCATGGATGAGATTTATACCCTGATTAAGATCAAAAGATATAAGCAGCTCTTGTCGACATGTCAAAAACGGTGCATTAGAAAAATGAACAAAACACACTTTCAAGAAGGCCCATCTTGTTCAAATTTGTTATAGAAGCGCGGCCCATGCTCGTGATTGAGAAAAACGACAAGACGCTGTCTGAGGCTGCGAAATACCATGCAAAATCTAGAACAGCCATCAAATTCCATGACAAGATTTGAGAAACCATTTACAACCAATATGAGGAAGTTTTGTGAAAGGCTTTCTAGGTTACCTTGATCACGTACTCGTCACATCCAAGCACAACACCGGAAAGCCCAATACCATTGACCTGCACACACCGCCGCTTGTCAAGCGATGCGTTTTTGGCGATGGGGCTCACGTGCGACTCGCATCAGCTGGCCATCGCAGGTCTTGCGAGTATCTTGGACCAAGCCGAATTCAACCAAATCCCCACTAAAACCAAAGTTGAACACACAAGCCATGGCCGAGGAAAAGCTTTCTAAAAAGCAGCAGAAGGCCCTCTCCTTCAGAAAAAGCAAAGAGGAGAGGACGCAGGAGAAGATCGAGAAGAAAACCAAGAAAGAGCTGGATTCAAGTCTGAAGAGAAAGCTAGACGAGGAAACACAACCCGAAAGCAGCGAGGAAAAGAAAGCGGCGAACGGCGAAGCGGATAAGACCGACGGCGAGCCCGAAAAAAAGAAAAGAAAGACCCGCAGAGGCAAGAAAGGCAAGGGTGTCAACGGGGGCAAGGGCCCCCGGTTCATTCTCTTTGTGGGCAATCTTCCCTACGACACACAGCAGGCAGAATTAGACACACACTTCAAAAACGCCAAGCCGGACCGGATCCGGATCCGCCGCGAGAAGGGCATTGCTTTTTTGGAGTTTGACAACGACAACCAGGCCATCCAGAGCAAGATGGACCATGCTCTTGGAATGCACCATCTGGTGTTCCGCGACAGGAAGATCAATGTGGAGCTCACTGTGGGCGGCGGTGGAAACTCGGAAGTCCGCACGCAAAAGCTCAAGGAGAAAAACGACAAGTTGATGGACGAGCGGAAAGAAAAGGTGAAGAAAGAGTTGGCCAAGCGGACGCTGAAAACCGACCAGGACCTGGCTGCGGCGGGCGGCATGCACCCAGCCAGAGCTGCTTTGTTGAAGCAGTGATCGCATTATATATAGGCATTAGAGACTTGGGCATTAGAGACTAGGGCATTAGAGACTAGGGCATTTGTAAAGGCACATCGATGTGCCAGGCTGCGTAGAATCACCGGTGGCAAAATCAGCGAGGGACTGGCGCCGCAAAAGCGGTTGTCATACTAATTAGACATGGCCGACATGGACCCCGTTCTGCAGACGTGGAAACCCAAGGTGCCTTTCACTGCAAATGGAGCTCCATACTAAGCGCGGCAGGCGTATTGACATTCCATCTTTCTGTAGGACATGCTGCGCTGGTGTTTATGGGCTGGGTCTTATTCAAGACTAATGTGTCGGAACACACGTTAAATTGTCGCCACCACAAATTCCACAGTCAGAGTACCAGGGGCATGTGGGTGAACCGGGCCGAGCCAGATGAAGAAGTGAAGGATTGTTCCAAAAAAAATACAGTTCAACGAGTCGAGCTTGCAGTCTTCGATTTTGTTTTATTTCATATCCACACGGGTGCCGACTTGGTTGGAAGCCTGGCGCCCTTGTCCAGCAGATATTCACACGTTCCACGGCTCGCGGCAACATTCTAGTACTATACATTGAAGCGCAGCCAACCAGGGTTTCCAGCCTCCGGCCAGCCCAAAAGTCCGAATGTTAGGCCCAAGAAAAAACCAGCACCAAGTCTGGTGACTCGCATATGGGCTTTCTCGTCTGGCCACGCCCTCAACTCCAATAGGCAGAGAATTGAGCTTGCTAGCCAGACGTCCGAAAACAAGCTTTCAGCTTTCTTGACGCAATGCATAACTTCGTCATACACCTTGCAAGAAATCCCTCCATCTAAACGGAAAATTCCCAGAAGCCAGTCGAGAAAGAGCCGGAGCCGCCTTCACCTCCGACATAGCTCTCATCCACGCACATTAACAAGCGCTTCCAACGACCGATTCTGCACACGGCCACACGCCTACAAAATAGCACATTTCTTGGCCTGTCTCACCATCCGCGGCTTGTCCCCAGGTAACTCACCTTTCGCCTTTTTTCCGGCACGTCCCACGGGCTGCGGGGTTTGTTTTACCTCGGCTTTAACAGACGGGTCTAAGACGGCCCGGATGGCGTAGTCGAACAACTCCTGCACACCGGTCTGTGTCGTCGACGAACATTCCATGTACCTGACTGCGCCGACTTCCTTGGCCAACTTCTGGCCCTGCTGGAACAGAACCGGTGTCTGGTGCTTGCCTTGCAACTCATCCAATATGTGCGGCTCGTCCCGCAAATCCGTCTTTGTACCGACCAAAAGCACCAAGATGTCCCGCGGGGAGTGGTGCATGATCTCCGGTATCCATTTCTGCTTCACGTTCTGGAATGACAGCGGATTCACCACCGAAAAACAGCAGATGAAGATTTCTGTTTGTGGATACAGCAACGGGCGCAACCGGTCGTATTCCAGCTGGCCCGCAGTATCCCACAAGCCCAATTTGATGGGCTCGCCGTCGATCATCACCGACGCAGAATAGTTATCGAAAACCGTGGGGATATAGTCGTCGGGGCACGTGTTGGTCGTGTACGAAATCAAGAGACACGTCTTTCCGACGCCACCGTCGCCCACCACGACAGCCTTTATGCTTCTCATTGTCTGGTGTGTCTGAGAGAGTGTTTTTTTTTTCTTATTTAGTTCTTATCAGTTGGCTCTTCCAATCTGATAATGTCTCGACTGCCTTCTATATCCAGTGCTTAAGATCCAGTGTAGAAACTACAGAAAGCAAAACGTGACGAGGCAAAAAACCAAAGAAAAAGTATACTGAAGCTGGCGCGATTTGACCAAGCGATAGCGAGAGATGGCTCACAGAATTTCAGTATCAATGGGGGCTTTTTAGCTGGTAGCGCGAAGCTATATTTTTTTTTTTGCTCTCAACCTTAATCTCCGCGTGCGCCTAGACTTGCGCGCCTGTCGCACGTATGCACGTCTTGTGAGAACTAGACGCTTAGCCCTAATTAATCATGTGACAAATGAGACATTAAAGTTCGCACCACTTACCCGGAACCAAATAGCACGACGAGTATATGAAGGGAAGAGAATTCCCTCTAGAGATCTTTTTAGAAGGTCAGTTGACACAAAAGTGGTTTTAGTTTTTCCTAAATAAAGGTTTATTTCCACACGCTAGTACATCATGTCGAATCCGATATCTCAACTGTACCAGTTGGGAACCACTTGTGGACAGGACATTGAGTTGGAATATCCTGTACTCAAGCAGAAATACAAACACGTCTTGAATCTCGGTCAAAAATCAGCTGTTTCTTATACGGCACTTGACATGCCATTTCAATCTGTTTTTATTACGGCCTGACCTGGTGCAAGTAATTAGAAGCGGAAGTACAGATGGGCTTCGGGATTATGCTGGGATCTGATTTTTATGATTTGAGTATGTAGTCTTGTGTCTCTTGCTCGTTTCGTGACTCATGTGTGTCTTGTGATTCTTCCCTGACTTGTGGTTCATGTTTTTCTTGTGACTTTAGTTTTCGTTATGATTCTTGGTTTTCTTATGATTCTTGTTCTTCTTATGATTCTGGTCTGTCGTGGTTTTTGCTTATCGCCTTGTTCGTCTTCAGCCCATTTAAAGGCTATGTGTTGAACAGATCTTTCATTGTATTCTTTTGTGCACATTGGCGTAATGGCCTCGAACATGTAGGTGCGTCCTCTTAGGCCAGATGACGGAGGAGCTTCTACTATGAGCGGAAGGGTTAAGAAAATTCCTTTTCGTTTGGAATGAAGAGCACTTAAATGGGACGTAATTGCATTTTCTATTGTCCGATGGTCGCGGAATTGGCAACATCGCTCTATGAAATTGCCAAGCAACTATGGCAGCACAGGCACAGGTAATTCGCAAAGTACTCTTATAATTGTGACCTTCGTCTGTTTCCCCAGCTTGCGTTGATTCGCCAGGATTTGCGGCGCTTGGTACATGAAATACAAACTATGAAGATGGCGCAGTTCCGGTCACTGACTTTTCAATTTGGCATGTCTTCGTGTGTTATCACCGAGAAGTAGTTAATAGTGCGTCTCTCTCTTCAAAGCTCGTGAAAACTTCATAGCTTTTAACAATATATCTAGAGTTTTAGATTTTGTTTCGTCTTGTTTTGAACGCATTTCACCGAAGCTCGTATATCCCAATTCATGATGCGGTATCATCTAGATTGAAAATCTAAGGATAAGCATGACGAGTCTCTTTTTTTTTCGTCTCAAACTGATCATTTCACACCTAAAAAAACGAGCTATGGCAGATTCAGGCTCCCATCCAGCACATCTTACATCTTGGCAATTCTGAGTGTCCAAACACCGGCTTCATGCAAAGTCGACGATGTTGCCAAGGCAGGTTACTGACTTCATAATGTGGGTGTAATATAATACCAAGTCTCAGCGCAAATTTCACTTGTAATTTCTCAAAATTTCAACATCATCAAAAATTCAAAAAAAAATTTCTACGAATGCACAGTTGTGGTAATAAGTTTGTCGGTTACTAAAGCGTAGTTAATATAATCGCTCCATGGTCAAAACACCACTGGGGCCAACGCCAAGTCCGCCCAGTATAATTTCACCGTTCGGTACGGCATCAAAAGCACTTGGAACATTTATTGATTTCATTCTACAACAAGCGAATAGAATATCACTAGTGTCGTTTCCGGCTGTGTCGTAGCTCATATACATTTAGTAGAACGGGCGAGCGCAGCCAGCAGGCATGATATGCGCACGTGACCTGGGAACGGCGTTTTGCATGATTCTCAGACTGGGCGATAACAAAAGTGAAGAAGAGCGATACTTCGAGATCCTCGTATCTTTTTAAGACCACATCTCAAAAACTTTACATCACCATGGCTTACAAAGACATTGTCCCTGTGGGCACCGTGCTTATCTTATGTGCCACTTCTTTTGGTCTTGGAGTCGTCTACTCCAATACCGCTTATGATTTCCACACTTTGTGGAGACCCACCGAGGCTGGGTTTGAGCGTTCGTTGATACATTACGCAAACTGGGCCACGGCGCCTATGCGCGTGCACCACATTTTGCACTTTGTGATTTTGTTGGGTTTAATCGGCTGCTTCATCAAGTTGTACAAGCCAGCAGAAGAGGTCAAGTACTTTGAGTACGGCACTTTGGGCATGATGATGGCGGCGATCATCATCTACTTGACGAACTTGAGAATCGGCGCCAACTCGTGCATTTCGGGCGAGTGGGGCGATGTTGATGCATACACCGGGGTGAATGTGATGGCTGCTTCGCAATTCATGATGGTTATTGTTTTGGTTGGTGTCTTGGTTTTGCAGGGCGGATTATACTACGCAGAATGGTATGAGAAGAAAATCCAAAGAGAGTTTTTGGAGAAGGAGGCTGCTGCTGCCGCAGGACCTGCCGCTGCTTCACAGGCTCCAGAAGCCACCTCCAGCTCCGTGGAAACCAAAAAGTCTAAGGCCAAGAAGAGAGTTTGAATTTCCGGGCCGATATCTGAAAGTTGAGCCTGGCAAGCCGAATGCCACTATTTAGTATATATCGACACAAGACTTTAATATTCTCGTTGATGTATTTGGAAAGCCTGCGTGCCAATGTGCAGATACTAATGGGTGGTCAGCGAATGCCTAAAAATATTGTTGATGCAAGTCTAAAAGTATCAGGCTAGTGTAAAGATACTGTAGTGCATTGGAAGCACATCGATACCATACATTAATGAATGCAGTAAGCCTCACTGAAGCTGGTGAGAATACTTAAGTTCGGTGCAGTCTAAAGCTCATTCTTTGCATGTCAATACTGTACTTTACGAAACTTTGATATGATATTTGATTTGATGTTGTCTGCGATTTGCTGCTGTATATAGACTGCACTTATTTGGTTTCTAAAGCCAAAAGGTGACGAAACTAGACTTGTATTCATGGTACCTGAAAGCTGTATTACTACAGCACTGCCATGTACCACTTTCAAAGAATCGTTACAATAAGCAGCTGAAATTTCGTACTAATGGGAGTGATACAGCGGTATTTTAGGCCCAATAGTCGAAATCATACTCCAATGATATACTCGCTCGTTAGAACACGCAAGACTTTCGGACGCTAGGTTGAAAACCACGTTTTGTCATTACCTCGACATTTCTCCGCCATTTTTTGAATCATCAATGCACTTGCATGTTTTAAAATATCACATTCCAGGAAAACGTATTCGCTGACATGCAGTTTCGTTGCCAGATCCAGCATGGAGGCGGTTATGAGTTTCGCACGCCGGGTCCGAAAAAACACCTACATGTCACCAGTGTGCATCAAGCTCCGGGCTCACTTCCCTTCTATCTTTTCATCTCAAAAACAGCTTTATTTATTCACACAATGGGCGTTGCAGAAAAAGTTTGGGGCGACTACCCTGTCTACTACAAACAGCCAATCAGAGTATGTACCACCCTCCATTCATCTCCCACATATGGTCAGCCAATAGGCGGTTGAGAAATGATAATCGTCAATAATGCCGGCAATTCACCGTTTCTGCCAGTTTCTTCCCATACTAACACCCACAGTGGGTGCGCTATCATGCGCACACGAAGCCCCACTTCGTGTTCTCCATTTTCTTCGGTGTATCGGCTCCTTTGCTTTTGCTCATGGCTCCGCTCAGAGAGAAGTACATTTTCGCCAGCCACAATCCAATTCCTTTCGTGTACCCATTGCCAACGAGAGATAGGGATGCCACGTTGACCGGTTTTGACGACCAGTAGGACTGTTTCCAGCGCGGAAAAGGACCCACATATCATGAAACCATGGAAGTATATATGTAATGAAGGTCACCTTTTGATTTCCTTGTGGAGCCCATGTAGAAAATCGAGTCGGAAGCTTTGACTGACTACGATGGTGAAGACCCATGATGTGTTTGCTTTTGAGTTTTTCAGGTAGAGCTCTGAGTGTTACGTTCAAACAACCTTGGTTTAAGAAACGGTGGGTGCTTGTGCAGAAGTGCAAATCTCTGTGCTTCAATACTGATTCTTTTTTGGTGATTCGTGGTGGGTTTGTCGTGCCAAGATTTTTTCCAATTTTGACTTCTTCAACCTTGTTATATCAACCTGTCATCCAGAGAGTCAATACACAGTGCGGTTCTGAGAGGACAATTGCATAAGACCAGGTCTATACCCTGGCATTCTTATACAAATATGTTTTTTTTTTTTTTTCAGCAGTATGGCACAGAATTGGCGGCATGGCTTTTCTGATTACAGGTTGCCCACCAATATTTTGTTTTATGAGCCCAACCAACTTGTAAGACACTAGAGTCCTGTTGTTGTTTCTGATGATGTCGTTTTTATGCAAGTTGTGGGTCTTACATAAAGAATCTTGTTAAGAACAGAAAGCGCCTCGCAACTGATAGATTGTGAATTACAGTGTTCCTTCTTTTTATCTTGTTCCCCCGGCAACATATACTTATTGTTATGTATGGATTCTCACTCGCAATGAGAACCTAATAAACGAGATCTCTAGGAAATCTCTCCGCCACACCTCGGCTCAATATTCACGATTACAGGCTAGGCCAGTTTGCAAATTTTTAAGCCATCCAGCAAAGTTCACGCCGCTCGAAAAATGGCTGCGGCCAGCCCAAAATCCACCTCGTCCTAAGTAATAGGAAACTTCTCACCAGCTTCAAGCGGGCTGTACATGCTCCATCATAGCATCTAGGGTCTTCTGCAATTTAGACAAAAGATCTAAAACCTTCAGTGCCTCAAGATAAGGACGGCCTCAATTTTCCGTATCACATACAATTATCCCCCGAATTTCTGGAATCCAGGGGTCTTCCTTCTAAAAGCCCGGTCGTGTGCAGCACGCGATATCGAGAAAAAAAAAGTCAAGTCTCGCATACCCTGTGCCATTCCAGAACCCGAAACCACAATGTTCAAAGCAGCATGGCGCCATGCGGCGACCCCAGCAACTCTTCGAGTTTGTGGTAGTGCCGTGAAACCTGCCAATTTCTTTTTCGGCGCCAGGAACTTCACTGTCTCGGGCTCAAAAGCCGCCAGTTTATTTGGTGAAGTCACCCAAGGCTCCACAACCCCAGAACCCAGCACAACTGACGGGGAAAAAGACAGCTCGACCCCAGAATCTCCAAAGGACGATCTGAAATTACAGCAGTACTACTTGGAAGAGGCAAAGAAGACGCACGTGACCAGAGACAAGTTTATCAGTCCGCTCAAGAGACAGCTCTTCGACCTCAACGTAGCAAAGCACGGCTTTTTCAAAAACGGGCACGTGGTCACTGACAACGAGACAGGCAAGACTTATCAGTTGACTTTGACTGCCGAGGAAATCGAGATTTTGGAGCCCTCTTTATACATATCATCTAGCCGGATCAAATCGTCGACTAAGAAGGCCACGCTTGTCAACAGATTTGTGCGTGGACTCGATGTGACAACCGCCATCAACCAGTTGCATTTCAACCCCAAAAAAATGGCCACTGAGTTGGAACGCTTGTTGAAACAAGGCTTGGAACAGTGCCGCAAAGCAGGCTACGACGAGGACGGCTTATATATCCAGGCTCTCTGGACAGGCTCTGATGGAGAATGGGTGAAAAGACCCGACATTAAGGGCCGTGGGCGTACTGGTATCATCGAACATCCATATGTTCATTTGAGGGCTATTTTGCGCACGAAACAGACCAAACAAAGAATTGCCTGGGAGAAGCAGCAGGCGCTCTTGGCGGCCAAGCCACGTTCCTACTTGAACAATGCTCCGTTGAACTTTAGCGTGCGTGGTTTGTACAAATGGTGAGGCAATGTAAATAGGAGGACATATGCGTTCTCAAGGAATATACAAAACAATCCCGACAAAGAGATCAGATACCGTTTTGGGGGCCTTTTCACTTGAAGTTGCTTTTGTACGCTCTTTCCGCTGGATGGATCCTTGAAGGGGATACCTTTTCTGGCAGGCCATCATTTCTCTGCATGAAGAAACCATATGGTGGCTTGATGTAGATGCACACTTTAGCGCTGAGCCCATGTGTTGCCGCAAAGAGTTATAAAGGGATATGCTTTATATGCCTTTTTGTAACAATTTTGTTATTGTTTTTTTGCTTTTGTTTTTGTTTCGTTTTAAGATTATGTTCTGTGCCTTCAGTTTGTTGAAAGACAAGCCCAGCTATGGCCGCACTGCCAAAATAGATATGAAGCTAACTTCTTCATGTCAGTGTACACGTTATGACCCAAGGCCATCTCGGTAAGGAATGGACCGACAGATGTGCATGATGGTTGGCTTTACTGATGCCCTCATTCTGAAACAGCTATCGAGAAGTAGCATCTTCTCACGGGCTTCATTTCCTCCAGACCAGGCTGGAAAACAAGCGGAAACTAGGGCTTGTTCCTACATCGTGCTTTCCCGGACACGGCCAACTCGTGGTATCGTGCAACACCGCTTGTTGCTGTACCAATTTCGACAAACTTTTGGGACTTTCGCCAAACGCAACGGTCTTAAACCAGAATCGTTTGGGCTGAATGTAGGTGGCTCATGGCAATCTTCAACGCCAGGACAAGTTCACCCCGAATTTTCCAGCTCATCGATGCAATTTGTGTTTGCTTCTTCATTAAGGTTCTGGGAGATACACTCCGCGTTACAGTTTGCTGTGGATACATCTATCTTCTTCAGCATATCGCATCTTGAGTCCTTCTAAGGGTGTGCCAGTATTTCCGCCAAGAAGCCTAGATTGTGGATCCATTTGAAACTGACCGTGGATTCAAGCTTGGGAATTTCATCTCTTTTGCTTTGGGATTGCCCTATGTGCCAGGGTGTTCTTTTGTATTCTTCACCTCAAATTGCTTAGGGATCGAAGTCAACATGGGCAGGAACTTTCACAAAAAAATCTGCTCCGCTGGATTGCTGTGTAGATGGATAACAAACGTGGTCAAGTGAGTGCTGTGGAAACTCTTGATCCGAGCTAAAATTCTGGACCGAGAACACAAAGATGTTGTTTCGTCAGAAGCGTTTCCAATAAATGAGTTGTAAAACAGCTAGATTCCTCGTTCAAATCTCTTGCTTGCGAGACTTAAAGCGCCTTGCTTCATTTTCCGGGCGAGTTTTCGCCGCATGCTAGACTTGACTGGATTTTGACGGTCCCATGATGCGCCTTGGATTATTCTTTGCTCGGTAGGGTTCTATGTAGGGTGTTTGACTTTTCTTGGGCCACGGAAATCATCCTACAGCAGGCTGAGGTGATCAGTATTCGCCTATTCCTCCACTAAAGATACGCACAATTGCTGCCCCAAACTAGCAGTTTCCGAAAAGTAATTCTCAACCCAAGACAAGATTCATGGGTGCATCAATTTCGAGCGTGGTTTTGAAGGTCGCTCGTTGCGTATTCCCACTGGAAGCACCAAGGCCTCCTTTGGAAAATGGATCCTCGTGGATCATGAGAGTTTTCATGAACTGCGAAATGCTAGAAGACCGACTTTGTCTTGCAGATCTCATTGTGGTTTCTGGAAGGCGATGTAGCGAACGAGTCCGGGAGATCCACCAGCAGGCTTCTCCTTATATATGCAACGTCTGACATAGGGGACGCCAAACGTCATACTCTCATGAGTGAGGATTGAGGCAAAACGTCATACTCTCATGAGTAAGGATTGAGGCATGTTTGAGAAGACCGGTGTGAAGCACTATGAATTTCGCAACTTCGGTCACATGTTTCTGCCTGGGTAAGATTTCATAAAACGTTTTCCTCTCCTATAGCTGCGATTGTGGTTGAATAATCAACGCCAGCTTGGACTGATCATACCCGTATTCCATGTGCGTACGGTGCAGTGGTATGCTTGGCCTTTTTTTTTGAATGCCCAATTCTTTACTCCCAGTGCTTCCCACGTTTACAGGCCTTGTGAATTCAAGGGGTGGATTGACCAATCTGTGGTGCTCGCCTCGACCAGGCAGCGACGAGATTCCATGTTTCCTGTCGATTCGGTAGGAGGAAGTTTAATTCAGCAGTCATGTGTCTTCGGTGGACGAATGAGCGCGTTCAATGATAATCGCATGACAGGCAAAGAGCCCAACTTCCTAGTTTGACGAAGCATTACCGTGGAGTACTCTTCTAGAGAGACTTCACAGCGGCTGGGTTAGGAACTGGGTGTACATCTGTCTGCAAATGGTGTTTTTGGAAGACTTATGGGGAAGCAGAATTAAGTTGCCTTCTAACATTGCAAACCATGCTGTGAAAACCAGTTGACTTCCCCCAACATGCCGCAAAAACCAGTCATCTTCCTCCACCATTGCAATTCATGTTGCGGAAACCAGTTAACTCATCCAACCGATCGGTTGAGACAAATCGAGCTCCCTGCGCTCGAGCGAAACAGACCGCATAGATCTCGGAGAGAACTCTTGAGAGTGGGGCATATCTTGATGTGTCCAAGAATTCATACCATTGTGGTCCTTGGCTGAATACCAGGCCTCGTGCCTTCCCCAATATTGAAGGGTGTGGAGATGCTCGCCTCGCCAGTCATGCAGAAACTGAACGGCAGGTGCGGCCAGACCAGCTCATTTTAAACGAATTGGACAGGTGAGCCATGGCCAGTTCCAGTCACTTGCATGAGGGCTCAAGTCTGGGACGCAATTGCCATAGACTATGTGGTTCCTGCGCTTCCTCCATTTCCCCGCAGTTTGAGTCTTCGAGCCGCAGGGCGGACGGGGCACCTAACCAAAGCCTAGAATGGAAAAGTGGTGGGACGCCTGTGGATCTCCGCCCTATGTGCACCAGAGGCAGCGGAGGGGTATTGGCGTTGCATGTACTTCGGGCTAAGATGGGTGCTTCATTCTGATCTCTCGAAAGCCGTGACGCAATTTGTCGCCTCGCCGGACTCCGAGGAAATGGAGCGGGCGCCTCAATGGCGGGCTTAGCAGTGGTACCTGGTGTGATTCGTGATGTGATTTTGACCCATGCAGAGATGTTCAATTAGGTATGGTGTAGTTCACCCGGTGGTATTCACCAATGTATTTTGTAGTTCACCTGGGTTTATCACCAAGGTACTCGATAATCACCTGGGGAAAATCACCAAGGTGTTCGATAATCACCTGGGGTCACCAAGGTATTTGATAACCATCCGGTGGTATCCACCAATGAATTCTGCAATTCACCGGTGATATCCACCATGGTGTTCAAAACTCACCGGGTATTATTCACCATAATTTTTGAATCACCTGGTGGCATTCACCGTGGGAACTTCTTACTATCTGGTGGCATTCACCATGGTATTCTGTAACTCACCCAGAGATATCCAACCATTCAAGAACTCACCTGGAGGCATCATAACTACCCGGCAGTATCTCACAGATTGCCTGTTTCACCAGGCTCTCCACACTGCCTTTATTCATCCTTCTGCTCTCCAGAATCATGGCGGCGCTCCCTCATAGACACGGCCTCTCCACACTATTTTTCTGCACCACCTTGCACCACCTTTCTCGCCTTCTCTTTTCTTTGAGAACTGCGAGCATAAGTAATCCGCACCCGCCCCATAAAGCTGTATTCCATAAAGCTGTATTCCATAAAGCTGCATTCCATAAAGCTGTATCCCATAAACTGTATCCCATAAACCAGTATCCTCATAAACCTGTATCCCATAAACCAGTATCCCATAAACCAGTATCCTCATAAACCTGTATCCCATAAACCAGTATCCCATAAACCAGTATCCTCATAAATCTGTATTCCATAAACCTGAATCCCATAAACCTGTATCCCATAAACCAGTATCCCATAAACCTGAATCCCATAAACCTGTA